AAAAAAGATTTATCGTCTTTTCGGAAACCAAACTTCTGGATTTTATAAAGAGTCAAGAAGTAGAGAGGCCATTGGAGAGCATAACGAGGTATAACTCATTGGTATCGGAGATGTCAAATAAATATAACATGGCGTTCGGGGGAAGTGTTAAACGTTGAGCCTGCCAAACATTGAAAAGTAACCATAACTCTATTTAAAAAATGTGTGTTGAGTTAATAAATAAATAGCTAAGACCATCTTTTTAAAAATGGTTGTCCTCTCCCGATCGACTGTCTAAAGATGGCCCGACTCAAAACTTTTTTTTACCTACCAGGACACAATATTTTTTTTCTTTTTATTCCTCTTATTCCGTCAAGAAATATGTTGAAATTTTCTGGAAACGTTTTTCCGACCTACCTAATGATCCAATAATTTACCCCAAGTCGGGAGAGAGTAAGAAAACATTATTTTAAAGATGGCCTAATTAACATGCGTGAATTTAACTAGCTGTATAAAATTTGAAAAGAAATAGTATTAGATTAAAGACTTAACATGATATGCACACGCTGTAGGTGGTAGTTTTCCTTGAAAGAGGGAGATCAGCCTAACAAAAAAAAAATAACAAAAACAAAACCAAAAAAAAGTCATTACTTTTGAGGTGCGCAACCGAAATTTATTTCAATATTCTTTTGAAGAGTATTATTACTGGTAAAGCTTTTAAGGGTTAAATTTGAGTTCGCTTTGTTTTCTATTAAGTGTATAATTGTGAATTATTGCCCCCTCCCCCCTCAAGTTTGTATCTGATATAAAGTACAACATAAAGAATCACTCGTTTTCTCTTGGTGCAACTTTAGATCAAATCTCTCCATGATCGAACTTGTGTAAAAGTCAATCAAATATATGTAATATGTGTGTTTTCAATAAAAACGCAAACTAAATTATGAACTTCCACAGACACCTCAAGAGTGGATAAAGTACATGTACTTAATTCACCCCCCCCCCCTTCGGATTTAGAGTATTTGAGTTACTTTTCATGATATGACATGACATGATAAAATCAAATCTACCATTTTGAAAACACTTTACACTTATTTTCGGAGAATATCTTTGCTTATGAATTAAAGTATAAAATAATAAAAATGATAGATTTGACGGAGAATGTTTTTAAAATAATATGATCGATACATTTTTGTACAATGTAATTAGAGGGAGAGAGTTGGTCAATCTTGTTAGCTATCAGATAGGGATTAGTCGTGAAGATAAGTATAACGTCATGTATGTTATCCACATTTCATACAAGTCAACATGCGGCTGCCTATGATATATCAGTATGACAGTATCCCGATCTCTCTATCTCTAATGGTTTAACAATCATTATGTATCGGAGGATCCAAGCCTAGCAATTTATTCCTGGGTAGGGGGTGCATGGATTCTGCATAAGTAAAAATTATATCCAAACCATAAATTTGTTGACGAGCAAAAAGAAAATACCCCCCCCCCCCAAAAAAAAAAATGTACACTCCTTTCAAGTGTTAAACTTATTCCGCAGAGGGACGGGTCGGGCTGCTTTCGCCTCTTAAGCTTCAAATTTTAAACATTTGATTACTATAGTACTATAGTAATATGTTAAAATTTGATTACTATAAAATTTGAGGAGGGTAAATTCTACAATTTTTAAGGGGGGGGGGCATTGGCGCATGGAAATTACACATCGTTTTTAAAGTTTTTTGCTATTGATTAAATGAAACTATTATTCTTTTAGAGTAAAATCAGGAATTATAAATAAATCCTAAAATCCAGAAGCAACGCTTGTTAAAAGGTTGAACAGTGGAAAGGTGGAAAGTATTAATGTATATATAATATGTGTTAAAAAAATATGTGTATTAATTGCAAGCAATACAATGGGAAAAAAATCTACACATGAAAACTTAAAGTATTAGAAAACAAATGAATTTCAATCCATCAACTAACAAAATAATGCTACAATTATACAAGGGTTTCTGATACGCTAGTCTCCTCATAGTCGTTCATGGGGAGAGTAGCGCAGGGGCGGATCCAGCAATTTTTGAAAGGGGGGGGGTTCCAGGGTTGTGTCCCTCCCCCCCCCCCCCTTTACACACTCTCAGGCAAAGATTCACACACACACATGTATGGAAAAATATAAAATTGTGGAAAATAATATCTTTATTCTACGCCCTTTTTCTTTGAAAAGGTACCCCCAGTCCGTATTAAAAAAATCAACACATTTAAAAAACTACTGAAGTTATATAATTGATTGGATTTGCAGCATTTCCGAAGAGTAGAATGAATTTTCTTAAAGAATTTGAAAATCCTTTTTGGGTTGGGTATAAAACAATGAATTAAATTTTAGTTCCTTCATAAGACTTAGTTTAAAAAAAATGGCACCTTCTTGTATATTGCCAACACAGCCAAATTAAGATCGCGGGAATCTAATATCAAAATTAACCTCGCATGTTACATATCATATATAAAGTAGAATATTTTCTACCATTCACTCATAAAAAGTAATAGTGAAGGTGAATGGAAAAACTAAATGTGTGAGAATCTATCTATTCAATACATATTTAAGTTAGACGTACAAATACTTATACTCGGGAAACGTTTTATCCCCCTTCTTTCTCTCTCTTTCTCCACTTGGCAAAAAATAAAGGGGGGGGGGGTTCCAACCCCCCGAACCCCCCCCCCCCCCCTCTGGATCCGCCAATGTAGCGTATCAGAAACCCTTGGCTAGCAATTGCCGAAGATGCGTGAACGCACAAATAAGCCTATCATAAACTAATCAAACTCATTTAATATTGTCAATTTTCATGTATGCAAACTTTCAAAGTATAAACATTATACATACTGATATTTCATCGTCTTTTCTTTTTTCTGTGTTTATCCCTTAAATCGCTATGTTTTGAGGTCGGGCTGGAGTTACGTAATATAAATAAAGATGGCAATTGTGAATTTTGGTGGATCATAATACTTTACATTCATAGAGGTGGGTTTACGTATGAATATAAATTTTGACACATAATTTGTTTCAGCGTTGTATTAACTATTCATTTCACTAGGATATCAAATCTAGCGAAAAATAACTGAACAAATTTTGATAAAGTATTTATATATTGTGTATATTAAACTTCAAATTGTTCACGAAATGCAGAAGAAAAAAAATCACACAGGAAACAGTACAGTAGGCCTAATACAATGTAAGTTATATCAGAATATCGCTCGGGGTATCTTGAGAAAATATTTTAGAATGGCAAAGAAACTTATTTCACACAAGATACGACGATCATAACACGTATTAATTATTACCTTCACTCTGAAAATGAAACAGAACAAGGGAGAGTGGAAAGGAGGAAAAAAGAAACATGTGCGTTTTTAGACGCGAAAATTTGACGTCACAATAAACACGTTTTCTCGACGTCAACGCTGATGTCATTAAGACCGGTTTTGCCAGAGAGCGGTCCATATTATTTTTCTTTATGGTTTTACCAATTTTTTGCAAAAGGTTTCCATTCATACAATTCTGAAAACTTTGATTCTATTCTTCATTTAAAGGTCCAAAAACACAACACCAGGGGACTTCTAAGCAGTGCTTTGGCAAGGAACTGACTAAACACTTGTAGGTATCGAACTCGCCCATAAGAGCCTTATTGAGTAATATTATTAGTATCTAAAAGTACACTTCATGACATGGTTATATAAATAGTATTGGGAAAAAAGGACACCTTTATATTATTTTTTTTTTCCGAGGTGGTATCGAATGTCATGTTCCTGACTACAAACGAAAGTCATTTGAAGTCATTTGAACTCATTTGAACTTTGAACGTAACCCACAGAGGGAAAGAGAGATACAGAAGGTAAGAGTTGTTGAAACAAAGTTCAGAATAAAGTCATCTGGAAATCAGTAAGACACATCGCATCTACCGAATCTTGTATTAACAGCAAAACACATGGGTCCTGAGAACCGTGTTGCTTTTATAAGCAGATACACAACCAAACAAGAATTAACATTTCCAGCAATAGAAATTGAATTAACTCTAATTAGTGCCCCGAAGTAAGGAGTTGATCATTACATGGCGGGTTCAAATCTCATCGTGGGACGTGGCGACGGGTCCCCATTTTATTTTAAACATTTGTCATATTATCAAACGTCATTTAGTGAGGGATACTACCCATTGTTTTCTCGGGATTGAATGAGGTGCAACAACGTTAAATCATTTAATATATGCAATGATGTTGTATTAGACAATCTAGAACAAAAATAACTGGGGATGTATTTCAGATCTCGACTATCGCTCGGTCATACCGACTATCGAAATTTTTCCCTCGTTTATTCTTAATTGTAATCTAAATCCACGTTTACAATTTTATTTTATTTTTCTGTTGTTCTACTTATATAGCTGTCAAAATCCTAAATATTCTGTAAATCATATAAATGTTTCTACAAGAAAGATAACAATAAATGTCTAATTAATTAAAAGATCAGTTACTTATACATGTATCAGCCCTGGAGTTTAGATATGTACACGCCATAGTTAGTATTTGATAAATAGAACAAAAATACATTATATGGATTAAAAGTATTTTTATCAATAAACAAAGGTGCATGCATAATTTGTTCTACTACATTATTAATTCTGTCAGAGTATCTTGTTATAAATGTTGAGTGTATGAGCATAAATTTTAACTAGGAAGTAGATTTAAACTGAAAAGATTTTTTTTTCAAACGAATATTCAACCAAATCGCGATTGGATGCCCTGTTATTTGACAGAGTTAAATTTGCTTCCCACAGAAAAGTCTTTATACGCATAAACACATATATGTTTTTGAAAACTCATTCGTTATTTAATTACCTGGACTCATATGACTCGACACTTATTTCGCCAATCAGATTTTATTATGAAATGTATTCAGTTAAGTTATGTAAAGTCACTGATCAGGAACACCTCATCAAATAAACATCATCTTCTGTTTAAAAAAAAGAGCATATGTATCTATTAAAAATGCTTCTTGGCTTTCTAAACCAGACGGTTTGTAAGAGCAGATTATGATTGCTATTTGTATAAATTTCGCCAATGCATGCGTTTTCATTCAGAGATTAGATTTATAGGATCTACATGCATGAACATGGAATGATGACGATCTGTTTTATAGTCATTGCCGTTGATTTTTCACATGAATATGGTAAGTAACTTTTACTTTTATAAACATTACCGGTACATTATAGTCCATGTACATTATTTAGCACACCAAATTTGAAATGCTTTTGGTATCAGGTTCAAACTAGGTGCATGAAGGATCATAGTACAAATTGAGATTTGAAAATAAGTTCAGGTGTCATTTTAATCCTTAGTGAAAAACTAGTTTAGAAAGGAAAGAACAGTACATACTCTCTCTCTCTCTCTCTCTCTCTCTCTCTCTCTCTCTCTCTCTCTCTCTCTGTGCATGAGTGAACAGGACGAGCAGGATAGTATTTAAAACTACAAACTGGAGGCCAAGCTCCTTGCATACGGAAGTTTAGTTTAACAAACTGAACTTATTATTCTATAAAATACCTCATAATTATTTTCGATTTATACCTTACGGAAACATTAAATAAAAATGAATATTAGAAAATGGTATTTTGTTGAACTCTTAACTGTCAATTTAAAATCTCATTAATCATGCACTGACTTTCTTCAAAGTTCGTTACACAAGTATAAATGTTACGTAATTCAGTGTGTCCGTGAACCCTTTCAACAACCCGAGTAGTTCTTACCTCTTAAGTCGAATAAGTTTTTATTGCTTAATGCCGGATAAGCACCATTTCAGCGGTATTTTGGTAAAAGTATTTATTATTTATCTCGTTTTTTTTTTAATATTGGGATTTCATTGCATGGTTCCTAGTTAACTTATTTATGTTCCGTTCGTTGCAGAATATCTTGCCGAGTTGACTAAGCTTGTTTTTTGACCAGACGAGCAGAACCAGTAATACAGTGTTAAATTAAAATAAAATGTCATTTATTCATAAAATGACGAATATGAAATTTATAAAAGTCATGGGGGTCAGAAAGGACTAGAAAAAATGACAGTGATATCTTCAATAAGTATTGTGCAGTCTGACCCCAAACAAACATACATAACCTAAAATAACATAAGAATAAACTTTTCAAATCCCCAAAAAGCACAAATTGCCTGGTCACAAAAAAGTGGAAAATGTAAAAAAAAAAAAAAAAAAAAAAAAAAACAGGCCATGCAGGTGAAAACAGTTGGAAACTGTTGCTTACAGTGTGTTCTAGGGCATTTAACAGTTGCTATAAAATGTTAGCTGTGATGGGAAAATGGACCCAATGATTGGCAACCATTGAGATGCCCTCATCTTAGAAATGAAGCAGCATTTATGATTTCCTTTGACAGACAAAGTTATTTAAAGAAAGCCGCGATCATTGTGGTATCATGAAAATGAATTATTTGATATGCAGGCGATTGACTTTTGAAACATGTAGCTTACCGTCTTAGCTTAAGGAGGAATGCCACACCAACTTTTTATTTTATAGATCTCTGAGTTAACCTTTTTAAACAATGGTTTCAGCATTGAAAGGCCAACATTAGCTCTCCATTATTTTATATGAATTTTTTTGTATTTTTTCAAAGAAAATGAAAAAAATTATTTAAATCCAAATTAGATGCTTTGTTGTAAAAATTTTGCTGTAAATGAATGCATCACATGAATACCTAATAAAATATGTAAAGAGAAGCCATAAAGATATTAAAATTTTTTAAATAAAAAAATATTTATGAAAATAAAACACATAATTTGTGAATATTTTTTAAATGTGTGGTTAAAATCTTCTTAAAACCAGTCACAACCGGGGAGAACATGTTCATTAATCATATTTATAAAAGAAATTGAAACGAAATGGCCAAATTTTAGAGAAATTAATTTTTTTTAATTTTGACCAATCCCGATCAAAATTAAGTTGATCCCAACCATAATTGTACAATTATTGGAAATAAATAACATTTTCCCAAGAACACTAGTCTGATTAGGTGTATTAAGGATTAAAACATTATTGAACCTGACAATAAAATAGATTTTTTCATTGTAAATACATGAAGAGGCAATAAATTATCATTTTATTGATTTTGTGTAAACTTTGATCGGGATCAGTTTAATTTGATCGGGTTAGGTCCAAATATTAAAAAAAATCAATTTCTCTAAAATTTCTCAATTTCGATTCAATTTCTTTATAAAATATGATTGACAAACATGTTGTCCTCAGTTGTGACTAGCTTTATGGTGTTTTTAACCATAGGTTTAAAAAATATTCACAAATAATGTGTTTTATATTCATAAATAATTTTTTATAAAAAAATTTAAAAAGTCTTACCAGCCTTTCTTTACATATTTTATTAGATATTAATATGATGCATTCATTTACAGCGAACTTTTAACTCGAAAACATCTTATTTGGATATAAATAATTATTTTCATCTTCTTTGAAAAAATACAAAAAAATTCATATAAAATAATTAAGAGCTAATATCGGCCTTTCAATGCTGAAACCATTGTTTAAACAGGATGACTCAAAGATCTATAAAATAAAAAGTTGGTGTGGCATTCCACCTTAAAAATACACTTTAAATAAAGACACTAAAAATGTATATGCGTTGTATTTGTTAGAATATATAGTCTGTCATACCGGTATCAAGTGACAAGTCTGTTGATTTATTGATACTTTTATTTCTTTTACCTTCCATTTCATTCGAGAATTTTAAACCCACATAGAAATGTCACCAAATAAAGGTAAAGGCCTTTATATTTTGACCTTTACATGGTACTTACTGCCTTTGAGAATGAGTGATCTTTATCGTGCCAACACCGGCCGTGACAAGGGACCTCGGTATTTAGGTGTAATCCGAAGGACCCCCTCGATATTTCACTTCAAGGTGCCAAGCAAAAGTCAGTTGTAATTGTGATTCTAACAAACGACTTTCTGGTAACGGAGCAAGCGCTCAACCGACAGCGCTATCGTGACGTTTGTTGCTGACATCAATGTATAATTGATAACCATATCATTTTATCTCCGATATCGGTAATATCTTAATTAGAGTGGTGACATTCTAATATAATGCATTTCTTCTTTTTAAAAAGAATGAGAACAATTCTATAATGCCGACATTTCTATCAAGTAATTTTTTTTTAATTGCGTGCGCATATGTTCCTTTGAGGAGGGCCATAACTTTTTTTTATGCACTGCTTATTCAAAAACCTTTCTGATTAATGTATTTAACAGAAGTAAAACATATTTCACTCGTAGAAAAAACATGGTAATATCATCTTTTTCTAGAGAACCTGGCGTTTGAAAAATCTACTTGGCAGAGTACAATCTATGACCCAACTGTTGGATCTGAAAAAGCTGTAGACGGTTTTAAATCAGATTTCTCGTATTCTGGAAAACAATGTAGTATTTCAAAAGATAACAAAAAGACTGCTACTTGGTGGGTTGACCTAGGCAGAATTTTAAGCATCAATAATATTGTTATCTACTACAGGACCGACGGAAATACGTGGAGTGAGTATATAATAAATTTGATTGTAAATAATATAAGGTCAAATACATGTAATACGAATATTGAAACATGTATGGAATTATCTCAAGGAAATAGTTCCTCATTTTATTTATGATAAAAAGAAAATCATACAGAAAATAGCAAAACTATAATGAAAAAAAGAAAAAAAACATAGTTATCAATATTGTTTTTCCAATTATTCTTGTATAGTCCGGGTTGTACAATTTTTCTAAGGAAAAAAGTAAACTCACGAAAGCTGAGAAAAAGATTTCCCAGTCAGTGTAATATTTAACGTGTTATATGGATTCCCTATCGTAAAGGAAGTTAAATCTGTATAAAATCTTGCGAATACTTGAGATGAAGATTTGTTAGATGAAAAGTATGGATTAATCAAAAGGACCTCTCATCTTAAATAGGAAAGGAATGGTGTCTTGAAAAAAAAAACAGCATTTCTTTCAACTACTGAAACATAAGAAATCCTTAGATTTTTTTTGGAAAAAAGGTTTTGTTTATCTATTCACCCACCCTTTGTGTTTATGTGGAAGATTAAGAATAATTCTTTATGTTATCTGTTGTTTTGATCTTTAGACCAGGAAACTTTTTCTTTACACATATGTTACACACATGGCAAAAGCAATGTATTTGACGCTCATTGAGGTACTCTTTCGTCAGAAGTAAGACATCAAATGATACCAGACATATTTAGAATCAAGCATTTTAAAGCATAAGATTTTGAGGTCGAAAACTCACCCCTACCAATCACAACCACGTAAAGTGTTGAACATTATAGAATAGATGAGAAACCGATAAAAGGTCCTATTATCTAACGATGTAAATTATGTTTTTTGTAGATGCTAGTAATTACTATACTGGTAGATTTCTTGGATTTTTTATTTATGTGTCCAATACAACAGACAGACATGTGGGGCATATCTGTTTCCACGATACATACTACACGAGAAGCACGATACCACCAATTGTCAATATAAGCTGCCCTATCCACGGACGATATGTCATTTACTACAATGAGAGACTTCCAGACATTCATTATCCTAGTGAATATTCTGCAGATGCATACATTGAACTTTGTGAGGTTGAAGTTTATGGTAAATTTCGTAATATTAAAAATGAGTAAACTTCGTATAGAAATGAAAATACATGAATAAACTTAATTGTTGTATACAAATATTCAATTTTGTTGTAAAATCTTAGGTTGTTCAATGCCTAGACGTTATGGACCAGATTGTTCGTTGCCGTGTCCTCTAAATTGCAAAGAATACTGCCATATGCAAACAGGGATATGTTTTGAATGTAAGCCTGGTAAAAAGGGTGCTTTCTGTGAGCAAGGTAAGTTTTTTTTATTAGAAGCTACTGCACGTCTAATATTCATAAACAAATAACATTTTGTCACAATTAATGTCTATTTGAATAAAAAATTGCAATCAAACTCTTGTAGATTGAAAGTTTTAAAATACATTAAATTTACGGTTGAAAAGAAAGAAAAATTATCATTTACTTACTTTAAGTAAACTTTAACGCATAGATGGGGAAAATATTTATTAAAAACAACTTTAACTATGGAGAATCTCTGCTATCTCTTTTGGTATTTAGATTGTGATGGAAGAACATACGGTTTAGGATGTCGTTTACTTTGTGGAAACTGTTTTAATTCAAAACAATGCCATCATGTAAACGGCAGCTGCTTTGACGGCTGTGACGCGGGATACAAAGGACCGCTTTGTAAAACAGGTGAGAGAGCTCTCCGATCATTGTTTTTGTGTACGAAAAGTATGATTTGGCATCAAACTTAATTCAGCTTTAATTTTAAAAAGACCATGCAGATCTGCATGCTAGAAAAGTGTTTCTCTTGTCTACTTCAGAATTTTGTACAATTCTTATACGCTGAACAAAAATTACACGTAACGTACATTTAAAAAAAATATCTTATATTGCCTTGACAAAATGTCGCTAATATTTCTTTATAACGGTTACATGCATCTGCATTTCAGCGATTAATACATTTTGTTTAATATAAGATTTATTATAAACGGATTTTAGTTTATCAAATACAGATACATATTCATTTATTTGTAACCTTACAGAAAAGTTGTTTTTAGCCCACTATAACTATTAGTTTTTTTCTTTAATTCTGGAGTGTGTACCGGGGGAATATGGTGTAAACTGTAATGAGAGGTGTAGTAAACATTGTTCAATGACCAACAAATGTAATCCTGAAACCGGGCACTGCGATGGCGGTTGTAAATCGGGATGGAAAGGACCATTGTGTGATGAAGGTGCATACCAAACACAATGACAGACAATACAACCATTTCCAGCCTAGTTTGGACTTTCAGTAAGGCATGGCATTCTCAGCACTACATGTTTACCGCTTGTCCAATAGCTGATAGATTCTCACTGGTCAAGAAATTAATAACATCAGGATATTTGAATTGTTGTTGAAAAGGATGAGACGACTTAAGCTCCACCTCTTCACAGATCGAAACAATGTTATTGGTTATTTGATACACTAATTGGCATTTGTCCGAATTTCTATCCAATATATATTTCACCAGTGTTGAAAAGCTGCGTAAATTTCAGAAGATAAATACGAAACTGCCACGCCTTACTGAAAGTAAAAATTTTAAAGCTGGATACTGTCCTAAATTTCCATTTTGTTTTATTGCATTGGTTAAATTGAAGACAACGAAAAAGGGAAAAATAGAGAAACAAAAGACTTTGTAATTAAATATATTATGTTTGTTGAAAATCAAAAAAAATAAAAAAAAAATAAAGTCCATTTTATAAAAAAAAACATAAAAACTCAGCATAATATGGTTCGTGTAATGCAATTTTGCCCCCCCCCCGCTCCCAACAAAATCGAGCAAATAATAATATTTGTTTTTTTTTTAACTTCTAGGTCCTAGAGAAGATGTGACCTACTGGCAATCCAGATTTTACGGAGTTCTTGCTGCTCTCTGCGTGTGCATATCTATGTTTATGATGTTTATAGTGGCTATGTTTCTGCGACGGTAGGTACGTTCACCACAAAACCGTTTTAAAATAGATCTTAAATAGATACCAGATTAGATAATGTTTCATTTATGGACCCTGTGATTAATTAAAAGAATGTATCATTTCTTTTTCTCAGACGAGGCACCAGTGGAATAGACAGGGAGAATAAAGCGAAAGACAATAAGGATGAACCATGTAATATTAATTTCACAGTGAAGGCCGAAGAAATTATTAATAACGGATATCAAGGACTAGAGGACCAGACCGAATCTTCTGCTTATGATTTTATCAGATAGTATTATTTTTTTAGATAGGATAAGTGTATTGACAATAACATGTTGTGTGAAGAAAATGAGTAATAATCATGCTCTTAAGTCAATTCAAACATGGAAATCGTGGACAGAGTGATTTGTTTTTAAATTCTGTTTTCTTTATTTTATATTTTTTTCTTAAACAGAAGTAGATCATGTGCTATTGAGGAAGCATCCAATGCCGGCCGCCCACACTTGGCAATGCTAATGATCTCGAAACAATGGGAAAATCTAGAGAATAAAAATTGACTTGACAATTTTTACGACATGTATTTCAAGACAGAAATACATGTCAAATACAGAATTACATGTGATTGGATTAGTTAAATTTCTTTTAAATGCCTAGCTCCTTTCCAAGTAAATTTAAGTATAGTGTTTTAAATATGCAATCAAGTAAAGTACGCCGTAGCAAAAAGTAAATTTTGATCATAAAATTGTCTTATGCTACCTGTCAGTGATCAATATGACGTGTTAAAATGCGTTCAGTAAGATATTTACTCGAATTATTAAACAAGAATGTGAAAGTACATTATTATTTGGTTACTCTTCACCCCTGTGTTTGGAACCTATTCGTTTTCGGTGCTCCGCAAATAAGAAATCCCATGGTGTTCAAAGTAGCTCTAAATCTGACGGAAGCTTTGTCGAGAGTGTTCAGCGATATACGAGAATGTTACTAGGAAGTGATTACAATGCATGGAACTATTTTTTACCCAAATCAGCATCAGCAAAACAGCATCGGTATCCAGCTAGCATCAGGATCAGCATTTATATTTTTCATATGAATTAAGGAGGCAACTTGTCATGGTGAAATGAAGGAATTCACTAATTTATAATCAGAAAACATTATATGAAATAACAATCGTAGTAATTATACATTTTTGTTTACTCAAAAGTTGTAGTCATGTTCAGTAAGTGCCTTAACCCAATAACTGTATATCAATCTACTTTACACTAACAACTTTATATTAAGTGCCTCACCAAGTACAGGGTTGCGATAATAAAGCTATAAAGTAAAACATGACGTGTTATTCGTTAGTTAACGCTGGACGTGGCACTGTATAGCCTGAGGCTTTCATATCGTCAAGCTGTAAGTTATTCTTTGAGTCATTTATATCCATGTTACTGGAAACAGTTTTAAGGTCAAAGCCCTGTGACTTATTATATGCATGACCATCTCCATTCTTGGTATCTTGATGAACAACGTACAATTGATTGACGGTTGTCGAACAACCTTCTTTACACGTGTTTTTGTCCTGTTTTTCTTTTTTCTTTCTTTGAACCCTATCAAAATAAAACCATGAATGTGTTATTCTTTCCCTGAGCAAACAAATTCACATTGTTTTAAAATTAAAATTTAATTAATATCTATATATTTTTTTCTAAATATCATATCAGAAAAATCCATTCATTCATATTCATTCATATATCATTCTGGCGTCTTTCATAAATAAATGCATCTGGCAATATGTAAGTATAATCTATGCAGTTATGTTTGTTGATTTGTGCTGCCAATGAGGTATTCCGTGCCAACTACGAGGGTTGATGCATTTATGTATAGATAACACTCTGAGATATTAGAAAATTATGCATTTAAGGGCAAATGATACAAACTTTTGTTAAAAAAATGAAAATAACAATGTGAATCGTGTTTCACTGAGAAAAATTAAAAAAATGAATAACTTCCATAAAACGTATAAAATTAGTTTTTAGTGTTCATTATTTTCCAAAGTAGCCTTCTCTGATTTTAAGGCATATCTACCAAGGTTGTGCCAATGCGCGAATCACATGATCCAGGTGGTCACATGACATGCTCTGAAGCATCCTGTTCCACGCAAAAATATTTTTCCGAGTCTTTTTTATCTTAGCATTCAAGTTGCTTTTTATAACAAGAACAGACCATTTGTCAGAAATGACAAAATGTCGAGAAAAGGATGGCTGGATAAGGATATATTTTCCCAGAAAGAACATGGTGACCATCACGACCCGATTCCTCAATCCCAGAAACGTCGTTTATCCAATATGGATATAGTAGTAGGGGCCTTCTTTCTATCATATTTAATATGTTTAAGGTATAAATTAAACGATATTTTAGGGATTCAATAATATAATTGTTACTATATTCAATCATGTTTCTATTTGTAACTTCGTAATTTTTCATGACAAATTGTTTTACAAAGGATACATATCCACCGCTTGCGTTCTCTGGGCTACAAAACGAACGTTATTCTTAACCATCTCCATCCATTGACTTAAACATTCAATCAAATTTATGATTGAACGTCTGGCAAGTCTGTTGTCTTCATAATCCTAATACAAAATATTATAAGATACTTCAAAGAATTTTCAAGTGATACGTTAAACTTTACAGCCGTTCGTTGCTCGAGTAAGACTTTGACAACCATTTTTCGTCAAGAGTCACCTACATATTGACGTCATTTTCACACTGTTACGTCACAATGATGGAAAAGCATTACTTTTCATATGCTATTTATAGAACATGTGCACATGTGTGTCAAATTTCATTTTGATCTGAATCGTAGTTTTGTAATTATAGAGATAGTTCGCGAACTTTTTGATTACCCCTCGCACGTTTCAATGGTTTTTAGTATTTTATTTTAAGTTTCACAAATATGGACTTGGAAGTGAAAAATAAATGAATAGATGAATAAGGATGGTTTTTATAAAAGATTTATCACTTTTTTTTATTTTCTAGAAATTTGTTATTTTATCTTTTGCAATGGAATAAGGCCAAAAATATACCAATCCAAGCATCTTTTCTTTTATTTGCATCATCTGTCCATAATTGTAAGATGGGAAGTTTACCTATAGGGAATCATTATTTTCCAATTGACCCTATTCTTGTCGTTTTTTTCTTTGTACAATATTTATCTAATTCGAATATTTCTATTTTCTTTAGATATTAAAGCATTCATCACGCCATTTAGTACCCAGTAGATCACTCGTCAAACTTCGGAAAATGCAATTTAAAATAATTTGTTTTGTATAATATGTTCAATGGAAAAATACTGAATACAAATGTAGTATATAAGACTGACCTTTTAATACATATTTAGATAACTAAAGCCACGATTACAGCTATACAGATCAGCAAAGCAACAAGGACACCATAAAATCTTGATCCGTCAATTTCCTCTGAGAATTGAAAAAAAAATAGTACAAGAGAATCATTCCATCGGTTTACATTCGAAACATAAAATTAATGCTGCAGAGTTAGGCATGCTAAATGATCAATGTATACTTGGTAACTGAAAAACGTCTACCTTGCATGCATGTAAAACCTTTCCATCCAGCAGTACAGCCTTTGTTACAATGTCCAGTCACGTGGTGACAGTCATGTGATGTTTTGCAGAAAATGCTGCACTCCTGTTTGCAGTCGTCTCCATAAAATCCTGCATCACACACTGTTAGTTAAAGAATTAAAATATAGTTTTAATATCTTCATATTTAAAATGTTTTGGTTTTTCCCTTCAAACACCTAAATATCAATTCTGATACTGGAAGCTATATTCTATATTTAAGGGAAAAAGTAATTACGCGATTGTTTGTTTTTTTAGGAGTAAGATTCGAATTACCTTGTTTACAAAATGTTCCTTGATATCCTTCCTTACATCCTTCTTCGCAGGATCCATTTAAATGCTGACAAGTTGAGAACCGACAAAAGCCGCATGAATGAATGCAGTTTTCACCGTACTTATTTTCTTTGCAAACTAATGGAAAGAGATTTGATAGAACCAATTCAACATACCATTATGTTCACTTATTAGGCTCTACAAGTCCTAAAGAAATGCATATGCATTCCTGAAATTAATGATACATTTAAGGACAGATGATATAAAAAATGTATGCCCGGATTATATATATCTTTTACCTAATTTCGTTGTAAATGTTGCAACTAATACATTTCTAAGAAAAAAATGTGAATCTTCTGTGATATTCAAAATCTATCCCTCTGCAACCATCTTTTTTATTCTATTCCAAAATTATTTTTTCACTTCAAATTCAATTTTTGTGCAACTTTGAATAAAAGATTGAAACTTATCATTTAATTCATTATAAGATTACTTGTACTGTTATTTTCAAAATTTTAAACAACTTTTTTTTTTTTTTTTTTTTGTATAATCTGTAATTTAAATTTCAAAATTATTTACGGTTGCGCAGCAAATTAATTTTTAGCACACAATAATTGCCGATATTTGTCGGTTTTGTCCCTTTGTAGAAACATAGGTGGCGCCACGACCGTTTAGGTTCAACAACACTTCCGGTAGCATGTAAACACGTCAAATCTGTTCAACTGTCAATGGTATACCGATGTTTTCTAGGATTCCCAAGTGTTTGAGTTGTTGTTAATTATGCTTTCCTGTAGATAAAAAGCTGGGGAAACGTTAGGTATCAAAAAACTCGCTGACTTCAGACACCTGTGGTGGTGTGCCACATGCTTTCGGGGAGACGTTCATCTCTGCAACATCAGAAGGTATGTTCCTCATTTAGCTTTTTTTCGTATTTAAAAAGTTTTTTTAACTTTAAAATTAATATTTTCTCACTATATCCTGTAAAATATGTGTCGTTTTCACATGTTTTCATGATGGGGGAGGGGGGGGGTGTGCATTGTCAAACGTATCCGTGCTGAACATTATAATAAATTATTAAACTATGAACAGATATAAATCAATAATCGTTTAATTGTGAAAAGCTACAATACGAGTCTAAATGCATTTAATTAGTTTTTATTCTTTTATTATATATTGTTCTATGTTGATCTAAGTACTAATACTAAAGAGACCAAAATATACATAACTTCATGATATTAAAATTTCACACTCATGTAACACATTATTTTATTCTGTAAATTTATAGCTTTCTTGATCATTATGCGATCAGTATCATTAAAGGTTTAAAAGGCCTTTGTTGCAACCACTATTGAAATAACGACCACTATTGAAATAATTATATCAATAGTGGTCGTTATTTCAATAGTGGTTGCAACAGGCCTTGATACCAATACCCTGATCTTTCCAATTTTTGCTTGGAATTGAGGAAGATTTAGCATAAAGCAGAAGAAGTACACAGTTGGACTGTATATTTAATAAGGTATGTAATTAGAATACCTAGCGTTGTCAAGGATTACCATCTATTTAAATTATTCAGCAGTTTACTTGAAAATTTTGGGACAAATCTGTAATCTTGGGGTCGGAGATTTTGATATGTGAAAAATATTGGCCTACACTTTAGCTTCCATGTTAGAATTTAAAAGAAAAAAAAAAATGTTTAAAAACCTGTTGTTTAACATTGGGGCTTTAATTATTTTGACCCCCTACGGACCTTTTAAAATCCCGTCATTTATCTTTATTTGGAGATACAAGGGCATTATCTATTCATAATTTATGAGATAAAAATTGATAATTAAATCTAATGTAAATTCGGTATTTTTAATGTTTTAGGAATTGACTGAAATATCAAGAAAAGCAGACACTCCCACAAGGTGGCCTTTTGCCTCGAAGGAGAATCCGAGATTGATGAGGAAATTAACCACTGAATTAAACTTAGACTCATTTTACATCAGATTAGCCTCAGCAGTATATTATGATAACAATATGTTATGGATTTGAAATGGTGTAAACAATCATGACAGTTTTCTACAAAGATAAATGGAAGGATTCCTTAAAAAAACATGGATGTAATTCTTAATTATGATTGAACATACTTGATAGGACTTGAAAGTCTAAGATGGCTTAAGTTTGAAAATTAGGTACAATATTTTAAGTGTATGATTTGTAATTCAGCATATGGCATATTTTAGTTGTTTTTGCACATGTCATTATAAGAAAACAATAATAGATATAATGAATAATAAAATTTACTATATAACTGTTGTCTAAAATTATTTGAAAAGTTTTTATTGGGTAATTTTTTACCTCTGATTAAAATCAGATCTTTGTTACCCAATGAATTTCTAATGGTCGCTACAATCTTTGATATGTACAGCGACCATCAGAAATTGGGAGCGTAACAAAGATCTGATTTAAATCAGATTGTGGGCACTAATGCACACTCCTATTTAGAATTCTGCAGTAATATATTTTTCAAAATTTTTATACAATATTTAGCAGAAATTACTTACAGGTTGTTTGGTTTACTCACACCCATGACATAGTCACATTAAGAAAAAAAACTTTGAAGAGTGACACTGCGTATACTGGGAAAGAATGTTTCATAGGAATGCCAATAATTATATGATCCTTAAAATGTTAAAAAATCTAATTGATTAATGGTAATCTTGATAACGTTGGTGGTACATGTAAGAGCCAGAGGAATATTGCATTAGTCATTTAGAGAAAGGGACTTGGATGTCCTTGTCAATATCTTTATAAGTTTGACTAGATCACCGGGACTTGCTCCCGGTGTGTAATATTTTATTTATATTCAAACATCATACTTGTCTAGTATATGGTAATAATAAAACAATGTGTTGTTTTATTATTACTGTTATGTTTTTTTTTTTAATAAATAAATTATTACACGCCGGGAGCAAGTACCTGTGCTAGATCTGACAAATCTTGGCACCTTCACTTCTTCCCCATCTCTCTCTCTCTCTCTACATGTTCGGTTACCAAATTATTTTCAATAAAAATAAAATTTTCATGATTTTTTTATTCTATGAAACACTTGACTTCAGAAAAATGTAAACCAAACGAAATATTTTTTCCCTTGTTTAATTTCATACAATGAGTACTCAGGTACAGGTACTAGGGGTGTCCACGCTACACTCAGCGTCACCGTATATCTATATGCGTCCCAGGCATTACCAGCTGATTACTACGTATGCATGTGTAATGTAAACATCACTTGTTTAACCGTTGAAAAATAAAGTAGGACGAATAAAAATATGTAACAATAACAGTGAATTTATTTTCTAATGTTCATAAAATATTGTAAATGCAGGTGTGCTTCTTTCCGATCTATTTTTATACCCTTTATCAGTGTTTATTTTAAGGTAAACGCGATTGCTATCTGACGGAGGAAATTACGATTATAATCTCAAAATACGGAACAGACCTTTCCACAAGCTCCAATTTCGATCGAAGTATCGTGCACGTCGCCGATGTTATTCCTTTTTGATACTTTAAGACACCAAATACCGTAATCAGTCATTTTATAACGTATATTTTCACAACAGTTGATACCTTGGGATATTGAAAGTGATCTCTAATCGCGGAGGTAAAAGGAGAGTTGAACTTTAACGGTGCATACGCCACCTATATTCAGGGGCGGGTAATTTGAAGTTTTATTTGCAATTGATATCTACGAGGGGCGTTCAATAAATAATGTCATTAGCTCGATGACATACAACATAGAAGTCATATGACATAAAGCTTGACTTTCTCTCATTATTGAATCTTTAATGAATTTATAACAGTTTATGTGACCACTTTTCATCACATAGTTTTTTCGTGAGAAGCTGGGAAACAAGGGCTATTCGAGACACTGCATTATAAATGAATGGTAAAGAATCAGTAAACTAGAGTGGAAATTAAAGCTACATTAAAGCAGCTGTAAAACTTGTTAAAAATCCCAACGAAATATTCACAGAAATATGTGACATTTACAGCAACCGATGCCTGTTTTATAGACAAATTGGCAGGTGGATTTCAAAGATAAAAAATTATATAATGGACATCAAAAATGGGTACCCTCCTTGCCAACAAAAATTATAACAACTTCTGTACTGTTTGCCAAATTTCAACAAAAAAAAATTTTATGTTTTACGATTGACTTTAAGACGCATAGCAAATTTGATAGACATCATATCGGGAGTAGTTTACACTGTTTTTAAGAAACGTTTGACAGTAATTAAGCTTGGTACTCTAAGGTCACCCTGTATTTTGAAAAATGAGTGAAAACGACAGCGTGTACAAAAGTCTTAACAATTATTTTGAAATACCAGTAATTGTAGTAATCCACGTTTGTTTTATATTCAAACAGATATTGGAACATGAATCTATTACTTAAAACCATTAAAACAAAATTTTCCATAAGATATACTTGATAAAAACGGCGAAGGTCTGTTAAGAGCAAAGGTATGCAAGAGCACAAAAACAGATTTATATGCAATTTTCTTAAATATTAGTGGTATTATTGTTCAAATTTGTATTCCGGGAGACGGTTTAATATCTGGAGGTGTCTAGAAAGCAGTTTTTTGCAAAGAAATCAAAGGTTTATCAGAGTAAGGACCCAGAATCAGGAATCCACTACATTGAATTTCTTCTTGACAGCGTTTAAACCCGCATGCCCTAAAGAGTAAAGGGGTTTACGGGATAAACAGAAAGTTAATGTTATTTCACATTAACAATATTTGCCAGATCTTTGACCTTTTGACTTGTTTCTATTTCCAAACTTGAATAAAACACCTTTCAGAAGGAAAAAACAAGTGCAGGAAATCATTGGATCTGCCATTTTCCAGTATACTAAGGGTTTTACCCAAAAATGAGTTCTAAAAACAATCAGAAATTGGATAAAAAATTTTACGGACATGTGGTTGAATTAAAATAGATTAATAAGTAAAATCATGAAGACTAAATCATTGAAAAGCGTCGTTTGCTTATTTCTGAGCCCCAATGACATTATTTATTGAACGCCCCTCGTATCTGCAAACAATACATGTACCATCATAGCATCGAGCTCCCTCCCAGCCTGGTTGACATCCACCCTCACATTCTCCTGTGGCTCTGTTACATTGATATGGCACGCCACAGTTAACATTACATTTATGTTCACAGTTAATTCCAAATCTTCCATCCGAGCAACCTAAGAGAAGATTAATGACATTCATAACAAATAAATTTACAGCATAGCAATTTTTTTACGGTCTCTCTATTTCTAGTCTTGATCATTATGGATCACAAGATCTTATCAAAATAAACTGCTGAAAAACATACTTTTTTTAAAAAAAAAAATTATAAACAACCATTCCTACGATTAATTAAAGTCCAGTCATGCGGATTTTATTGACACATGCTTTTTCAATAAAATGCACTCGTATTTTTTTTCCTTGTCATTTGCATTTTTTGGTGAAAAGATTGATTGATTGATTGATTGTATATTGTTTAACGTCCCTCTCGAGAATTTTTTCACTCATATGGAGACGTCACCGTATGTCGGTGAAGGGCTTCAAATTTTGACCTTTACTCGACACTCAGGGCCGTTGAGAAGTGAGGGATCTTTATCGTGCCAACGCCTGCCACTGACACGGGGCCTCGATTTTTAAGGTCTCATCTGAAGGACCCGCAACTTTCACTTCAAAGTTCCGAGCGCATGGTGAAGGAACAGTTGCTACCCATTTTATCGACTAGGTCAGTTGCGGCCGAGATACGAACTCACGACCTCCCGATCACGGAGCGAGCGCTCTACCGACTGAGCTACCGTGAACGGTTTTTGTGAATTTTGAAAAGAAAACACATTCTGATTGGTATCCAATGACATGTCTTGCCAAAAAGAACACGAATGAAAAAAATTAAAGCGCTGGTCCTAAAAATTCAAAAGTTGTGGCCAAGGTTAAAAATTTTAAAAAGTTGGTCAAACTTCAAGGTCAAGGTCAGAGGGGAAAAGGTTCTGTTATCAAATTACAAGTCTTGTTACAATGACTAAATATGTAATATATGAAAGCACTAGGCCTAATGCTATAAAAGTTATGGTTAAGGTTTACTTTTTAAAAGTTGGCCAAAAGTAAAGGATCAAAGTTCTTAGTATCGGTTAAAGTGTCCTCTCACAAGGATTACATACGTGAAGCATGACTTCCTTATCCCTTACATGTACAGTTCAAAAGTTATGGCTAAGGTTGAGGATTTTTTCAGAAGTACGGAAATCTGTGAGGTCAAGGTCAAAAGATCAAATGCATATGTGAAGTATAAATGTCTTGGTATTATCTACTGTTCAAAAGATATGACCAAAGTTAAAGTTTAAATAGTTTTTGCAAAGGTGGGTCAAATTCTAAGATCAAGGTTAAAAGGTCAAATTTAGTGATTTCCAAAGAAAGGCCTTGTCACAAAGAATACACATGTAAATCCCTGAAACTTCGTCTACAGGGGTATAAAACATGAATGACTATTATTAACTTTTGGCTAGATTTTTAAGAAGAAAATTGGAATCTGGTATAAAAAAAATGTAGGTCTTTCGTTCATGTTGCTGTGTATATTTTGTGACTTGATGAACAGAATAACATTGAACATCTAATACATGCGAAATATAGTATATAAAGGCCTTTATTTTCGACAAGTCTATTTGGTGGTAAATAATGGAACAATGCAACATTTTTATATATTAGCAATATCAAAGTAAAATCAAAAAATAAAAATAATAATAATTAAGATAAGCAACATTGCTTTCATTCAACATAGGCATATATAAGAGATAAATAAGTTTGAAGTTATTGTTAAATCAAATTTCAGGATAATTTAATTTTTATCATAATTTCTAATGAACTGCAGTTACCTGCATTATACCTTATAGCTAAATAAATATTATTATCTACGTACGATATCAGAACTAGTGTTTACTCTTTGCATTCTTTAAACCTGCCTGTTTTGTTATCACTGGCATATATCGCCGGGCAAAGACCATCTCTGATTGAGCTGGTTATCTTGCATACCTTTGTTTACATTTTAATACTGTTGCATGCATTAGTGTTTGTTTGTAAACTGCGACTGACCTGTGCAGGTGTTGAAAATCTGCTATCTTACTCTCCTACACAAAAAATTACAGAGTATTTTTTGGTTGCTAGCGACCGATGTGTACCATATACTCCACTTCTGACGATTGATTACATTGAACAATGTGTAAGTGAGTGGCTTTATATGTATTGACCCTCAGATATAACGCGAAATCGGTCAAGTGTGGTTCAGCTAATTTTTTTACGAATCGTGTTTAGCTAAAATAGGATTATGATTTAAATTACCAGATTTACACAATTCTCCCTCAAATCCAGAGTCACAGCCCTCAAGACAAGAACCATTGACGTGATTACATTGTTTGTAACCCAGACAGGCTCCACATTTCTGTCCACAACCTTGACCATATCTGCCACCATCGCATTCTATCGAGAAAACAGAATACCGTTACATTTAAAAGGGCATAGAATTTTGAACCACCAATACTATTTCATTTGCTGACAAGTCATATCGTATAAACAAAAGAATATGCTAAGTGATGACTATAAGCAAGATTGTTGATTTCATGATAATATTGATATTATTGTTATATCAACACTCTTGCAAATAGTTTGCCTCTTTCTTTGAAGTTAGTTGGCCCCTTTACATGTAACATGCCCTTTCGAATCTTATTGTAAGGCATGCTCCCCATTTGCAGGTGATAAAAATTGACTGCTACTGTATATAATGACCAATGTTGAAGATTAAAAAGATTAAACCACCACGTTTAACATTAAAAAAATTAAAACCTTAGTGATAAGTTATCATTCGTCGTATTCCGCCAGTAAAATAGTTAAATACGATACAGATGTGTCAGACTTTTTTTGTTTCATTTCAAGTTCATTTGCATATACCACATATCCATATGAATGGACATAAATATTGTATATTAATAATACTTCGTAGCTATATATGTATATAAATGTCGAGTTGAAGGCTCCATGATGTTTTTTATTATTCTAATGCATACGTTTTAAATCTGCTTCATTTCATGAAAATAGGGGAAAATAATAGTTTCTGAAGAATTGAATTTGTGGTTAAATGATGATATGTATCTGAAATTTTAAATTTCATTGCGGTTTGGAATTCTTGGTTCCCTTACAGAACATGAAAGAAAATAGATTACATCTGAAATCATTATTTCACGGAATACACCCACTAATATTTCTCAGACTTTTATATAGATATACAGAAGTAAAAACAACTCAAAAGGTAAAGCATTTAAAATTATTTTCAATTTTTCATACATACACATGTAAATTTTAAATTGGAAAAAAAGTTAATTACATATAATATATCAATTGATTATATTTTCATTCACATTCTAGTAATCCTTGAGTATTCTTTCGTTTAGAAACAATAAGAATAATCAGAATCTGTCCTACCTATTCTTGTTCGAATTGTGTTTTAGCTAATTACGGTAAGGAATTATATATATTTAACAGCTACTTATATTCTAGCACATCAATGATTGTTTGGGGATTGGGGTAGGGCTGGCATACTTTAAAATATTCAAGATGCTATAAAATTAATGGAGTAGGCAACAACTTCGTTAATTCATCGCGAATGGAGAATAATACGTGGTCTGGTTGACTTACGTAATTTGCATTGACAACTTAGACAAACACCCGTCTCAATGTGACAGTAGCCACTTTGACAGTTCTTAGGACAGGGAAGGGAACAATTCCCTCCATAGTATCCCGTATTGTTGCAACCTAAGATTAAAGGTTTGAGAATTCTATATTCCTGGGAACAAAAGTTTAATTTATATAATGTAAACATTCCAATTTCAAAATTTTTACGGTGGATATTGATAGAGAAGCAAGCCAATATATGATTTGCATGAAAACGATTTACAAGAAGCATACCATTCACTTCCACTTCACACAATTCAACGTGAGCATCTGATGAATACTGCCTGGAATAAGGCGAGTTTTGTGGTCTCTCGTTATAGTATATGACATATTGGCCATGAACAGTGCAATTTATATCAACGATAGCTGGAATTGTTTTTGTAGAGTAATTTGTATCGTGAAAACATAGATGACCATCTAATCTGTCTGTTGTGTTAGAGATATAAACATAAAATCCCAAAAACCTTGAGGTGAATCCATTCGAAGAACCTAAAAAATAATATCAATTGGTTAAAATTGTTGCCGAAAATGTCTTGCAGGAACTTTTATACAATGCAGAAGTGGGATCTAGTGACGAGAATTGGAATAAAACTACCATACACATCCCCGATTCACAAGAATACCGCATGTTAATCTCGTTTATATAACGATTTGATTGTCAAATACGGAATTTCCTGTTGGGACCCGGGTTAGAATATTCCTCAGTACCCCCTTGCTTGTCGTAAAAGGCGACTAAATGGGGCTGTCCTTCGGATGAGACTGTATAGACCTATAGGCCCCGTGTCACAGCAGGTGTGGCACGATAAAGATCCCTCCATGCTCAAAGGCCGTAAGCGCCGAGCATACGCCTAAATTTTCATTCATTCACCAGCAATGGTGACGTCTCCATATCAGTGAAATATTCTGGAGAGAGACGTTAAAAATTATACAATCAATCAATCAAATACGGCAAAAAATACCTAATTAGTTTTTTGAGACTACACAGACCAGTGAATTTAATTCTTTTGCATTCATCAATACTTCAAAGACTTAGTATTTAGATAAATTAAAAACTATTGTCTGTTACAATTTTATTTTTGAAGAAAGTCACTTTTCTCTATTTTGATGAAAATCGGTCCAGAATTACAACCTTAAATATGCATACATCAAACAAATTGATTTCCTCTGTGTCTAAATAACTTGATTGAAAGGTTAGCTTGTTGGAAATCTAGAAGGAAAAAAATGAGATTTTTACTTGTTTGAATTTGAATGTTTTTTTATGCTGCACGTACAGGTAGATGTTCTTGATCATCTGTTGAAACGGTTTTAACTGAATGTTAATTGAATGATCTTTCCAATCGCCATTTAAAGTGTCATTATACGTCTTTTTTTACAAGACATTGTTTATTTTCTAATTAAAAAAATAATTTTTAGTGAGGTTATGCTCTTACAATATTTAAATTGGTACTTTCAATTTATGAAGTTTATTTTTATATATGTTTGATTTTTATTTAAATCAGTTCACCAGGTGGAATTGTTTCAGGGTTGTTTTTACATGAACTATATATTTCAATTCCCTATAAAAAAAATAATTTGTCATAATAGTTAAAAAGTATGTTCAATCTTACTAATATCTATGTTTTAAAGTCACTTTTATTCCTTCACATCAGTGCTAACAAAATCTAATTCTTGCACACACGTCGTAACCTTTTTCATCTTAAACAAAATAGCGATAAATGTATATAAAAGAGCACAAAGTACCCCAATCGTTGTTGTCCGTCCTGTAATATATCCTTATATCATGAATACTGTGGATGGACGTCAGGTTTACCCACCAGGTGGCGTCTTTGTATCCATCCGCTGATATTGCACATTGACCGCCGAACACCGAGAGGTCAGCTTTAAGACCATCAACTGCATTGCTTGAGTCAAATGTGTCTCTCCGATACTTAGGAATGCTAAACTCATGGGTTTCGTATGAAGGTTTATTTAAGGCGATGTTTTCTGCAAATTTATATTGGAAATATATATTCTAGTTCAACGTCGTAATAATAATAAAAAAAACGCATCTTTAAACTGGAAAAGCAAAAAGGAAACTTTGTCACAATATCAAAATATTGCTTAAATCGCAAACATTTTTCATTTACATTTTAGAGTGTTTTATTTGCACGCATCGATGCTCACTAGATAAAAGTACATGTAAAGTAAAACTGGATGATGTGCATACCGGCATGTTGTTCAGTTCTGCGTAATATTTTAGCCATTTAATTGGTTTCTTTGATTTCTCTTTTACTCCTTTATGTGTGTTTGAAAAACCTTGTCCATTCCAGATTTTAACTCTTCAGTTACAGGCAGCTATTTAAAGTATCAAGGGCTTATAATAATAAATGCAAATTATCTCCTCTTATCCGACCAATTATTTTTACATGTGCATATGTCTGCTTGGGTTGGTAGACATGTCTCGCTTCGAGGGATTTTTTTTTCCAGTTAATATAATTGAAGATCTTTTGTTTTTGTTTTGTTTTTTATCAAACGTAACAAAAGCTCAAAAAATTAACAAAAAATGGAAAACTCCCAAAAAAACATTTACAGTTTTCTACTTTCGTTTGGTTTGCACGATTTGAAAATCGAATTATTTCATATAATAAAAAGCGCACATAAGTGCATAGAGAAAATATTACTTATTTTGAGAGATTATTACGTCACGCCGAAACTCTCTCCGACGTTACCGTGAACATTCTTGATGCACTTCTGCTGCGTTTAACTAAGATTTTTAAACGCTTTGACCAGCATGCTTTTTAAGAATAGATGATACAAACAAAATGTCACAACTTTTTGAAATAACAACTTTTGTCATGTTTTAAGGAATTAAATCAATATATTATTCAATTATTCAAAGTTGCATAAAAATTGAAATTAGGGTTAAAAAATTGTATAGAATAATAAGGATGGTTTACAATTTCTTAATTTTCTAGAAATTTATCCTTGCATCATTTTCAATGAATTTAGGTCAACAAAAAGATGCCAATCCATTCATCCATTTTTTATTTGTATTATCTGTCCTTGAGGTAAAATTGTGGGATTCTTAATACAGTAGTTGTACAGTGAATGAAAGATATGGATACATTACGAACAGTATTCAAGATTAAATGTCCATAAAATGATACAAAATAGTGGCAGAAAAAAACAGACCTCCAAAACATCAGAGGTGGGAACAGGTTCCATTGAATAGTTCACACACCCTGTCTACTGGTTAAACCCGCCGTGTGCTCCTTGTCATGATCAGAAATAACGGAAAAAAATAACTAAGTGTATAAATAATATACTAACAAATTGTATGAAAAACGCCAAGTAATATTTGATCTTCTTCTTGTTTCATTAATTCGATAGTCAATAATTTAACTTGTTTTAAAAATTGCATATGTAGAGCATGCCCTGCGTATCGAATCAACTGATATACATAAACTTCATATGCAGGTGAGGAAGGTATATTGCTGCATAAGGATGGAAAGTTGACGATAGCAAAACGAAATTCATCACGTTTTTCATACAGCTTGGTAGTTAGATTACCATTGACGTCAACTTCAATTGAAACATCCAAATATGAATTATAAGTGAATGATAAAACTCTGCCATTTACTTAAGTTAGATTGTCGTTTTATATACGTGGCCTCTTTTTTATTTGATATTAAAATCCTTTTTTACTAAAACTAAAAAGTTAATAAGATGAATATTTTTGACACACCAATATTCTATTTTCAGATTTCTTTAAATTAGAAATGACATTCCCTGGTTTGACATCTTTTGATTTTTACCATTGATTATACTTAGTCAAAAAAAAATATTTACTGTAAATTTTGACACAATCGTGTCAATTTCATAGGACTTTAAGACTTGAGTTTAATGTCTTTAAATGCAATATGATAACTTATATGATAATTTTTTATCTTTGTGAAATGTTTTTGGTTAAATGTAAGTATTTTTTTCATAATTAGTATCCTTGTTTTGGTAGAAAAGGGTGATTTTTCTTATTTTTAAAGTAAACATCCGCTTTTTAATCACAGCGCTTAAAATCAAGAGAACTCAAAAGTTAATGAAAATTTGCAGACACATCAACAGCAGCTTATTTACATATTTGAATATTTCTGAAGTAATGAGTTGCTAATTTTTGTACATATCTTTGGATAAATTCAGAAGAAGATATGAAATACAATTCATATACTTACGAGACGAACTTATCATAATTTTATCCAAAATGATTCTGGAAGCGATACAACTTGAAATTTACATAATCTACTTTTTAAAATCATAATTCGTACCATATCCGTATGTGATGTGTAGAACTTTAAATATCAAAAATGCCCGAAACATGACTACATCAACTTAGATACATGCATGCATGTAGATAAATATGTATAAGTTTGAGTTGTCTGTCAGCTGATATAGTATAAAATTATATATAAAAAACCGATAACAGTGTTTAAATAGCTGGTTACGTGGTGTTTTTGACAGATAAGCTATAATCTGAAATATACTTCTTTGCTGTTTGATTTCCTTCGTATGAACAATCTAAACAGGTGCAATACAATGTCTTAATAGTCCTATTCATACAGATCATTACGGAAACACGTAATAAGATACTGTAAATCACTTTTTATTCGCGAGAATTTTATTTTCGCGTTATTACGCGAAACAGTGTGCTCGCGAAACTTTGATTCTCGCTTAAAATAGTATTCCTTAAGATTATATCGAGCAATAACCACAATTCGTGAAAAATTTGTCTCGCTTATCAAGAGTCAATGACTATCTCGCGAAAATAAGGTGTCGCGAAAATTTAGTGACCTATAGTTCTGAAGCGGATAATCCCGCTTGCTCAAAACATATATCAATTACAATTCTACATGTACGAGGGGGTATCATAAAGTCCGTTGCCGGACGTAAAAACATAACGGCGACGGCGCCAGCTGATCACACATGTATAATGCCGTTTAAATTTTATAATAATTTCTCAAATGATGAACGTATCATACTAAAAAATTCAATATGTTTTTTTTTTTTTTTTGTTTTGTTTTTTTTTTGTTTTACGTTCCTTTTAAATTTTGAAAAGCACAGATTACATAAGTACTATATGTAATTCTATAGCTACAGTCTACGAACTTTTTGATAACCCCTCGTACATGTACATGTAACTAAGAGATGCTTAGAACAACGTATGTAAATTAAAACATTATAATTTTGCTTGATATAAAAAAATCAATGCTAGTTTTGGATTCTAAAAAGCTTTTCTTTTCACTGGGAAAGAAACAATTCATGTCGAATACCACTCCCACTAGATGGATCATTTTTCTCTATCTTACTTTATATGTTTCATTGAGATATTATGGAGACAACGAACAGTATTCAAACTCAGATTCATTGCGCAGTGTCTATTCAACAGATGCAAAGTTAAGAATTGGTCCTTAAGTCTCGGGTTCGAATCCCACTATGGTTCATGGAGTCCGGATCATCGGATGAAATCCTATAAACCAAGGTCCATTTTCGTAGTAAGTGCAGACACGAAAAAGATGATTTCCCTGATAGATGGCCCTCAGTGTCGATTATAGGATAAAATTTGCATCTCTCCATCGGCAGTTGATGGCGTCTCCCTATGAGTGAAAACTTCTTGAGAGGGACGTTAAACAATGGCGTCTCCCTATAAGTGAAAAATTCTTGAGAAGGACGTTTAACAATCAATCAAACAAACAAAAATCAATAAATTCATTAAAAAACAGAAAATAGGAGCAGAGCAAACAAGGACCTCCCACACATCAGAGGTGAAACATCAGCAAGCAATTGTCTATAATTGTCACAACCTTGTGATCAATGTGACACATCTGGTTGTAAAGGATGCCTCGAATGTTTATTTTTTACATGGATATGTACTTAATAATTAAGGTAATTGTATTGTAAATGTTTCAGCATTGAAAATGTTTGAGTTGAAACAAAAAATGAGACAAAAAAATGTGGTGAAAAAAGAATAGTCTACAGATAGTTTCTGTAGTTTAAGCTTTATCAGATTCCGATGTAATCAGGGATAATTTACTTCTCAGGGGACTAGAATACCGATTGTGATGTCTGTCAAGCAAAGAATTGAGAAGTTATCTTGAATTTGCTACGTTTAAAACCCTGACCTCTGATCATAATCGACACGGACTCTTTTCATCCAGGGAAACAAAAGAAAGTTAGAGAACAGCCAGATATAGATTTCTAAAGAAATTTATTAAAAACACTTATTTACACAACTGTCAAACATTTTTGCAATAATGTACAAGTTATATTTACACAGGAAAGGTAATGCTTTTTCCCCTAACTTGAATTTAAACTACCTGATTCCTATCATGCAGACCAATGCACAAAAAGAATGAAGTTATGTCAGTTCGACAGATATTTAAAGACTTGTTAAACAAGAAATATTCGTGTATTTTACTTCCTTGATTTCCAAAGTCGTATGGATAGAGTGGTAATGAAAATGCATGTATCATTTCTAATATATTTTACTTTAGCAACTAGATGTACTTACGCATATGGTAAGTCATGTTTTTAGTTAATTTTAACCTTTATTTTCACGATACGAAAATTTACGTCAGCTCATTTAATAACTGCGTAAAAATTTTTTTTTTTCAGACCAGAAAGTTTATCTTGCACTATTTACTTAACTCATTTTACTGCATGCACATAAGAAAAAAACAAAAAACGTTTCAATCGTTGGAATGGCTAACCCCTTCTCTAAGTTGATGTTAATAGTCAGGTAGAATCTAGAAAATCATGTTAGAGAAGATATATGATATAGACATGAGCTAATGCACCGATCCCAATCGCTACTTCGCAGGGCTTCGCGACAAGCGGAAGAACAACAATGAATCTGTTTCGTTGGCGTCCATGACTAGAGATTTGAATTAAGTTGTAATAATCAATAAAATCTACAAGCTTAAATTTCAAAGAGATACCACAGAGAAAACAGTTGAAAATATTAATATTTGCGAATAATATTGTTATATTGTTATAGTATTTTTATTGTACATGTACTCTGTATTCACTGAAAGTTTGGGATATTAATTTGGGTTTGTCTTTGCGTCGAAATATCCGTTCGTCTATATTTTTTTCTTTCTGTAGCATTTTCGTTTCAACGAGATATCTGGAGAACCCCTTAAACCTTTGCAGTGATTTTTTTCTCACAACTCCGTTGGACTTAAGAGAGACTTTTTTTGTTATTTTGAGGTCAGAGATCAATGGCCAAGATCATACTTTATGTTTGTGTGTAAAACTTCCATTTCAGGGCACAAAGCTCTGGATCTTTTGCAATTCAATTTATACCATAACCGCTATGGCCCAATTCATCTCTCTTATATTGTCTTGTACCAACCCCCAACCCTCATGCATGCTTTTCTTTTCTTTCCTAACTGATTTTCAACTTATTCTTATAAAATGTTGCTAAATGGCCAAACTAATCTAACAACATAACAAATCATATAACAGATTATAGAAAAATACCAAAAAATACATTGAAAAAAAAAATAAATGCATTTTCTTTGGCACTTGTAGTAAAATCAAAACAAAATTCAATACAAAATTTTAGATACTCAAATTTTCATGAAACTTGCAATCGCTTCAAGTTGCTTTTATAAATATTACACATCCACACATAAATCAGCTGTTGCTGTTGACAATGTGTATTGAAATTAATCCTTTTGCACAGTTTGCCTTTCCCATCTGTAACTTGAACGCAGACGTAAACTTCGAGTTACATTTTTCTTTCAGAAAATCTTGCCTTCCACAAGCCGACATGGCAAAGCTCTAGTCACCATGAAACGGTTGGTTCAGAAAAGGCTGTTGATGGTTTGTACGATGATAGATCATATGCAGGAAAACAGTGCAGCGTTTCAGATGGGGCGATAACGCAACGTGGTGGGTGAATCTGACTGAAATCCAAAGCATACATCACATTACGATTTACTACAGGACAGACAAAATCAAATGGGGTACGTTCAAATCAGTCAATTATGTGTACTTTGTAGGGAAGGTTTGTTTATTTTGTGTTTTTGTGTGGCAGTGGAAGGTGTGATCTCACAAATTAAAAGAAAACAGCAAATACACAGTAGCAACAAGACCTATCCTGGTGGATTGATTAATTGATTGTAGGTTTTTAACGCCCCTCTCGAGGATTTTTCACTCATATGGAAACGCCACCACTTACCAGTGGAGAGCTAAAAATTTTGTCCTATACTCGGCACTTATGGCCATTGAGCAGGGAGGGATCTTTTTCGTGGCAGCACCTACTGCGAAACCGGGCCTCAGTTTATACGGTCTCATCCGAAGGACTGGTCTCCACGCCCCACAGTTGTATTGTAGAACCCGCGACATAAGGATCGACTGTTCACTTCGCGACTCTAGAACAGACGCTTTAACCTTTGTGTCATGCACATTCTGGTGGAAAGTATCCCTAGAGTAGTCCCAGCACAGGCTACTGAAATGTGGATCAATAGCTCTCCCCTCCCATTCAATTGAGAAAAAAAGTTAAAGAGTGTATAAAATCTCAGAAATATGAAATTTCTACACTAGCCACATGCAATTTGATAATCGAGCACGATCCAAATTAAAACTATTAAAGTATTTGTGCTCGCCCTTATATATTGTCGCACCGTCAACATATTATTTATCTATTAAGTAATTGGTACGTGATGTCAACAATCCTTTAAAGAAGACTTCAGTCTGTCTCAAACACTACACACTAGCTCCAATACGAGGAGATTTTATTTTTTCTGTGTTACATGACGACGTACGTAATTGAAGTTACATTACGCAACGAAAGCCTGCACATCGCTGACTTTAAAGAAAGACTACTAATCGCGTTATATCCATTAAATCAAGCTGACTTTATCTTTGCTTAATTTTTCCTTATATTCTAGTCAAAACTTAGCAAGGAGTAAAGATCTAGTGAAAGAAACATGCCTACAGATTCATCAAATTTAAGAATAATTTCTTTAAATGATGCTTTAAAACTTAAAGTTAATCCAGTAGGATGTTTCGGGACAGAAGTTTTGGGTAAACAAGATGTAAAATCATATTTCAAACTGTCATTTCCATTGATCATGAAAAATTTAGAAGATCAATCATGAATATGGAAGAGTTTCCATATCAGACAAAAAATGCATCCAGATTGCTTATAGTCTTTTGACTAAGGGTAATTTGGGTGTTCGTGTCCTCTTCTTTTAAATAATGTTAAATTAAATCTAGGTTTTGGGATTACTTTTCATGTGTTTTCAAACTGAACTCAATGATAATACTTTACTTTCTTCATAATTCTTTTAGTACAGTAAAGTACGAGAAAAATAAAGTAAAAAAATGACGTCACAAATTGATCTAGCATTAAAAAGTTAGACCGAAGACATTCATCAGACTTGACCTTAACCCTTTTTCCCATAGTCACACATATACATATACCATTTCCTATTCCTAACGCAAAATCACGCATATATTGTTTCCTCGCAATCATATACCTCCTAAAATTTCAAAAATAAGAAATAAGATATTTTCTTATTGAAATTTTAGGTCATGATATTATTTAAGCTGCACATTAGAGAAACTTGAACCTGGGTATAAAGAGTTTGCGGGAAAAAAAGCTACGTCATATTTCTACGATGGGGATTTTAAGTGTATGTTGCGTAACAGTTGAGTAAGTTGTAAAAAGTTAAAGAAGCGATGCATTCGCAGTACAAAGGTACTGCGGGAAAAATAATCTGGATCAATGTGTAAGTCCGAATTTTCTCTTCACCTGGGCGTTGTTGTATTGTTTAACGTCCCTCTCGAGAATGTTTCACTCATATGGAGACGTCACCGTATGTCGATGAAGGGCTTCAAATTTTGACCTTTACTTGCACTCAACCATTTAATTATTTGTAAAAAGTTAAAGAAATGATGCACTTTGACTTCAAAGTGCCGAGCCCATGAAAAAACAGTCCCTTTTATCGACTGGTTAAGTCGCGGCCGAGATCTGCATCACAGAGCGAGCGCTTTACTCTACTACCGTGAGCGGTCGTTGTTGTTCGATATTATATGCCTACATAATATTTTAGAAAACCAAGTAACAGTGTCATTCCTTTCTTTTCAGATGCAAACAATCCATACACCATTAGATTTCGTGGGTTTTCCTTGTACATATCCAATTCAACAGAAATTAATGAGGGTGAATTGTGCTTTCGTGACACACAATTTACAAATTTTACAATACCAGAAATTTTCAACACAACATGTACAAAACACGGACAGTTTGTCATCTACTATAACTTTCGACCACAGAATAATCAAACATTAAGAGGACTATCGGGTAAAGCATTCAGTGAACTCTGCGAGGTCGAAGTATATGGTATGAACTTAAAAATACATATTTTATTCGATATACTCAAATTTCGCATTCAGCTAAATTTTTATTTGTGTCTTTCTGGAGTCTTATTTTATTACTTCACACACAGTATTGAATTGTAAATAACAGAAGGAAAAGTATTACTTATCTATAATATGCAAATATAGCTCTTTAATGAGGCCGATCGAGAATAAATTGACTTCACTTCATATTCCAATCTCGATGTCTCTCTGTGAACTCGATAAAACATATATTGACAGAACAAAAGGATTACATTTCAGGCAACAAGAAGTTCTATATAGTAACAAGGATATTTACAGAAAAGTTGAATTTTGAACACAGAAAGTTTACAATTTCTTAATATTTTGAAAATTTATTATAGTTATCATTTACAACAAATATATGTTCAAAAATCCTGGCAAACAATTTTGTTTGTATCATATATTCTTAAGAATCATTCAGGAGATACATGTATGCATTTCACAACTTTTAAATAATAATCCAGATAGGTATGTATGCTGTACATGTAACACACTTGATCATGTGATTGAGTTTGAACCGATCATACAGTTTGGAATAATAGTGTACAAGTAGCATCAAATATGACAGGTTGCAATGAAACAGGCTTTTACGGACCAGATTGTTCTGAATACTGTCCTGACAGAAACTGTCGCCACTGCCACATAGAAACAGGAGATTGTCAAGGATGTTACCCTGGATATCAAGGATATCGATGCAACGAAGGTATATGCATGTATACACTGATTTAAAGGCTTTTAATTGTTAAGCATGTGTTTAATCTCTTTTGTACACAAATATATAAACCTAGAAAAGCATATCTACAAAATCAAATCGAAGACAAATTGAACTATATGCACTTCAAAATCACATCTAATTATATTAAAAACAAGTTCCTTTTAAAATCAAAGAATGCGATAAAAAGATGTACGGAGACACTTGTAAGATGCAATGTGGGGCCTGTCTGGGATATAAACAATGTCACCACGTTAATGGTTCTTGTCTTGATGGTTGTGACGCGGGATATGAAGGAAACCTTTGTAAAATAGGTAATGATTCACAAAATTAATGAAACTGAACTCATCATTCATTTATCATTATATGTCAAAAATTCAATAATGTCAATTCTTTTTTAAACTAAGTCTAGTATAAATTTATTTTTAGCTTGTTCTAATGGAAAGTTTGGAAGAAATTGTAGACAAAACTGCAGTAGAAACTGTGCCTACCCTAACAGGTGCGATGGAACCTCTGGGGAGTGCGAAGGGGGTTGTAAAGCTGGCTGGCAGGGGCCTCAGTGCAATGATAGTAATTGTATTCCAATATAAATACATGTATATGTATACCTTATCAAATAAAGACTACATTCGTATAACGTTTTTCACGACATCTGTTCTTTAATAAAATAAATACAAGTTCTCGATTCCATTGCATCCAATTCTTTATACATGTTTTATATGAAAATAATTGTTATGTGAGAGCAATATCTTAATATTGCATTTTGGTTTCAAAAATCAGACGTTATAAATATAAACAATGAACAATGCACAGCAAAAATGAAAACAAAAATTTAGAAATTCCATTAAACCGTATATGAAGTTAAGAATTGAGGAATATTTATGATGAACTGATAAAAAAATCAACTTTTATTTTAGAATGTTTTGATGGAACATATGGAGCAAACTGCAGTGAACGCTGTGGAAATTGTCTACTTCAATCGAGTTGTCATCATGTGAATGGAACTTGTTTAGATGGGTGCAGTGAAGGCTACCAGGGAATTCTATGTATAGATGGTAATATATATAGAACTTTTACAAAACCAGTTTACGATAGGAACTAAATTCATATCACAAAAGAATCAAAATTACATTTTAATGGATTGTTTAAATCGAAGCAATTATTGAGAAACAAGATGATGAATCAAAAACATCAAAGTCTAATTTAAAAATTCATCATTGTTGCAGGTTTGTGATCGATACAATATACAATAACAGTATAAGTCAAAACAATCTATAATTAAGTCGAATGTTGACTGACTTTTTCATACGGATTTTACATGTGTAAGGCCATTAAAAAATGTCTGCGGATATTTTCCGTTGTCCGATGCATACTCCACTGTGGCATATGAACCCAGCTCTGATTTGCACTTTCACAATAATCTTTTGCTGTCGGTTACTGTTCGTCATTTCAATCATTCTTGAAAGAAGGGCGGTTTTTTAATTTTACTTTTTTGTCTCAGTACATTCAAAAATATCTACCTATCTATCTCTCTGAGTGTGTTGTGTGAACGTTTGATTTTCATGAATTTAGAAGGCATGTGTATTATGAACGAAACAATAAGTCAACAACAGTTTTCTCTCGGATTTCAGAGTGTGAGCCATACAATTATGGAATCGACTGCATGCACAACTGTAGTGCTGAATGTATTAATGAAACTTGTGACTCCAAAACTGGATATTGTGATGGACTGCAGGTAATAATTACAATGTCACATTCACTCCGCATGCGTGTTCGTGTTCAATTTGATTTCTTTTAAAGAACGTTATGCCTCAGAAATGTATATATACTAGTATGCATATGATTAAAAGTGCGCTTTGATTTTTTTAATAATTTTCATGGCGGAAGTAACCATGCACAAAATTCGTAAAAGAGTCACATTAACCTAGGTTTTTTTTTCTTTTACTTCTCAAAACAAGTTTATTCATGTAAATCTTTGCAATGTCACTTTTCGTCACGGAATATCAAAAATAAATCTCGTGCAATGTTACAACCGAAATGATCAGTGTTTTCTCATTTGTTGAACAGTTGTATCATTTTGAAACAGAAAGAATAAATAATAAACCTTGTAGAAATCCATACCTCAGACGAATGGAGATGATATTTTAATACCAGTCATTGGAGGAGTTTTGGGGGTAGTCGTAGCGAGTATAATAATTATAACGGCAGTGCTGCTGATAAGGAGGTGAATTTACTTTTTAATCGTGTTTATTGAGCTTCCGAATATTCATGCTTTCATTTCTTTTACACATCTTTGATAATTGTTCGTCGAATTCAGTCTATTATACATTTAAAATTTTTTTTATAATCATCCAGACTGAGATTCCAAAGGCCACTTTGCCCATGAGATCAATTGCATTTGTTTTGCATTTGTCCATTTATTCATACTCTTATGACATACTATTATACTATATTGTTGATTGAAAAAGGAAAACTAAGATAAAATTGATGGAAACTTTAATTTCCTAGAAAATATGTTGAATTCTTTAAAACATTGTGCTTTGTCAAATTCCCTTATATTAAAAGAATACCAAAAGTTTACAGTGATATGGAGATTATTACAAATAAACCGCTTCCATGGAGATATCTAAATGGAGTAATGGCTAATACATGTATGATTTGCTTGTAGCAATTTTTTTTAAAGACTGCAAAAAATATAGAAAGATTGCTATCCATGTTGAATTGATCCTGCATTACCGCTCTTGCTCTTCTTTCAACTCTCGTCTTCTCCGAACAATATTGATAATATTCGTGTGCATTAAATGAATTATCTTGAAGAAATCTTGATAAAAACAAGCTATTTAAGTTTCTTATGACATTTATGAATTTCAATCTCATGGATATACCTTTTAGGCAAGGTGGACTCAGCTCAACAATGTATGAAGCAGACAATGCACCAACTGATCAAGTCAATAAAGGAAAAGGTAGTCTACACATTGACGATTTAGTTCAATCTCTCTGTGAACTGCACAATTTATCTTAATATGTTCAATTCATTTTTAATCGCTTGCGTGTGTGTTTGAAGGAAATATATTCCAGGTTATCTGGAAACATTTTTAAAATACATTAGCATGATTAAACTTGACTCTAACAAAGAAAATAACAATATAGGAGAACTACATGTAGCACCTCAGTGAATACATGTATATCCATTCTAAATTGACAATAAAAAATTACATTTGAAAATAAGTGGGAGTAGACCCGCTTCCTCATCATTGACAATTCATGTACGTGCCTGTAAATATAGTTTTAAATACTTCCAAACTAAAAAAAAGATTGCACAATTTGATGGTTTTAATAACAATGATATCAGTTTTACTTACAAATGTTAAGCATCATATTCATAAGCCACATCTTAACTTGGTTTTAATGTATAATCCGCGGTTAATATAAATTAATATTTTGTCCTTTTTTAGCTTCAAGGAAAGATGGAGAAACGGGTTTTTCTGATATTTATTTAAAACCAGTTTCATCAAGAAATCGAGAAGAACATTATGAAAATGTACCAAATGAAAAACCCTTTCTTTCTCCAAAGATAGATCAAGATATAGATGAAGACGAGTTAATACATTCGGAAAATCCCTATGGGGAATTTTATGCCAATGAGACAGTCATCGAGGATATCCTTTTGAAAGACCTCGAATCGGTTATCGCCGAGAAGAGGAAAAAAGAAGATGACGGATTTCAGAAAGAATACGCAGTGAGTCTTATTTACAAAAATGCAAAAATGTTGAGACTTATGTGGAAGCATTCTGGGGTAGTGTAGATTCTTAATTGTTTTAATAATTATCCCCATGGGTACGGTTGGAACATAGATTAGAATACACATGAAAAAGATTTACAAATCTTCTTTTCAAGAACCACTGGGCCGAAGGAATAAGTAAGTGAAGTTTGAATAAATGAACAAAAATAATCTGTTAGACTCCAATATTTAAGTTTACAGTGTTCTTTTAGAAGCCTAAGTTTGAGACTACAATCTCCGAAATATAAAATAGAGTGATCGTTGTCATTTGCTTACTTTAGCTTTATATAAGCCAATGAATTATGAAGCCGAAAAGATAATTTTTGGTATGTTGTCTGCTGCAGACATTGCCTTACGGGGAAAAGTATAGATGTGACGCCGGGAAGAAAGATGAAAACATGGTTAAAAATAGATTTAAAACAACGTTTCCATGTAAGTATCCAAATCAGAAAATAAATCATCATTATTAATTTGTGCAATTTTTGCATTTTACGATGAACACGCCGTCTCATTCTTTTTTTAAAAAGTACGTGTAGCTTAACAGATAGGTAACTTGATACAATGGATTAAAAATTGTAAACAAACATTGAAACATAATAGATTATGTACAGCCAATTGAAAAAAATGTCCTTTTTTAATGTTCCAATTCTCACACTCTTTAACAATGAAATTTTTAAAATAACTTTGCCTGCTGATCTTTTTGTTTCGTTTTATATAGATGACCACTCAAGGGTAATTCTGAATACTGGGACAGGATCAGACTACATAAATGCCAATTACATTACCGTAGGTATCTTTTTTTCTTATTTTCTCAGCTGTTAAGGTAAAATTAACATAAGACCATATACCCCACCCCCTTTCCAATCTATTGGTGAAATATCCAGAATGTCTTGGGAAGGAATTTTTTTTACTCTATCCAGAGTTTTTTTAATCATCTAAAAAAAAATTCGAGCTAAGTAACACAAGTTAAAATATTTTTTTCTTCTTAGTATATGTTTAAGCTTACAGTTTTTCGGTCCTTCGTATAGTTAGCAAGTTTGTAAATTATTAAAGGCCATATGAACATTTAAATATACATGAAAAAAATCCCCACAAGCTTACTCACAACCCCCTTTTCAGTGATTTCTTTTGGGGTTTTCAATCATTAAAGAACAAAAATATTCACTGCACTAAGCAATCACGAAAAAAAAAAAATAGAAAATTGATTGTTATACGTTGGGAAAGAAGGGTTTGGAGAAGGGGGTCAAATATGGTGGTTTTCAAACAAGACATAAGAAAAAAAAATTGTGTTTATTTTTGCAAGGAACCCGATGTTACTACTCATTATTCCGTCTTCATGCTATTTATTTACTTACAACTAACGAAGCTAAATAAAAAAAAAATGTTGTGTGCTGTGGGAACAACTACAACTATTTTTAATTATTTTTAAAAAGGCAGTGTAGAATTGAACTCTTTGGCTCCCCCTAATCTTGCTTTCATTAAGATATAAAATATTCAATTCAATTTAGGATTGTGTTGCATCAATTATCGTTGGTTTTGCATAAGATTCTTTCGATTTTGCATTTGCATCTGCTGAATTTATTTATTTTATTTTTTTTTTTTTGTAATTCAGTGTGTTTTTTTCAATGAATAATTTCATTTATATAAACGTTTTTATCCTTTCTTTTGCCAAATCATTTTTCAAGAAGAGTAAAAATATTTTGTAATACAACTTGTGTTCCTAAGGGTTCAAGAAAAGACAAGGAGTACATTGCAGCACAAGGTAATATACATCTAATTACTATTTTTAAAGGGCTAATATATTTTCAGTAAAACAAACGTTCACTTTTGAGTATAGAGATATTTTTTTGGAATATGCGGATTGCAAATATTCATGTGTATTTTTAAAGAGAAACTACAAATGGACTTTGGTACCTTAAACATTGATAGAAGGAGTATAGATAATGCAAAATTTTGGCTGAGTTGTCAATATATGTTTTTAAAAGGTCCAAGACAGAATACAGTCGCTGATTTTTGGGCTATGATTTGGCAAGAACACGTTTCTACAATTGTTATGTTGACCAACCTAAAGGAAGGAAACAAGGTATGCATTTCTACACACCATGAAAAATAAATTCAAGTATCTCTTTATTCCAAACATCATAATATAGATTAAAGGCATTAAAATATCTTTTTGATAGACAAAATGCACTAAGTATTGGCCACATGAAAACAACAACATTGACGATGGTACTTTTTCTGTCAATATAATTGAGGAAAAAGTATACGCTTTCTACAAAGTTCGGAAGATGTCATTAATCCATAAGAGAGTATGTACTTGTATATTAAATAGAAACATGATATGCTGATTTTACACTATTTAACGTCTTTCCTCATCCAACAAAACAAAAGATCGAAGACATAAGAGAGATCCTAACTTAAAAAAATAATTTGACTACCTTTTTTTTTGTATGAAAATAAAGTGAAAATATATGATAATGCCCCGCGGATATGTAATTTAAAAAAAAAATGTAAATCACGTCGCTTTCTACAATCTTTTTTTCTCTCTATGGAGTTTATACCTTTTTGATCAAATGCTCTAAAAAATGTATTGAGAGAATTTAGTAACATGAAATTATAAGAAACTTTAATTTTTTTCACATGGCTCATTTATTTAAACACATTTATTTTAATATATTTCCAGACAAATAAATCTCGTGTGGTGACGCAATACCATTATACTGCTTAGCCAGACCATGGAACCCCTGATCCTCTCTGTCTTGTTGTCTTTCTTGATCACGTGACGAGAACAGTAACCAATCAGAACTGTCCAACCCTTGTGCACTGCAGGTAAACATTTTATACATAAACGGTATTTATATTATTTAGGATATACAAAAGAAAGGAACAAATAACATATAAATAAAGCATTTTTTTTTTCAAATTCTCGAATTATTTTCATCGTATATTTTTGGATTAAGGTGATTCGAACGTGACGAAATCAAATCTACCGCGCAACTCGAACTGCTGAAAATAGGCTGATCACTACTGATGTCGTGATACTAATAATTACGTCTCATTTTGTTATAAAAGTAATTTTATGGACCACAAGCAAGGATTTGAGAGACAAATAAAGTAATTTTCAATAGAATTCTGATAAAATCATTCAACACTGGCATTTCGAGTCTTCTTCCGACATTAGGAATTTACGACAATTCCCTGGCCGTTTTCCGCCACCATGTTGACAGAGAGACAGTCTCTTTTGTTTTCAAAGAAAAAATACTTTATTCGTTTATTTTTTGTATCCAAGAAGTCTACTGATCTATGCTGTTTGGTACCTTGCAACAACTGTTCAGGCGATTTTATTTCTAGGGTCAACCTGCACGACAAGATCAAGATGTACACCATGATTTTCAGGTAAATCCAACAAAATGTTCCGACCGAGCCTTCTTGTTCACTATGTTTAGTACGTAATGTCTTCTAAAAAGACACAGTTTATTTACATCATGGTGAAAGGTTAGCTAATCAAGTAAATGCAGAAGTATAATATGATCTATGTACGTTTTTGTCTCATCTCGAAAATGAAGGGAAAAAAATTTCACATGGCTGCTACAATGTATGGGCAGTGCATAGAATGAGTCAATGAGAATGACACCATTGATGCAGTGAGTTCTTATTCTCGTGATAAAGATATTTTGTACTTGTCCTTTAAAACAATATTGAATTTATTCACACAAATGAGAAAATAGCAAAAATCATGCACATTTCATGATTGGTCATTGAGTGACGGAAAAAAAAATAGCTCCCATGTTTATAATTTTTAAAATAATATGTTGACGGTGCGACCGTTAGAGCGAGCGCAAACTCTTCTATTGTTTTAATTAAGATCGGGCTCGTCAAACCGCACGTGACATTTGGTGCGTCTAGACTCTGACGTCACATGACGTCGTATGTTAGTTGCAATACCAAGAAAAAACTGAACTGTGCTGAAAGTTAATGAAGAACGTTTCGTTTACTATTTATCTTCAATATGTATCCATTTAATCAAGGCGAGTAAACTTTTTGTTGAACATTTGCCGTTATTCTCGCGAGAACGTAGCTAAAACAAATGATGCATTGTGGGTCCAAATTACTGCGTCAAAAAATTCTATCGAATGAATGTAGAGTAGTCCGAATTTTCTCTTCGCCCAGGCGTTGTCGTTAGAGCTCGCAGTGACGAGCGTTGCTTCGCGACACTCACTGCGCTCGCTATGAGTTGATGTCTTTCCTACAAAATTGATGTAATGACACACAGTTAAAATAACATGATAAAAAGTCTTTTTGTAAAAAAAAAAAAAAAAAAAAAAAAACAGTTGACCAATTATTATATTATATGTATTTTCATTTTATGAAACATTGTTGAGGACACTGGTTCTATGTTCATGTTTACAGCACACATTCATTTATTAGTTTTTGTTCGGAAATAATTTATAAAAAGGAAGGTCTATAAAATTTTCACAGAAGTCTATAAAATTCACATGTAAGTTGAATACTGTCAGATAAGTGATTTGTTTTCTCGATAGGTTTTTAATAACCGCCAGATGAAATTACTGGAGTTTCCATCAGTAAGCAGTCAAAATGTACAACCTGAGTCAACACTTTGCAGTATAATCCCTTTGATCCAGATGTGCTAAAAGACAACTGTGATGCTTAAACCATCTGGCTGGGTATGAAAAAATTATAATTCTAAATTGATAAACTTTTCAAATTTTAAAAAGTAAACTTGCTAAAATTATTATAGTACATGTCAGACTGATAAAATGTACATATTACTGTATACCGGGAAATTTCGCCCCGTTTTATTGTTGCTCCTTTCACCCTGACCTCGGTTGGGCAAATTCAAAGAATACAGCACATTTTAACTCCCTGTATTATCTGCAAAATTAATGTTATTCAAAATCCTTTGTATTATCCTTGGGGTAAGTTTTAATTAATGAAAGAGTCATGCCAAATCTACTAAATGAATGTTAAACTCTTCAATTTGAGAGTGAATTTTGATTTTCCCATATGATGTCGCATGGTATTCAAGGTTTGTGACATAAACATAAAATTGAAAAAAACTTAATATTTACCTTTTGAGCTTACTGTCAATGTAATTTTGTATTATATGCCCAAAATTCTATGCATTTCATAGGCTAAATACATGTGGAATGTAAATATTATTTTGTAGGTATCATGCTATTTTTATTTCATTGGAATATTACTATTAGAATATCAATAATCAGTCAGTAATAGGTAATTTCATAAAAGATGTTACATTATTACATGTATATTCTGTGTCCACCTGTCAATAAGGCTGTAACTGAGTAAAGTTTTTTTTTTTCAGGCAAAGAATCTCATCTGTGTTGAATTTGGCCACATGTCAACATGACCGAGGTGTTTACACTCAAGCTGCAATGAAAGACTTAATTGTTCATCAGAATTTTACCAATTGAAAGCCACAGAAAGTCAAGATTGAAGTTGGAAAAATAAAAGGGAAGAAGCATTTGTGTCAGAACCTCCCATAAGATTTAAAGCACTTCTGTATGAACAGACCTGCTGCATACATGTAAATGATATACTTTTTGAGGAACTTTTGTAATACACTGTACTAAATCCGTCTTTTTTCCAGTCAGTGTGCCCATTTATGTTATTCCTAAGTTTAAGCTTGCAAAAGTTAAGCAATGATACATTATACATATATTACATGTCTTCAAGGGCAGCATACTAGAATATTTGCTCCTCGGTGACAGGAAAGCCCTGGAGTGTTATGTTGCTCGATGCCGAAGGCAGAGGGTGACATAACACTCCAGGGCTTTCCTGTCACAGAGGGGCAAATATTCTGGTATTAATGCCCAAGAATTAAGCCATGTAATATATGGTATATAACATTTTTAATCATTGAACCCTAATCGATCATCGAACATATTTATTGAACACTAGGCCTATGTAAACATGTACGTTGAGTATAATTCAGAAATATCCCGTCCTGTTTCATGGCAGAGAGTTTTCAGTATACTGACAAGTTGATAACGTTTGGTGTATTTAAGGATTTTTTCTCCTCAATTAAATTATTTGATTCATCTAAATTCAAATAAACAAATCACAGATGTTGTCCAGACTTTTGAATTTTAGCAGAACTGTTTACATTTGCTTAACAACTGCCTCTGTAAATTTCGAATCCAACATATTTAATACACAGAATGATTGCACGCGAGGGAACATAACTGTGTTTGGGAGGGCAATATAACTGTTTCTGGTGGAACATAACTATATCCGGCGTGATTAAGCAGTTTTTCAGGGCATATTGATAAAAATATATTTGTGATATAATAGGAAAACTTTTTCAAAAATGTTATATAAATGTTTTGTCATTTTTGTCATTCGTTTTTTCTAGATTTTTAAAAAAAAATTAAAAATTCCTTTTGTGTGTGTGTGTGTGTTCAGGAAGAGGAAATTTGAATTGTAAACCGTCAAACTTATTCTTAATTTACTGAAATTGGGTCATATGTATATCATTATGTTCCATATTCCAATATGATATATTATATTTTAAATGGCAGGGAAAGGTCAGTCCATGGATATATATATTTTTTATACCCCGGCTCCGAAGGAGAGGGGGGTATACTGTTTTTCCCTTGTGCGTCTGTCTGTCTGTCTGTGTGTCCGTCCGAAACAAGTTTTCGTCGCAGTTTTCTCAGCAACTACTCATCGTAGATGCTTGAAATTTTAATACAATCTTCTCTGAGGCATGCCATGTGATGGGATACATTTTTTGCTCAAATCCGATGTCAACTTCCTGTTTGTCTGTGCATCTGTCCGTTTCATACATAACAAATTTTCGTCGCAGTTTTCTCTGCAACTAATCATTGTAGATGCTTGAAATTTTAACACAATCTTCTCTAAGGTATGCCAAATGTTTAGCTACATTTTTTTTTTAAATCGAATATCAACTTCCTGTTTGTCGTGCGTCTGTCTGTTTCACCTATAACAATTTTCGATGCAGTTTTCTCATTAGCTATTCATAGCGGATGCTTGAAATTTTATTACACTCTTTGTTGAGGCATGCCATATGGTGGGATTAATTTTGATATGAATCTGATGTCAACTTCATATTTTCTGTGCATCTGCCTGTAATTGAACTTGTGTATATTAACATGATAGTGCTTATTTACATCAGAGCGTGGGAACATGTATTACTAGTGAGCATTGGCTCACAGATTTCTTGTTTTTATTAAGGCAAACATTTTACATTATTGGTTTGTTATTTTAAAAAATTCAGAGGAAATTAGATTTGTAATGTGCACTTTTTTTCACCTGAACTGTGCAAATATGTCAGTGTTATTTTCTAAATTAGGTATACAAATAAAATCTTTAAAAAATTATGAAAAAATTTATATCATGTATAGTATTATCTAAAGTATGTTTTTAACATATTTTATTAAATAAATTGACATTGATTAATTTTGATTAAGCTGTTAAGCCTCAATTGCCAATATATGTATATATGTATTTCGGGGTAATTTTTAAAAATAGACCAGAGGAAATTCGGATTAGAATATCTTTTTATTTGACTTATGACCATACCAATTTCTCCCCTCTGTTACTTAGCTATATATCTCTTATTTAAAATAAAGGTTAGAAAAAAAAATATCCAATTACTTTTAGTGTGTTTTTATAACCATTTTTGTTGTCAGAGTTAAGAAAAAATGGACAATTTTTAAGACGACAGAGGAAATTCAGGCTGTCGTAGAATGTTATTGGAATGTACTATCTATGTGTAAAAATGACAAGATGATGTTGATCTGATACCCTTTTTTATACATGAAAATAAATAAATTCTGATTATAATTTGTAAGTATTTTCATACTTTTTTTTACTGGCAGTGGGATTTTTTTCACAGATTTTACAATTTCAAACAAGGGCATATTCAGAGGATGTTGCCATGGAAACGAGCGCATTAACATATATATTTTTTATGATTCTTTAACCACAAACTTGTCCTCTATCCGAAGGAAACCATCTTTTAAAATTCCAATTACTTTCACGACAGGTTCGAATCACCTTAAATATATTTTATTCAATATTTGAATTCTTTTTTTTCATTTTAGTGCAGGTATAGGAAGGACAGGGACCTACATAGCAATAGACGTTCTGAACAAGATAGGAAGAAAGACAGGGAAAGTTAACATAGCAGAGTATATCAAGAAGATGAGAGAAAATAGGATGAATATGGTCCAAACCTATGTATGAACCTTTCTTTTATATTAAGCAACATTTTAGAGGTCTCTTATTTTGCTAACAATTTATAATGCGTAAACATATTATACAGTTAAAGTATATAATTCGGGGAGTTAGCAAGATTCCAGTCTCCCAAAGCCAGGATTATATCCGGAGGCGTAGCCGAGGGAAACTGTCCTTGTCGAGGGGAACTTGAAACTTGCTAACTCTCACAATTGATGTTTTTTTTAAACTGTTTTTATACCGATACAAAAGTTAAAAAAAATAGATGATTACGAATGACAGGGATTTAGCTTATGGACTACGGCACGGAGATTAGTCCATTAACATATTAGACCGATGGAAAAATTAAAATCTAGAGGATTATTGATAACTGGGGAATTAGCTTCAGAAGCAGGGATTAGCTCATTTGACTAATGCATGGGGATTAGTTCATTTACAGAGGTTCTAGGGAATTATTCATATTTTACTACCTAACTTTTATATTGGAAAAAATCAGTGGGGGTATGATAAATATTTGTAACGTCTTCACTTATTTTCTCTCGTTTAGTTGAATGTTATTTCTTTGGAGAAACTGTGAGAGAAATAAAAATTATCCGATCTATGGAAATTAAACATTCATGTTTTACATAAATTTGTATCGCCGTCACCCGCGTGGCACAGTAGTTAAATCGTCTTACCTAGAGTAGCAGAATAAGGAGTTTATCCTTAAGTAGCGAGTTCAAATCTATGACTACGGGACGTGAAGACTAGTCCTTCCGATGATACTGTGTTCCAATGTTGTAGTAGAAACTGCTTTGGATAAAGATTGTTCACTACTTAAGGTCTTTGAGTGCTGAGTAAAAATGTAAATTTGCAGCCGTCCACTGGCAAGTGGTGGCTTCCCTATACGAGTGAAAAATTTTCAAGATGGAATTAAACATCATACAAAGAAACGACGTCCAAACCCATGTACAAGTAAAGAGTAATATAATCATGACTAGCTTTTTAAATGTAAATTATGATGACGCTCATGAAAATTTATATTCGGTGAAAGCCCAAAACAATGTAGCCTTTCATTGCTTTTGTCTCTATTATTATTTTCAATCATCACGTGCTTAGAAAAAAACATAAAGTAAAGTATTAAATTTTCTTCACTGTAAACTTCTTTTGTGTTTGTTCATTTTCAATCTCAAAATATGTTCTTTTTGATTAGTTTTCAAAAAAGGAAATAATCCGGTACTCTAAATGAATTACACCTCTATATTGCAGGAACAGTATATGACCATTTTTCTTGCATTAAACGAAATATTTAAATCACCTGTAAATACCATAACGGTTGCCGACTTCATCAAAAATGTGGAGACCATATCCATTGACAAACCTGCAAATCAAAGTACTTTACGAAAAGAATTTCAGGTAAGTATACATGTACATACCGTATAAGTGGAAATATTAGCGAGACGTAAATTTAGTGATTTGTGCTTAAAAACTGCTATTCTATTTTTTAGCGAGATGCAATTGTAGCGATTTTAAAATGTTTACCAAAGAAGCCTTTGAAATAAAACGCAATTAATATTTAGCGATATTAAATTTTAGCGATATCAGCACCCTCGCTAAAAATGCCAAAATTAAATCCTGGCTAAAAATTCTACTTATACGGTATAATTTGAATAATAAATAGATGATAGATAGATACAGGTAGGTATGCAAAGTAAATCAATACAAGGACCCACTATTAAGAATCAAAAAGGAAATTCAAGCATCATAAATATTCAGCTTAAACACTCAAACATGAAACACATTAATTTGAGAAGGAACTTGGATAATGATATATAAGGGAAGACTAGGAGGACAGTTAGGGGAATTAAGATTTGTGAAAATAGTTCACCCTGTTTCTCCTTGATACAGACCCTGATGAAGATACGTCCTGTCTACACAGACTGTGACTACAAGTTAGCAATACAGAGCCTTGTGGAAGCACATTCTATCGGCATACTACCTTGTGAGTAGTTTATTTTTTCAAGCAAAATCTAAGGCAGTTATAGATTGGTCAGCTGAATACTTAAAAATCTTTATAAAACTGTTATTTGGAAAAAAAGAAATAGATAGTTAATAAATTTGTTTTTTTATTTTCATAAATAGTGGACAAGTATAGCATTCATCTTCCGTCCAATGTACCAAAACGAGGGAGTTTCATAAACGCTATCTGTTTACCGGTAAGACAAACGGTTTCATATCGTTTATTTTTTGAAAAAAAAAAAAGATATCAATAGATATTCACAATACAACATTGAAATTTCAGTGAGCCAAATATTAAGAAATCAAGATGCACATTCATTTACAGAGTGGATTTTAATTCAATTACGCTATCTATTTTTTATAGTCTTATATCAACAGTAAAGCGTTCATAGTAACGCATTATCCCCGAAAGTTAGAAATCTTATGTTAGAAACTGCCGTATGTAATGATCAGAATTTTTTGTGATTTGTATGAAAAATTAAAAAAAATTGAATTTTTATGTTTATTGTAAATGCAAACTAACGTTTAAAATTATTATTCTTTTTTTTTTTCCTCAAAAAAAAAATCTCTCTATTTCATCAATACAACAAAGTATATGTCTGTGTACCCGCCTGTAAGCATGTGATTATCCAGATTTCTTTTGAATATTAACTGTATCAATAAAAATTGAACGTAAAGGAACGCAGACCTATAAGTAATCTTGAAAGTATAACATTGAAATTATTCATGTGAGTCAATTATTACGAAAACAAGATGCACATTCATTTACAGAGTGGGTTATAATTCCATTACGCTATCTATTTTTTTTTAACAGTCTTTTATCAACAGTAAAGCGTTCATAGTAACGCATTATCCCCCGGCAGAGGACGCCGTGGACTTCCTGCGCTTGCTCAGTGACCATGAATCTGACATTGTGATTTGTATGGACCCACTTAAAGAGGTTGACTCGGTATGTAATCATTGAAAAATTGCATAATCTAACGTTTAAAAATATTATTCTTTCACATTTTCCTCACGTCTGTCTGCTTTTCATCGGTCCGTCTGTCTACCCTTCTGTGTACCCGCCTGAAAACATGTGATAACCCAGATTTATTTTGAAGATCAACTGTATCAATTGAGCGTGTAATAAAGTAAAGTGACTTAAAATTTGTTTAAATGAAGGGTCAAGCATTCGTCCAATGGATTAAAAACGATGAATAAGTAAAAAAAAAATGTTTAAAAGATTACAAAAACATATTCTAAGGTAGTGTAGATTGATTTGTTTTATTTATGCACCCATCCTACCATCCTTTCTCTGGGTGGCAAAGGGTGGAGTTGCGTTTTCCTGCCGATTTCTTCTCTTTAGTCCAGGCTAATATGCTCAGTTGAACGATATGGTGAATGGACCTCTTATTTACAAATTTATTTTATCAAGTCGTATACGTATTTTTTAAAACATATCTTATTTCATAATGTATTTGTCTAGTTAAATGAAAAATCCCATACACAAACTTAAACAAAATAGATTGCTATACGAAAACGTTTCTGAAAACAAACACCTACATGTAGAGTGCTCACTTGTAATCATCTTTGATTTATTCATTTCTATAAAAGAAAAAAAAATTCTCCAGAAATTACGAAAATGCAACTTCACAATTCAGTATAAATTTTATTTTTTTTCAAATACATGATTTGTTTTTACTGCTAAGTTTCTCGGGACATGCTCAATAGTGTATTTTAACATATTACACTATAAAAATTCCTAAATTGCATGAACATTGAGAGAAATGCCAAAAATGCCATTTTAACTCCTTGTGTAAAGATAAATATTTATAATTTATTTGTATTCTAATTATTTTTTTTTCCTTATTTTTATTTCATACTCCTGAACCTTCTTGTAGAGTTCGTCGTGGTTTCCTAATCCCTCCTCCTCAAAATCAGTCAATCCATATACGGTTCATTGGCAGTCTATATCAAACACTGAAGTTAAAAGCACCGCCATTCATGTTTTGCAGAACAAGGTGAGTTAATGTCTCGTGCTTAGCATTAAATATAAAAGAGATAGCAATAAAAAAAAATCCTATGTTTGCAATGTGGCAAGGCACTTTGAAAAAATTACGCACTTTGAATTTTTTTTTCAAAGTGCGTTAAATTTGGGACACTCTCAACTCACTTTGAAAAATATATTTCAAAGTGCGTAAAGAGTGTACATAATCACTTTTTTACTTTGGGACATATAAGTTAAACGCACTTTGAAAAAAACATGTATAAAAGAAAAAAAAAATCTGTATACTTAGCTTTTAGTAATAGAGAGAATCAACTTTTATTCATTATATCTTTCGAAAAACATTTTAATTTACATATATTCATTTAACCATTGGGAACAAGGAAAAGGCGAGTAGATGGTCTCTCAGCCCAACTCTTTTTTTTATACATTGTACAAAGTCGTTCATAGCAAATTGAAAGTGGACACCCCCCTCAAAAGCAAGCCAAGATTTTCAATGCCTATATATCTTTGCAAAACATTTGAGTTCCTAAGAATCCCCCAAGAGGTACCGATGCTTATGCTACACCCAAATATAGGTATTTGCATTAATGGTATGACGTTGAAAACTTTCAATAAATTTTAGTTTACATATAAAATGCATACAAACCGCAAAACTTCAGTAAAATATCTAAGAGAGATATAATTTTCAAAGTACGGAAAAATCAAAATCGCTCACTTTCACATCCTGAAGTGAACTCATCACCAAAGAGTTATCAAACAGGTTCAATTATTTAACATTCCAAAGATTTGCAAGAATATTGACCAATCTGTGCATATTTTTTTCAAAGTGCGTTAATATGGTCGATACATGTATTCGCGCACTTTGAAAAGAAAATCTATTTTTTCAACGTGCAATGATTTCGTCCCAAATTTAACGCACTTTGACATTTTTTTTTCAAAGTGCGTATTTTTTCAAAATGCGTTGTAACATTGCAATCTACATTTGTGAACTTTTCCCTAATGTTACGACATATTAAAAAATAAATTAATATCTTTGAACTAATCCCTTTTTCTGTTAAATTGAGCAATTACCCTTTTAAAAAATAGTGATTTTGAACGTGAACTGCATGTAATTGCTTGGTATTTCATATTTTAGGCGTTGTGATTTTAACGTATTTGGAAACGGGAGATACATGCATAATGTAACACATTTTAATAACATTCATTTTAGAGTGAAGATGAGGTTCATTCTGTCACTGTCATCGAACCAAAGGTCGGAATTAAAATATCCGGAAAGCCTCTGGACACTTTTCAGATTCGGAATCTTGTAGTTGCTGCATTAAACGTGAAGACAGAAAATCCAATCACAATAATCTGCAGGTAACTATTGTCTTGTCAATTATATATATTTTATCTCTCAACAACAAAATTGTTAAAATTATTTCTTAATAACCTTGTGGTTTACACACCCCCTGACAACCAGCTGAATCATTCGATCCATATATTTACTGATAATTTCATTTAATAAATGTTCCTTCAACTTCAAACAGTAGCTGTTTAAAAAAAATGGCTGATCTGTAAATCTGTTAACCTTTGAAACTTCCGTTACTAGGGAAGTATTATTGACCGGCAAATTTGAACTCATAAGAAGCAACACAGTTTTACACAATATCACAAATTTAACAGTTGTTTAATATTTTTAGAATTAAATTTTCAGAAGTGATTCTAAGTTATTCGATGATAACATCGTTTGAGTCAGTTTTGAGTCCGCTTCACGGATTATTAAGCGTATACTGACCCAAACCAGGTTATCATGGAATAATTTGGCCACGAAATAGAGTAATTCCTTAAATAATCTAAAAAAAAAAATTGTTTAAACATTTTTTTTTCGAGTGATACTGAATATTTAGAATGATAATTATGTAATAAGAAAACCTCTGTTAAATGAAAAAATGGATATTTTGAATTAAGCTTTCCGAAAAACTAGATTCTTAAATATCCTTATAAGGATTCAAGTAAACAATCGCATTGGGAGTTACTGTACAAACACAAATATCACGGACAATAAAAAGCGTTGTTTTCTAATTTAACCGACGCAAAAATATTGTCATAGAAAAAAATCGTGTGGGATTTATTTTGTTTCTAATTATTAACAACGAATAAACGAAATTTAATCCTCCGGGCGACAAATATTTCTGTGTCTATATTGTTTTAAAAAGTCTTAGTAATTGAAATCATTTAATCATGTGATAAGTTCTTTGTACTTGAGTTTACCTGTTTAGGTTTTAGAAAAATATGATATGTAAGCATTCTATAAACCATTCATTGTGAAAATGCTTTCATTTACATTATTAAACAAGATTGTAAATTAAAGGTGTACATTAGTTGGTATTGCTTGTTGTTTAGCAATGGAGCGTCCCTGTGTGGAGTTTTCTGTGCTGTTCATAACGTGATACAACAGATTAACACAGACGACTGTATTGATATTTTCACTGTCGTCAGACAACTTCAAGTTAGAAGACCAGAATTCTTTTCCAGTTTTGTAAGTGTTTATTCAATGTACACCTTTTCAAAATTAATTTAGATCTTTAATTGTTTTATCTTTACGAAAGATACATGTATATTCAGGAACAAAAAAAATGAGAAATTATATATTTGAGGGGTTATCAAAAAAAAAAAAAAAACTAATGACCTTTATAGGATTAAAGCCTCTTGAGTTACATCAGTTATTTTTTAACATTAAGTATGCATCATCTTTTCCATCAATAATAAACTAAATCATCAGTTTAAACATCGAAGATGACGTTTTTAGCTCACCTCAACGAAGTTGAAACGTGAAAGGGGGCTTATGTGATACTCTTTGTGTCGGCGTCAATGTCCAAGATTAAAGGTAAAAGTGCAGTTTTCTCATTAATTAATTTTATGCAATACAATGATTACGTATACATGCAAAATGCTTATTATGTTTATAATTATACTAGTTAAGTTTCAGATGCTGCAATTTCAGCTAAGAAATTACCAGGTTAATGTTTGGCAGCAAATTAAAGTTTTTAAGGCTGGTAAAAGTTTTTGGTGCACGTATCATTTCCAAGTAATTATAAGCCCTATAGACCAAACTTTTAAAAGTTGTATATCTATGAGATGACCTCTACCAGGCTTGCTTCATATGCTGGATCTGACCTATATTTTCCGGATGAGTGAACAGATTAAAGTTTTTGGTGAAGATTTTATTTCTGAGTATCTATGAAACATTTGTAATAAATATGAAGTTTGAAAAGCAAATTATGTTGCTTAATTAAGAAAGAATCTTTCACTATTTCTTGATCCTTTTATAATATTATGCATTGCAATTAGATGCTCATGACATTGTCAAATCAAATAAAGAAGACCGATGTGAGTATTTAATAAACTCCAGCCAATCTCACCAAAATAATTGTAAAGGTAAGGGGTTTGCGCATATATAAAAAACAGCATTCTGATTATATAGGGGGTGATTTTCGCGAACTATATCTATATTTACAAAACCACTATTCAGAACAGAATGAAATTTGGCACACATAGAGCCATACACGTGTTTTATAAAAGCATCTGTAATAAATGTTTTCCTCAATGTTAGTGACGTCACAATATGAAAATTACGTCAATATGCATGCCACTTGTGATAAAAAATGGTCGACTCAGTCGTATGCGAGAAACGAATGTCTGTTAAGGTAAACGAGTATCATGGAAATTCCTTTACAGAAGCTTATAATAATTTGTAACAGTTTATGAAGACAAAAGACTTGCGAAAAGTTTAGTCATTAATTGGATCGATTGTTAATGTGAAGGAAGGGGGATGTTAAAAAGTGATGTCTGTTCCGTCTTCGAATAAAACCAAGCTGGGGAAGAGATGTGTCCTTTGTTAAGCAATTTGATATGAAAGTTCGCCAACTTACAGTTTTAAGAATTAAACATACATGGTGTATACCGTTATGACTTTTCATTATGATAATTTAACAAATCATCAACGCATTAAGCTAAGATTTTTAATACTTTTTTCCCTTTTGCTGTGTTATGTTGCTTAATAGTTTTGTTAGCAGAGAATTAATAGTATTATGTGCATCACATCAGTCCAAGAAGTTTTTGATAGCCTCTCGTACATGTAGATACATGAATTTCTTATGATTTTTAATATTTTTTATATACATAAACAGGATGAATACAGCTTTGCCGTAAAATGTGTGTACGATTACATTCAAAGTACCACGGAGAACATATACTGTAATCAATAAGATGGGAACTTGCAACCTTTCTCAGACTAAAGGCTTTCGCCCTGAAAGTTCTCCGAAGTTAGACGTCTGTTTCATGCAAAATGCATCTATAGCAGCTTGTAAAGTCCTAGTTTTTTAAGCTATGTAAGCTTACAACATGTATTACCTGAGTGTTATTGTTTCATTTTCTTGTTTGATGAAAATTATGAATGAATTCTGTGAACGAGGGTCGTTCAATTAATAATGCAATATGCTATCTAAAATAAGAAAAGTACAGATTCTTAATATGTTCAATTCCTCAAAGCATCCCCTGTTACTCTTTTTACAATTCTTTGTTTAGAACACCACAGCATACTTATCTATGAGAATACCCATAGCAATTATAAATAATCTTCCCTTGAAATATCTAATAAATTTCTGTCTTCCTTTAATTCTTTTAATGCTTTTTTTTTGGAATACAAAGATCCAACAATAACTGCAGTCAAGCGAATATTTGCGATGGAAAAGCCCTGAATTTAATCTTTTTCTCTTTCTTATCCATCTGAAAATTATTATACAGCTGCAGTAAAAATCAATTCTTAACATATCAATATCAAATCTTTAATATACGTTTTCTGACGATTTATTTAAAATATTATTATATTAATAAGCTCTCTTTTTTTCATTCCCTTGACATTCTTGAGATCATCCATCAATAGTTTTCAGTTCAGTGTTGTTACCACACCTACTTAAAAATGAATACAAATACTTTGCAAGGACAAAACGATACATCATGGGTATTTTTTAGAATAGGGGATCTTGAATAAAACGTTTTAAATGTGAAAAAAATACTATGCATTGCTTTACTTATTGAAAAACCCTCGTACTCTGGTTTGAAATAGTTGAATGTAAAGTGAACTTTTTAGACAGAAACATTAATATATTTATTTGTGTCTTGGTAATTTTATGTTACACATTTTTTGCTTAAAATAGATTGTTCAATTAGCGAGTGACACTTCCAAGCATGTTACAAAGAAACAGAGTACAATGTATCAGAACCGATTATTTTCCTATAGAGACATTACTCAATACATTTAAAACTTTCACTTAGTTTACGTAATGGTAACACCTGTCATTTGTACATATACTGTCGATTAATACATATTGAGATGTGTAGATTTCGGTCTATAATTTTGAAAGAAAAATAAAATTCGTTTTGTTTTCTGGTTTTTCTTTTTATTCTAAATCGGAATTTATTCTAGGGTAGGAGGTTTGAGCCTGACGAAATCTCACGTCGAGCAATCAATCAATCAATCAATCGATCAATCAATCATGGGCTGTCCAGATGCCAGAGCGCTTCGTAGTAAAAGTGTTTTAGAGAATGTTATTTTTTTCTAAAATCGATCTTAACTTTTTAAACCGAAATGCTTTTGAAAGAAGGTCTGAAACAGACAATTCGAATGTACCATCACTGTTGACTTCAAATATATACAGAACTCTAAAAAGTAATACCATATCAGTACGGATAATTATCCTACATGTATCAATATAAACAGGGATTTCCTAATCTAGATTGCCAAAAAAATGTAAATATATATATTATAGAACTAATGCAACTGTCCGGGCCAATCAAATTCTATGTTACTTCATATAACATCAAAGTGAAATAGCAGACTGACCATACAATTTTTTTTTATCTGTTTTAGCCTTCAGGTCTTACCAGATTGGTTTCTTTCACTTTTTAACATTGCTGTTCGTTTCTTAAATAAATAGTAGACACTCCAGTCCGTGTCCAGTTTAAAGCAGCTCTCCGTCTGAGGACTAGAGTTAAAAAGATCAAACTTGATCGCGACTTAAGTAGAATTTCTTTTTAATCGAAAACTAAAGTATACATGGACATTTTAAAACAAATGCTATTTTGTTAAATAAATTCTTTTATAATTTTACATTGTACTTTTTTCCAGTGAGGGGAAGCTAGGAACGTCACCACTTTGTTTTTACAAGATCTGATAAAGATGTTTGTCTCTTAGGAAACTGGTCAGTCTTTGCCGAGCAGAAGAATTTAACACTGAACTAATTAGCTGGAGTTCCTGAGCACACTTTACTTCCAAGATGCTAAATATAGAATCTACAACTCTATTTTTTGCGTGGAATAAAACTTCAGCTTAGAGTGTCGTACATTACCATAATTTCTATGATATTGATTTGATTGCTATTTTTCAAAACGTGAGTTTTTTTTTTTTTCATTTCAATTTCATCCAAAATTGATTAATTAAAAAGTTTTTTTGTTTTAAACAGACGGATTTTGATAATAGAATTTTAAGGAAACCGGAATGCACCAGTATTGCATTCCCCATACCAAATTGATATGATTGCTGCAGGCTAACATGCAGCAAGTCTGCTGCAAGTTTGTAGAAAACGAAATTGTTCGCATGAAGAAAATTTTTTTGTTTGCAGATAATTGCTGCTAACTGCGATATTGCGGCAAACATTGCAGCAACTGCTGCAAGCTTGCACCAAATTCGCTAGAACCAAACATGATGGATGCGGGAACATCGAAAGAAACATACACGTATGAAAACAAAATGATTTCTTAGATAGTGGTAATTAAGTAACTGGCGTAATTCCTACATGTATGTGAAATCTTAATCTATTTACTATGAATTTCAGTCCAAATTTCAATATCAAATATGTACGCTCTTAAATTTTAATTTTTTAAATCAATTATGTTAACGATGACCTCATTTTGTTTCTAATATATAATATGTATAATATCTATGATGTGCTTTCATCATTTATCAGGTTCATCTAAGAAAGCCGACTGGGATTTTATTGTATGAAAGCTACAATAAAGAAACTCTTTAATTTAGTAATTTCTTAGCCCTGTCTCAGAAATGACAGAAAAGAATGCATTCAGAGGACTTTTTTTGTGAAAAAAAAAGAAGGGAAGAAAACACATTTATCGTGAAAACTGTCTTATCATTCTGTGAATTCCGAAGTTTTATTGTGTTCCCATGATGTTTTTAGACTGTGCAGTCTGAAACCGTGTCTATTCCGACCTGAAATTTGTCTCCCACTGAATGTTGTATTATACTTTGTACTTGAATATCATATTCAGTAGAATCTCTGAATTAGTTATTTGCAATGGCTTTCATTTTCATATCTGGAAATCAAATCAAAGGAAGGAAAATGAGCGAAGATGCTCTTAAGAAAAAAAAATGATAACAGTCTATAAACGGAAAAAAAATCCAAAATTAGAATTTTTGAGAGGATATTTCCTCCTACAAAAAATAAAAGTACTACGTTAAGAGAAAACGGAGCATGAAAAGAGTGAAACAAGTTTACTTTCTATTTCTTATTTTTGCTGCATTTCCTTTCCTGAACATGTATTTTATCTTAGAATTTTTTTTTACCCAGATAGAAAAGCAACAAAGCTAGGTTAACGTTAGTTACTTCTTTTTTTTACAGGCAAGGCCATAACGACAGTGATGGTTTCGTTGAGAAAAATAAATATATATATATATATATATATATATATATATATACATATCATACACATTTACTCATGAAATAAATTGTGCGTCAAATAGATGGAATTTTATAAATAAAACATTCCGATTAGCTTCCTTTTATGCCGTGAATTCTAAGGTTTGTGAAATACATGATGAAGCTTTAGGTTAGCGAAAAAAATATATATGGATGATATTGAACTCACAAATAATAATTTCACATGTAAGCTGAAATATCTGGTACGTTTTACTGACCAGATATTGTCTACATTTCTTATGTCTGCTTTTTACAAAACTATCGAGCTAATTACAATCAAATGACTGCCAATTATTCCTAGGCATATAGAAATTTGTTTAAAATTAAAAAAAAAAGAATTCTACACTCTTTTTAGAGCTTAAATTTTAAATTTAAAATTTCCGATTCAATTGGTTACATTGTGTATACATTATTACTTTTTATTTATATATTAACGGATTCCTACGAGAGACCGATCTCTACATCCCGTAGTGAGATTCAAATCCTTACAATGCAACTTTTAAACACGCTCTCACCTCTGCGCCACACAAGCAACTCCTTCAAGAAATAAATTGTGAAACTCTGTTAATTGTACTTAGTGTTGAAAAATACGCAACAATATTGGTCATAGATAAATTGACAAATCGAGATATACTTCCTTATCGAAAAGACATATACATGTTTTCTTATAAAATCAGAAAGAGTACACTTATATTGTTCAACTAAAGCATTGACATTTAAACACTCCAATGGACTGTTTATAATGATTCGCGTGATTATTACATTAATAAGTTTGTATACATGCCTCTTTTACTTGAAGAAGAAATTTGTTTTAGGTAAGTACTTTGATATTTACATTTACAGCAGAAGTAAAGACAAAGGTGGTCATTTTCATTATTTTAACTACACAACCATTTAGGTTTCAAACATCAACTTAGTGTAGGGGTACAAAAAAATTAATTTTATGATCTCTGTTGCCTGAGCTTTAGGGCTTAAACACTAAACGAATTCTATATTTAAAAACTTTTTTTCTGGCCATCGTGAAAATTGTTGGCATGATTGTGATACATGTAAGTGTTTAAAAATAATTCAATTTTATAAAGGAGGAAGATGAATATGTTCAGCTTTCGACCTTTCATTTGGTCAGTCGAAAATCAATAGTAATAGGTCAACTGGGGCTTCTATAGAAAACACATCTTAACAATAAAATAGCGATCAGGATATTAAATTACATATAAATGTCTAAAAGGTGATAATAGAAGAAAACAGTCTCCTTAGTTCAATTATTAAATACCGGTATTTCTTAATTTTTCTAGGGTTGACTGAGGACCAAAAGTATACAGTAACACTCATACCTTCAGAGGCCATGCTTAACGAAGGGGAAAGCTTGAAGGCTCGATGTAGCATACCTGGTCTTTCTGCTATGGACATAATTCTGAAAAATCTTAAAATCCGGTGGTACCACAACGAAAAGTTATTGCCAACACATTTTTGCCAATTCAAGAACCCCGAGACCATGAACAAAAAGTATGATTGTAATATCGTCCACCAACAGCAAAACAACATTAGCTTTGAGTTTACCATAAAAGGTTATTTTCATCATTAAAATAATCAATGAAAAATATGAAACAGTTCATTTTGTAATGTACTCTCTTTGAATCTTCCACTGAAGAAGTTTATGAACCATATGTTATCCAAAGAGTTGTTTAATTTCTACCAAGGAGCTGTTGACAAGTGCAGAAGAAAGGAAATATGTAAATTGTTGTAAATTTGATTTTAAGTAAGATAAATATCCGTGTTGAAATTATAGGTAAATGTAGGTAAAAGATAAATTACGTGTTATGAATAGGATGACAGCTTATCGTTTGTTCTTATTTTAGATGTTCTGAAAAAGGACTCTGGTAATCTCACCTGTGAAGTATTGAAACAAGAGAAGCAGCATGGTAAACTGATAGGGGAAAAACTCATTGCAAAAGAAGTCGTGGTAATCAAAGTTAGAGGTAAGTTCAAGTAACTTGCATTTATAAAACATGTAAAATGTTTGTTCAAGTACTACTTTGGTTTTATTGGAAGCTAAACTAGGATTGCCTTTGCATATTCGAGGTTTAAAAAATACGAATTAAAATGAATATGAACACATTAATATTTTCAACACATATTGAAACGTCTGATTGTATGCCTATTGCTAAATTGATTTTATATATATATATTTTTTTTTTTTTTTAAACAAAGATATATGTTATTAATAGAATACAACAACACGAATACAATTGCTCATGTAATTTTCATAAAAAATGAAGAAAGTATATGAAAAATTCCAAAATAAAAACCAAAAACAAAACCTAAAGAACATTTGCATCAATCGTAGTCTTTCAATGCTTGACACTCATGTTTTATTAGGATAAAAATAGAACTTCGCATATCATTTGCTTGATGATTTTACTTGCAGAGCCCATTACTACAATGTACTTCAATTTTGACCAATCGTTAAATGAAACCTTAACACTTGATAACAATGCTACCCCACATCGCATTGAAGTTGATGCAGGAATGTATAGTCCAAATTGTGAGGTAAAGGGCAGTACTCCTCAGGCAGAAGTGATTATCATGTTGGGAGACGACACAATAAAAGGAAAAACAATTAATATGCCAGAAGAAAGGGGAATGAAATTCATTGCAGATAAGATGGAATTTAAAGGTGTTTTTTTTTCTTCTTTTTTATGAGAAACATTGACGATACATCTGGTTTTAGTCAATTATAATAATTTTGAATTTAATTTAGAATTATAGAAACTAAATTATTAGAAAATATTTAATTAGTTTATATGAAGAGTAAATGAGATTTTACTGAAAAAATAATCCTTTTTTCTATAATGTTCTTGTTTATATGTAATATTGACATGACAGTTGGTTTTGGTCATTCATCATAATGTTGGATTAAATACAAATAGTAATTATTTTTTTTAGGATTTTTCTTATTAGTTTACATGACTTGTAGTTGCAATTTTTCCTAATATAGTTTAAAGAAAAAGAAAAAAAAATAAAAATAAAATTCCTTATAATTTTTAGACGTCAGTAAAAAATAAAGAGAACCAAAAAAAATTTTAGAATTATTTTCAGGTTGACAGTTTATTTCTTGACAAAACCGGGAAAATGTATACGAATAGAATAATGTTAATATTTAAAATTGCAGTTTTAAGTATTTTGATTTAAATTATGTTGAGGTCATCAACATTAATTTTAAAGAAATTAAACAGGTAACACAGAATCGTCATTAACGTGCAGATCCAGCGTATCCGGTCTTCTAGGGGAAGTGGAAAGAACATTTTATATTGTTGTTCATGCAAGTAAGTTAATGATGCAACAGTTCATTTGTTCTCAATCTTTTATTTCTTTTTAAGTGGCGAAGCCTCGTGCAATTTACAATTTTTTTTTATGGTGCAGGATTACTTTAAAATGTTTTATTTGAAAACGCAAGACTTATAAATAAGGTTCTAATTGTTTATTAGATTGCAGTCACTGTCAAGATAGAAAAAATTGCAGCAACGGAAACGAAAGTTGTCTTGAACCTTGTGAGGAGGGCAGGGATGGTCATTTTTGTGGAAGAGGTAATGTAGTTCAAAGTCATCTACTGAAACCATCATCAGTTTATTTTCGTTCAAGCTGAAAATATTGTGTTTAATTTGAATACACATTTCAATTTATTTTACTTGGGACTCAACTACATATTTACATTAAGGTCATATATAAATCAGAAGAAAATATTTTCTTTTTCTAAAAAAAAGACTTACTTCGTCTATAGAATATTTAAATTTGATATGACTCTATTTATCTTTTTTTTTTAAATTTAAATGAATAATACATCTAAATTTCTTTTAATTTATAAACAAAATTGAGACATTATTTGAATTACTGAATTCTTTCTATCAAAACAAATTGGGAAAGCATTGAAAATAAATAAATTGGAATATGGAATAAAATAAGTTTGATAACTCACAGGGCAAACCTTGCTTTTATTAAGAAAGAAAAACAAACATACAACACAAAAACGAGAACAAAAAAATCCAAAATAAATAAATAAATAAAGAAATAAATAAATGAAACATTTTTTGTATGAACGCGGAAATGATTTATTTTGGACAGATTAAGTGGGTCTTTTCTGCGATGTTGCATAGTTTGCAATAGTATTCTTTTAGCAAAGGTGTTTTCGTATCTATTTAAACAGAAAAAATGATATTAATTAGTCAGAATATATTTTCTCTACAGATGCAAAATTATCAAAATTATCCTTGGTCGTCATATCCGCCATTTCAACCGTTCTGGTAGTATTTCTCATCATTGCAATAATCATTATCGTATACAACAGAAAAAGGACTCGCCAACAGAATACTAGAGAGCCTATCACTATTGACGCACTGTCCAACAAGGATACCCAACAGAAGTACGAAGCGTTAGCAGTAAAGAAAGAGGAGAACACATACACCTCCCTTGGGGGTCTAGGGGAGGAAACAGGTCGGAGAGTAGAAAACCAGTGCACATCCACTGGAGGCAGAAGGAAGAAATCAGGACGGAGGGAGAGACAACGGGACACCTCCATTGGCATCATGAGGGAAGAATCAGGACGGAAGGTGGAAAACCAATACACCTCCATTGGGGCCAGGAGAGCGAATGGATCAGGCCGGGGAGAGAAGAACCAATACACCTCCATTGGGGGCAGGGAGAACGAATCAGAACGGATATGGGAAAACCAATATACCTACATTGAGGGCAGGAGGGAGGAATCGGTACGCAGAGAGGAGAAGCAATACACCTTCATTGGGGGAAGAAGGAAGGAAACAGGACACAGAGGGAAGAACCAGTACACACATCAATTAGCGGCGGCGAGCACGACTTACCAGGAAAAACACACTTATGAAAACGCTGAGTTTATTTGATTCTTGTGATCCTGAAAAGATTAAAAGTTCACGTTCTTTTTTATGATATCAATTTCAACCGATACGAGAACTATTGTTTTTTTTTTGTTAGATTTAAGTTATATAACAAATATCTTTCCATACACATATCTTCTTCAACTATGTCATTTCAAATTGTAGCACCTAAAAGTTCTGTAATGTCATGGTCTTATAAAATTCATATAATATTGCTAATTTACTTATTTAAGTTTAATTTTTTTGTACTAAGAACAATATTTAAATCATTTATTTTAACTACTTGTACAGCATGTCACAAGTTCATAAAATATGACAATGGTTTTAGGTAAAGAAATACTAAAGGATAACATGAATAGGTTTGGTCAGAAAATATAATGAAATCCAGAAATCTTAATTAACGAAAATGATGACAGAAGTGAAGAAACGAATGTACAGTGATCAATTCTAAATATAAATGTACATAATCGCCAATGTTCACTTCTGGTAAGGGCACAGACAAGTTTTCTCCCTTCAATCCCTGACTCAAACCTCCGCCATTATCTACGTGTATATTTTTTTCTGTTTATCTAGTACAAGTTCTGTGTTGAAAAGTTTCTTTTTTTCTCTATACCCCTTAATAGTGAAAGCTACATTTTCCTTAGTGAACATTGTGTTTTGAGTTGACCATAGACTTCTTTCAGAATCTTGTCCAGTTATTTTTCTACTTACCACACTTTCTTTCAAGAACGATGATTTGTATAATGTTCTTCTGTGAAACGATTTCTTTCAACATAAACACAATGAAAAGTACATGAATTTAAGTTCAAAAGCCAATAACATTACAAACTAAGAGCAGAGCAAATACGGACATTAAACATCAGATGCAGGATCAGGTACATTGTAAGAATAACTTTCTTATCCGCCGTGTGCTCCTAGTCATTTTCGAAAAAAAAAACATAACAGAAAACCCTGTCAACGATTCAGTGTTTAAATATTTGTATTATATTATGAAGACGTATCCAGACCCGGAAACTAAAAGCTAGAGAAGTGTTCATGCTAACACTTTGACACTTCTCGATGATCGCTCATTTTAAACCATTTTAGTTGTTATGCTGAACAGGGATGATATCGATTACTTTCAAAAGTAATTGATTAAATTCAATGACTTTAGATTTAAAAGAAAATCGATTACAAGCTGATTACAACCATTCTTAAAAGTAATCGATTACATCTCATTACTTTTCCATCATCATGATTCAAATTTACTTGTGATTACTAAAGATAACATTATTTTAAAAAAAAAAAAAAAGATAAATGTTTGTTTTTTTTTTTAAAATCATCATTCAAATTTTTAGGTATAGATATGACAAAGTTTGGTTACGTGTATTTATCTAGATGATAATAAGATGGCTCATCTGATCATCTTCCTTTTATCATATATAAATGTACTTATAAATATATATGTTATTGTTGAGGAAAACAAACATATTTCTAATTTTTCAATAAAATGAGACATTATTATAGTTATTTTAAAAGGGATTAAATAGAGAATATGTTGTGTACATATATAATTGACAATTTCGATATGAGTGATGGATCTTTCAATTAAACTGCCAATCGTTGGATGTTTTTACTAGTCTAAGAATATAAACACTCTGACCGGACAAGCATAATTAGTTCACTAATGTTATTACCTTAGCTAACCCTTCTAAAGTACGCATGTATTTTAATGCTAAATAATTCCCTTATTTTAGTAAATCAAACAAAGTTATGATTCTTAGAATACACATCAGAAAGATATATTGGATGAAACAAAATACTTGTATATTTAAAGATTTACTCTGTTTAAGAGGGGAAAATTGCATTTCATACATATGAATTGAAACAAAAAACAGTCAAAATTCAAAATGATCCTGTAGAAATTTTCCTCAGTATTCATATAAGGCCACAGAAGACTAATTGCTTGGATGCAAACGTATTTTGAAATGAAAACTGAATATAATTAGGAAATGAGAGAATTTACTAATTGCCTGGCCAATGAAACTCATAAAGAGGAATTTCTGAAGGCAATAAAAGTTATAGCTATAAATATAGCCTATATTTTTAGTCAAATTTTTTTTCTTATAAAAAAATTTGCACACTGAAAAATATTCACTGAATATGATTTAAGACCATCCTTTTATGAACTTTTTTAAAACATTGTAATCATAGAGTAATCAAAAAGTAATCAAGACTTTTAATGACAGCAATTGATTAAATTACGATTACTTGTAATTAGGCAAAAGGATAATTGCTGATTACTCAAACTGCAATCGATTACAGCTGATTACGATTATTGATTACGATTACCCCATCCCATATGCTGAATGCATATATATCCTATCTCCCTCATGATTGAGATTTCTCATTCTCGCATTGTACCCAATAAATTTTGTAAAATCCTGTAACCAATATAGTTTTTTGACATTTAAAAATATAAAAGCCACAAATTTATTTGTTTGTGAAGAAAGAGGAGTAACTCTTTATTATTTAGAACAACAGTCTATCATTTTGAGAAAGGGACTTTTTTGCTGATGTTAACACTTTTTTTCCAACTTTTTCCTGTCTTTTGAATCTGCCGAAAATATTAAAGACTCGGCATTAAGCAGCTTTAAACAATTTTAGAGTTGTTTATCGAAAGTTTGATACAGGAAATGTTTCAAAAATTTATTTATTTCGTACAGGCGTAATGTCTGAAAAATCACTCATTTCAGTGAAAAATGAACATATCATAATTTATCCGTATTGATTTTCATGCTGTGTGCAATGATACACATTATTACAACGTTCAAATTATTTTCTGAAAAATAATATTATATTTATTCCCATGTTTACATCAAAAATAGAATATTAAAGATTAAATTGATCAACCAAAGAGATACAAGTATTGTGTAAAAAGGTCTAATTAATTGTACGGATTCACATTTAAATGCACAATGACATTTTTTTTTCGATTTTGAATTATGCTTTACCTTAAAATACTTATCTAAAACGTACTCCTAAAAAAATTGTTCATTTAACCACTTTTACGAATGACACACCTTAATATATATTTAGTGAGTTCGAATCTCGGCTGCAACTGATCTTAGTTGACAAAAAGGGGTAGCAACTGTTCCTTCGCCATGCACTCGGCTTTTGAATTTGCAGGTTCTTTTAGATCTTAAAAACCGAGATTCCGTGTCAATGCAAGCGTTGTCATGATAAAGACCCCTCGTTTCTCAATGACCCTGAGTACCGAGTATAGGAAATGAATCTAAAGCCTTCCATCGACCTACATGTAAAAATTCTCGAAAGAGACCTTTAACAACATGCATCCGAATCAGTCTAATGTTATAAATAAAATATTTACCGTACTACAGTCTGTTATCCTGATCATTTACCGTCCAAGTAATTTTTGATTGATAATCAAAGTTCATAAATATCTCGTTTTCTTGAAATGAAAATATTGGCTCTTTTTTTATTATTATTATTTTTTATTGTTCTACCAATGCCATTTTTGTTGTTGTTGACCTCTTTCATACATGTATGATTGTATGATTGAAATGAGGACAATAAAGGTACTTTGATCTTTATTATCTAAATAGATTTATAACTGAGCAACAAAGGGGTAAATTCACGAGGTGCCAATTCTCAAAATTCATAAGGTTTCTCACGTATTAAAAAAGCTTGGACCTTTTATGTAACATAGAAATCATTGCTCCTTTTTCGCAAAAATGCATCCAGAGATATGTAGATAACATATCAAGCTTACCTTGCATTTGTGACTATTTTTTTTTTTTTGGAAAATTCTCGCAAGATTTTATAATCCCATAGCGTCGACTAAAAATAATTGAAAGAATTTAAAAATTAATTATGATATAAAGATCACGATATTTTTTTGAATCGAGTTTTTAGGGTTAATTGCATTGTTAACTTGTTTTTTTTTCTGTAAATAACATGATTTGGTTTTCATCGAATGCATATTGAGTTTTTTTTATGTGTCATTGAAACGCTCAAGTAAATAGAAAAAAAGCGACTCAAGGGGTATCATTTCCGATTCATAAAGAATGTTTAAAAAATAGTTATCTTTTATCTTAAATAAATCTTAAATAAAAATCATTCTTTATGTACTTTTTCACAAAAAGAAAATGAGATAAATATTAAATTTTTGGCTAAACATTTATATAAATGCGATATTAATAAAATTCATCACTGTATACTGAAAACATATTTCTATTTAATATCTATTGAATATAAAGAGCAGTGGAAATTGAAATGGTTAATATTTATGGCATAAATAAAGCAGCGCAGATTGAGATAGTCAGAAGATTGATTTATTTTGAACTAAAAAAATCAAAAATATGATCAATTGTCAGAATTTTTCAGTGACCCTTTGATTCCCCCTCCCCTCCTTTAGTTTAATTCTCCAACGGCACGGTTAAAACATCAATGTCCTAATCTCATGCAGAGAGATTCGTAGAGACTACAAATATTGGTCTGGTGTCCATACGATTAATCCCCTGCCTCGTATCACATTATGTTATTTAGGGTTTCAAACACATTAACAAACTTTTTTATGCTAGAGAGACTGGGAGTTATTATTATTTTCTTTTAGAAAAATAGCTATAAGTTCTGAAAGGTCATTTCACTACAATGTCCTACCTACACTGTAATAGCTATAAACAATTCAGAATCATCACATCTGACTCTCGGCTTGTAAGAGATTGACACTTTGGTAAAGGGTATTTTAAGTACTTACATCTAGTGTGTTTATGGTGTCCGTACACAATCTTAAGTGCAATTAGAGCTTTTGTTGTAGCGCATTACTTTTACTTCCTCTTTCTATATACATGGAGATATTCGTCGTTGTCGAAAATACCCATTGTAGACTTCTTCCAAAAGAAGACAACTTAAACAAAATATAATGTGTGAAATACCCATTTTAGACTTCTTTCAAAAGGAGACAATTTAAACAAAGTTTATCTTAAGCTTAATTGTCTCTTCAGGATTGTCAATCTATGTTAAATTGCTTTTGCGTTTTGAAGGGTGAACAAATCAGGCAAAGCAACCCTTTACCAATATTTGGTAAAAATGATTGTGAAAACTCATCATAGAAAATAAGGGTTTTTTTTTATGAATTTGCTTTTTGTTGTCGGGTTATCATGTTGAGTCCTCTTTACCTGTTTACAGATGTTAAAAGTTTGATTGATTGATTGTATATTGACTAACGTCCCTCTCGAGATTTCCTTTTCAATTTCAATTCTTTTAAACCTTATATCAACAGATATATCTGATTAACATATTAATAATATACAATATACATAATTGCCATGTAATTATATATTACAAAGTATTTACACAATTATTGATAAATCTTCATATCTATACATACATATTATTGAAATATCATAATAGTTAATCAATATCAATCTTTATTATAATAAAGAACTATATGCGGTATTAACCAACATTTGCCCCCCAAAATCAAACTTTGACGGAGTAATATTTAATTTAGTCCTCAAGCAGGGGAGTATATGCTGACTTCAAAGCACTGAATAATTTCATAAGTAATGACGTCATATGTACGTAATGACGTCACAAATATGACGTAAATTTCAGTTTTTTATGAATTTTGCAGAAAAATGTACATATTTCGTCGATATTTTAAATAAAAGTCACCGAGCGCATGTGTGTTCAGGATAAATATTTTGATATAATGTGTAGAATGATAATATCAATGAAATATGTCAATATTGTTCCTGAACACACATGCGCTCTATAAATTTTAAAGCTTAAATTGTTGAAATTTTGTCCATTTTGTCCTCTTTCTGAAAAAGGATATAAAATCGGACTAGTTTGTGACGTCATAAAATCAGAAATTGTGAATACACTGCTCTGGAACTATAATATTTTCTGTTAACTTATATTTCTCTTACAATTTATTGAATTCAGCACATATCAGAAAGTTTTCAAAATTTGACTTTTGTGGGGGCAAACATATGCAATATACCGCATATAGTTCTTTGTTTTACATTCCAATAAATTATATGCTTCTCTTAAAAAAATCCCCAGACCTTTTAAGTCCCTTACATTTTGAACACCAATTTAAAATTGTATTAATTTATGTACACTACTATTTTGATGATACTATTTTTAAAAATATTTCCTCCATAAAGTTTCATATGTTGGACATTATACAATGAAATGACATTCTATTTTATGTAGAGTACACAATATGGAGACGCCACCAATTGCCTGTGGAGAGCTGCAAATTTTGTCCTTTACTGGACAATCAGGGCCATTGAGCAGGGAGGGGTCTTTTTCGTGTCAGCACCTACTGCGACACGGGACCTCGGTTTATACGATTCCATCCGAAGGACCGGTCTCCACTTCCCTACAATGGGATTCGAACCCGCAATATAAGAATCTACTCCTTACTTCGCGACTCTAGAACAGGCGCTCTTACCACTGCACCACGCGGGCGACGATGTTAAAAGGAATCTGTCTTGTATTCTTTGAACTACTGAATAAACAAAATAATTTGATTATTATAGAATATATGTGCAATCATACATAAGCTGTTTAGGAGCATGATAAATCTCAAGAAAGTGATAAAGTAAACAAAAACTTAAAATTAAAGATAGCTTGATTTTTCACTCGGTAGAGCGCTCGCTCCGTGATCGGGAGGTCGTGAGTTCGTATCTCGGCCGCGACTGACCTAGTCGTTAAAAAGGGTAGCAACTCTTCCTTCGCCATGCGCTCGGCACTTTGAAGTGAAAGTTGCAGGTCCTTCGGATGAGACCTTAAAAGCCGAGGCCCCGTGTCAGCGGCAGGCGTTGGCACGATAAAGATCCTCACTACTCAATGGTCCTGAGTGCCGAGTAAAGGTCAAAATTTGAAGCCCTTCACTGGCAGACGGTGACGTCTCCATATGAGTGAAAAATTCTCGAGAGGGACGTTTAAGAATACAAAATCAATCAATCAATAGCTTGATTTTAAAATAACACATGAATTCAAGACTTGTACAAATATAAAAACACATCAATATTGACTGAATTTTTTTCTCGATTCATGGTCGACAATTGTAATGAAAAGTAGAGTATTACACTACTCCAACTAAGACATTTCTATATCTAAGGTGAACAAATGGATACTACATTTTGCAACTAGACACATGGCCAGCACATTTTGTTCTAAATTAAACGAAGGTTTGAAGGGATAATCTGTAAGAATGAAGTATATGGGAACATCTCTGTGTAATTGAAACATTCTCAATTCAGACGTTAAATCTCGTATATATCCTTCAGTTACATGTAGGGTGAAATGTCAACACATAGAAGGCAAGTATATGTTGATATGTGGAGGTTTGATACTTGGATTCTCTTAGTGCATGAGGAATCTCCTGAGCTCAATGGTAACAATTTTCATATTAGTTAAATTAAGAGTTTGCACTGTTGCAGATTATACACCAAGAACTAATGCTTTTAAAAATCACTGCCTTGGTCTTATCTGTCACATAAATTTAAAAAAAGCATCTTAAAAATGGTATGCATTACACATCATTTATATAAATTAGCATATTTGATAAAAAATGAATATTGTGGAGTACACTTCAGGAATCAAGTATTTGACATAAGAGAAAAGTCACTAATTTAATTTTCTGCTTTTTGTCTCTACCCTTCCAAGATTTCAAAAGTTCTTAATCACGCAACTGACAATGATATTTAATTTGCTTTTTTTCATAAAAATATCATTCTTCAAGTCAATTTCATTAAGAAAGGTCATTGTCTAAAGCTTTACTTAAGCATGGAATTAAGTGTTCAGAAAACATGTACACGCATATACTGGATTATTAACATGTATATAAAAATGTTTTCCAATTCCTCAACGATCACCTTATTTGATTAAACTCAAAACTGTTGATAAGTACACTTGATATTTTAACATGTCATGGTTTTGATTTATTATAATTATTTCTTTATTCACTTAAAATCAAATTTCACTAAACTCTACATGGTTACACTAGAAAAGGGAATTCAAATTTGTCTCTGAAGTGTTTTGAAGTAGACATACTTAATACGTGAGTGGTTCTCTCACTATTTCACATCTGTTTATAGATAATTGTGTTTCGCACTTATTTCCTTCTTTTTTGCTTAAATACGTTTTTAATGATTATACAAAACAAATGCTGATAAATCAAAAAAAAAAAAAAAAGGAAATAGCTGCTTTTTGCGATGGAACTTTGGAAAAAAAAAATTTCGCAGGCACAGCGATATGGTTTGTCATACATACAATTTGTTTCACAAAAGGATACAGTAAGGCATTCAATATCCTTACATAGTGTGCTTTTGCATTCAATAATTTTTCAACAGGAAAATATATAAGACCGTGAATTATGCTATTAAAAGTGTATACCATAATAAGATTCATAGGAAATAATTTATTGATTTCACCTCAATGTTTTTAGTCCAGAAAATGTGCAACAGTTTTACAATGACGTCTTAAAATAAAGCAAATCATCTTTACAAACATGTTTTACATCATCAGATGATTAACAATGTACCATTTTGCCGTGTGCATACAAAGTAAATCTAAAAGATATACATATTCAAAGTACCATAAGTTTACAGGATTATTTATTTTCTTTTGCAGGTTGCAAGTATACAGGACACTATGAACCAGACTGTTCTCTCCCCTGTCCTCAGAATTGTCTCCTTCCTAATTGTCACATAGAGACAGGTGCTTGTCAGGGATGTAAACCTGGGTATCAGGGACACAGGTGTGAACTGTGTAAGTACAAGACAGGTTATTTTTAGAATGCTAACCTGTCCTGTCTATAATTTTTTTGCTTAGATCAGGGAATTAGCAAAGCTTAAAAAAAAAATACTTCTTTTGGCTTTGAGATATTGTCTCCCTTAATGTTCAATATGTGTGTCAGGAAAATTATTTGAGCTCCAAAAAAATCTATAAGCAATGCAAACTGCCTGCTGCTCAATCCCATTCACTTTTTATGCGACTATATTTTGTTAAATTAAAGAAAAAAAAGAAGAAAATATTTCATCAATAAGAATATTCTAAGATGCATATTTTCTATACATACGGACTGTTGATATTCATTACTGGCTGTTGTAAATATTGAGTTACATACATGTATCCACAATACAATATGACAATAAAATACAGTAATCAGAGTCTACGGTAGCATTATTTTTGGAGTTCAAATATTTATTCTGAATCGCCGAGGAAATAAAAAAAAAATGAAGGCTTTTAATTTATAAAACATAGATTTATCAAAACTGAAATGCATTCATTGGATACTGAAAATAAAATGATTTCGGTTAACACTGTTGTTTCATGTTAGTCTGTTGGCCACTTTTGTATTGAGAAAATGTCATAAAGGTGGGGAAAGTGTAGTAATGGTGAGACTTGTAACCATGTCGACGGAACCTGTATGAAAGGATGTGACGTCGGTGTTTATGGATCTAAATGCAAAACACGTAAGTATAAATAAAAAAAAATCGGATTAATACAAAATATTAAAATTATTTTCCTAAGCTTTAACTGAAGGACAAAGTAAAAAAAGAAGGAAAACATGTTGTGCATAATTCAAATACTAAATATGTTGACCTTCATACCTACTTATGGCAATGAAATCAAAAGAAAATACAAAAAATAAAGGAAGAAAAAACGATAGATAAAAAAAAAATTACTGGAAATCAAAACTTCAAGCATTATAAAGAGCTGAGAACATAAATGTTTATTATGTATTCATATTGGCAGGAGTGCATGGACTCTATATTGTTAAATGAATACAGGTCCTTCAGATAAAAAAAAGATGAACGGAAACCATGCGCCCCAATGCGTGCTGGCACAAAATTCTCAGATGCCGTAAGTGGCAAGCATATGTCAATCTAAAGTCTTCTAGTGGAAAGAAGTGCCCCTCAAAGAGTGATGAATTTCAAAGGGAAGTTAAACAAACAAATCTATTTTCGAGATTTACATGTAATGGAGCAGAAATGAAACTAAAATGTATTGAAGTAGCGTAGACTAATATTTCAGTTCATTATCCCCTAGGATATGATATGGTAGGGAAATACATTTTCAATTGGAATAAATTGGGGAAAACATTTCTTTTTCGCAAGGAAGACTTTATCAGAAAATATTAGAATTAGTCGAAAGCTTCCTAATATAGGGAAAATAAAAATAAAAATGGCTCGTGTTTCGAAGGCTAAGGTGGAGCTACAACATGAACCGTGTTGAGAAAAAAAAATATGAATGAGTCCGAGTCTTATTTGAGTGCGCATGACTTTGCGCAGCTTTTTAATTCCATGCAGTCATTTGTGCAACTGTACACCTCTGCCAAATATTTTGATTTTAAGGGTACTTACCACAAACAAAAAATGGATGCACGGCTTGATATATATTTTTTGACTGATTTCGATTTAAAATGACATAAATAATAAATCCCTGAATTAAAAAGAAATCGTAGGTTTTCCTTGGTGCTTAGATATGAGATTTTGTTTTGCCTTCTTTATAATTCCATACACATTTTTGCATAATTTTTTAACTTTATGACAAATTCTTATATAATTTTCCCACTCTACTTGGTAAACATTATTCAGGTTACCAATTTAAATGTAAATCTATGAGAAATAATGCTTATTTCTGAAAAAAAGTTTGTTTGTGTTATTTATCCTTAATACAAAATTTACATTATCTTTAACTCGTACTGGTCTGAAAATGTGATTTTACGACAATAATTAAGAAAAAACGCAAAAATGACTCGAACGAGGTCACCATTTCTGGATTCCGTAAGCAACGCGTGACGATGAAGAATGACTCAGGACTCGCTAATATGTTCAAGACGTTCATAGATACTATACTAAAACTGATGACCTAACATCTTAAGAAACATACAAGCAATTTAAACATGACTAAACATGGCAAAGAAGATGGCGATTTTCTTTTGAAATTTCAAAATTTGGTGACTTATTACAATAACTTTCATCTACTTAAATGAAAAAAAAAATTCCCTAGGTCAGAAATATGCATAAATACGGGAAAAAATGTGATAACTTGGCGCTTTTCCAACTAATTCTCATAGGGTCCAATAATAAGATTTGACGACTTTATTTTTTTTTAATCTTAAAACAATTGATTTAACAAAAAGAAAAAAATAATTATCAAAAAAATATCAAAATCCCTAGAGCAGAAATAATTAGGCTCGGCCTCCTTAAGTTTATCTTCTTAAACATACTAGTCCATATTATTAATAAAGGCACCTTAGCTTGTTGTACAGACAAATTCTTATTAAAATCTCCAAAATTTAGGATAATAGCTCAAAAAGCACATTAATAAAAAATAATCTATTAGAATACATATACATCTATTTTGATGGTGTTTGTTCGATGCATATCAACGTTTCAAAATAATAAAAAAAATGTAAGCGATGTTATAATAAGTACATTTAACATACATCTACTTGTATTACATAGGAATCAATTTAACAAATTCATTTGAAAAATGAATATAATAACTATTTTAAGAAAACTTTAAGATTGTGACCACATTAAACGGACCATCTTTTTTTTTTATACAAAAGACCCTTTAGTCTATGGGCACTCTTTGGAAGGAAGTTTAAGTCAGATTGGTATTACAAAAGTCTGCAATGCAATTTATAAAAAGAATAAACAACTTCAACCCAGGTTATCCTATTACATTGGTTGCTAATTGAATCACACCTTGATTTAACTTCAATCATAATACAATATAGAATAGGATAGAAAACAATGCAATTTCTCCCATACATGTGTAAAATCCCTTTCAAATTGATCTTATTTAAAAGGTTACGTCAAGCGGATTAATACGTTTTGATGTAAGTTATTGTGACATAGACAACCAATACAATTTAGATTGAAATTAATATTTCATTCAATTAAAGGACACCTTTCAGCCACAGTTAAATATATTTTTGATAATAAATGAAATAGTGATCCTATTATATATTTCATTTAATTTTATTATACTCTATCTTAAGTTCCCGATAATTCTAAACATCAGAGGTAAAAAAAAAAACCAAAACAAAACAAAAAACAAAAATAAAAACAAGAAAAAAACGACAACAACAACAAAAAAGAAAACAAATAATCATTAAGCCAAACACAAAGAAGAAACCAACAACAAATCAATGTCTTTAATGTCCAGGATTTCAAAAGCAAGTTTATTATTTTGTGTTAGTTATTATACACCAATTGTCTAGAAGTCTTAAGATGCGCTCAGTGTGAAAATATGATAGCTTCTCTTAAGATTGCAATATTCTTCCCCTTTCTATTTTTAGTATACAACAGGGAACAACTGGGACTCTGTACTGCTTAGTTATGATAACCAATTGATAGAGTATTGAAACAAAAAGAATCAGTTGACTTAACAGGAAGTTTTATCATTAAAGTCACTGTTTTGTGTTGTGAAAGCAATATCCTTGTCTGAATTGAGGGAACCTTTTGCCAAGATGTTCCTCAGCACATTGCTGTGGTTTATGATAATTGAAATTAGATGTAGCCATGGATATGGTAAGTTCAATGCAGAATAGAAATTAGATTTAAACATAGAGAAAAAGGGAAATATAGGAATTTAATATCTCGTAAAATTTTAATCAATTGTTTATTTCATACAGTCAAACGACATGTTCCGAAGTAATGTATAGTTCTTCCAAAATTTTGCAGTGTTGTTTTTTTCCTTTGTTTTGTTTGTTTGTTTGTTTTTTTGGGGGGGGTTGCCGCTCAAAACATAAAGTATACAATGCATTGTACATTTTCGCAAGATACAAGAAGGTGGTTCACTATGTATATTATTCTTGGTAACCTTCCTAATCCTCACTTTTACAACTCTTGCTGCTATTTATTTCTCTAGAATATGAAATGAGAAAGAGGATGGATCATTGATATATTATATTTTATGAAGAGATATTAAACATAAATAATTGAAAAGCGTGTCGTCGGAATATATGTATCAAAATAATAAAAAAAATCCTCAAGTTGTTTGTTTTTGTCACTCCACTTAATTACAGGGATTTTGTATTTGAATACAGAAAGCAAGCACGGCTGAATCCTTAATGAGAAAAAAAAAATGAATATAGTTTAGGACCTCAGAATGTTTTCCCTGTTTAGTGCATTTTATTTTTAATTTTAGTTTAATTTGGACAGGAACTGAATTTCTTTTTCAATTTAAATATGGAAATCATTCAGTTTATGCTATTGTTAATGTGCGATTTTATTTCAACGGTCCGGTTTTTTGTAACTTTATATTCCCTTTTTTCAAATTTAACATTAGTAAACTTGACAGAGAACAAACTAATGGGGTAAAAGTATATGTGACACTATTATTCATAAACCTTACATGATAAGGTGTAATAAGAGCATTTTTTTCTTATTCAGTCGGTCATAAACAAAAAAGCAGGAAGCTGCTCACCAAAAACAAAATGAATAAAGGAGTATATAACAATTACTTTGAGTTCTCACATTTCCGTTCATTTGAAAAACTTCCCTGTTCTGTTTTGGGCGATCTATTTTTAACTTGCTGTTGAAAATATTATTGTTCCTTTGAATTGGTTGATTAAAAAAAAACCTTTTGTTAAATTTCTGTTAAAAAGTTGCAGTATAATCTATTAATTTTATTTAAATATTTGCAAAAAAAAAAACAAAACAAAAATATCAAGACCCTTAAAAATTTTTAATTTCTTGTTTATCCTACTTTAACTGACATTCAAAATTCAGAGGCAAACAAACTTATACAAGAAAAAGAAATCATATCAAATGTTGTCACGTCTTCATGGAAATTTTCTTCTTATTCTTTTGTTTATATTTCACTGTTCTATTGGTTTTTTTTGGAACATTTTGTAAACAAAAATATAGAAAATATAAAAAGACCAATAAAGAAAATAAATACATTTTTTTCTCTCTATTTTTATCAAACTCTCTCCATTTCAGATAATTATTTTAAAAAAGAGACTTACAAACATTATGTTTTTTTTTCTCATTATATACTGTACTTCCTTACAATGTACGTATGGATATTTTATAAATACGTGTAGAATAAAATATAATTTCAAAGTTGAATGTTCTTTTGATGACAGAAAGAAATGCTTACTGGCGGCGAGATTAAAGCGGGGTCCGCTTCACGCATCAGTGCGTAACGCGGTCGCTGAAAGCAAACGCCGGGTTGGCTTTTGCGAACCCAGAGCTGACCCCGAGCGAACGCGTAGCGAACCCGGAGCGCATCCAAAGCGCACCCAGTGCGGTCCAATATGTCTGAAAGCGAACCCGAAGCGAAACCCGAGCAAACCCGTGAAGCGAACCCGAGGTCTGCTTAGGGTTCTCTCTGGTGTTAGATTGGGTCCGGGCGGTACTGTATATAAGATTCTTTTTAGATGCTGCCCTTTTTGAAGGGGCTAAGTCCCTAACAAATAAAATATAGTTAACTATAGTTTTCGCCAAAGTTTTTCAAAGTGTCAAAGTTTTCGTCAAAGTTTTTCAAAGTATCAAAGTTTTCGTCAAAGTTTTTCAAAGTATCAAAGTTTTCGTCAAAGTTTTTCAAAGTGTCAAAGTTTTCGCGAAAGTTTTTTAAAGTGTCAAATTTTTCGCCAAAGTTTTTCAAAGTGTCAAAGTTTTCGCCAAAGTTTTTCAAAGTGTCAAAGTTTTCGCCAAAGTCTTACAATGTGTAAAAGTTTTCGCCAAGTTTTTCAAAGTGTCAAAGTTATCACTAAAGTCAATCAATTTTTTTAAAGTGTCAAAGTTATAACTATAGTTAACTGTAGTTAACTATAGTATTTTTTGTCAGGATCACACACGTACATTTAAGTCTTTGAAAATTATTGATGAATTTTCATTTTTAAAAAATGTAAAATGAATACCGTTTAATCCCTTTTAACCGCCCCTGCCCCTATAAGTACCCCCTTAGGTCTTTTACAATTTTCAAGAAGTAAGGGCACCCTGTACAGTGATTAAAGTCAACAAGAATCGTATCAAAATATTAAAGAAAGTGAAAATTTAACTTGTCTATTTTCCAAATTTTCAGTGGAAAATGAATAATTTAGCATAATTTCGTGGATTATCTTCACTTTAAGTAAAGTTAAATTAGGGAATAACTATCTTCAAATTATGTATTTGTGACCGTTAATGCTGATTTGAGTTTTACCGGCTTTCAGTGGTTCCTTGTCTATTTTTTTTTTTTTTTTTGAAAGATTTTTTGAAGTTAAAATATGACATTAAATATTATAAAAAGAATACCAAAATAACCGCCCCCTTTTTACAATTTTCTAAGCGCCCAAAGCGGTTAATAGGGATTATGCAGTATGTTAATATTTTTTACAAATATTCCTTCAGATTATTACCTCATTTAGGTCGATGAAGGTAACTTTTATTGATTAGTATAATATAATGATTTTTTTTATATAAATTAAAGTTAACTGTCAAAATGAGATGTCTGAAGTGGATAAGTACAGAAAGAGATTCGCTCCTCAGCTTTTCACGAGGTTTTTGTCTGGAGATCTCAAAATACATATAGTTTCATTCTTACAATATATTTGCATTCTATAATGCTTATTTAAAGATATTCCATCAAAACCTCATAATGATATGAAATAACAAAAATCATTTAGTGAGGAACTATATTTTTTGGGAGGGGGTGGGTTTAGAAGAAGGAAATCCATTTTTTTTCTCTTCAGAAGTATTTGCTATATTTTTAAGTTTGAAATCATATTTTTAGATGCAGTCTGTACACAGAATGATTTTGTGCAGAGAAATATATGAAGATAACACACAGTATACAAGAGGAAAATCCCATAGAGCAATAAAAAAAATAGCAGAGCAAATACGGGCCTTTAAAACACCATAAGTCGGATCAGGTGCCATATAGGGGTGAACATCCCTTGCCGTCCGGTCACACCGCCGTGTATTCCTTGTCATGATTTGGAAATAAAATCAGTCGTCAATGCACTGTACTATCCATTTGTACGAAAAATATTAGTCAGCATTTGTCCCAAATACCTCAGAAGAAATTTTATTCAGGTCCTAAATAATATATTAAAATAACTGTCACGACATCTGTCATCATAATTTGCAAATATATCAAATATATTGAGGAAGCCCCCCCCCCCCCAACAAAAACCCAATTTAACTTTAAAATTAACATTATTTTAGTATCATTTAAAAATTAACCGCACAGACAGATCTTTTTAATTCCATTTTCTGAATTTAAACGATAATTTAAACAATTCGGCTAATAATCAGAGAGAAATAACAATTTTTTCGAATAATTATTTTTGCTATTTGAATTTTTAGTGAGAAATGATATATTTTTAAGTGAAGAGAGGTAAAAAAATAGACTATGATAAGTTCTTTTATTGCCACAAATTTTAAAAAGGCTATTCAAGATGAAAATACAAATACAATTTGGCTTAAATTTATGAACGCAATTTGATGAATTTCACATCATTTTTAATATTTATGAATACCAACGACGTTGGTAAATCCCCAATTACTAGATTGAAGTGTAAATATGCATAAAATTTGTCAGAGATTGAATAATTAATTTTATATTGTTTAACGTCCCTTTCAAAATTTTTTACTAATATGAAGACGCCACCACTTGCCGCTACATACTGTGACATGGAACCTCAGTTTATTCTGTCTTTTCCGGCCTCCACGTCCCACAATGGGATTTGAACTTGCGACGTAAAGATCAACTCATTATCTGGCTATTCTAGAGCACGCTCTAACGATGTCATAGATACAGAAATTAAATTGTCATGGATTTTACACATTATTTACCCTACGATTTCATTTTCAAATTGTTTTTGACACTATAATTATGTTATTTTTGTGAACTCGCTAAATAAATCAGAGATTGTACCTAAGAAGCGAGAATTATTTAAATTATATAATTTTCAGACAAATTCCATCTCCATATAAATCAAAATAGAATGAACTTTTTAAAATCTGATTTACTTGAACGTATCAAAGATATCATATATACGGCTTTAATTCACATCCCATTCATAGCTTAAACCAATAACCCCGACCAATGTTCTTTGGCTTCCTTTTATCTAATCACTTACATTTACTAAAATGAGAAACATTAAAATTAAAATATTTACATTTCCAATGTTTTTGTCTGAGATAAAATAACCTTAAAATGTACCTTATTTCCGCATTAATGTTTTGGGGCGGTTCAAAAAAAAAAAAAAAAAAAAAAAAAAACGTGCAGGGCGGGACAAACAGCTAGACAGAAGCAAGGCTTGGAACACGTGGATTGGCGGAATCAAAGCATGTAAATATAAAGAATAACTTTCAGATATTTCAATTTCATGACACTGATCAATCGATTGGCTTGCTTGATAACTGATAATTTATTGCATAAATGCCTTCGGCGTTTATGCAAATCATCACGCAAGCCAATCGATTGATCACATCATGAATTCGAAATCAGTTATTCCTTAAATCAGTATGTTAATAAGAACTCGTAGTACAGTACCGACCGAACACAAACTAACAGAATGCGAACCAGGAGCTGACCTCGAGTTCGCTCTTTGAGTCCGCTTTGGGTTCGCTTAGGGTCCGCTAGGGCTGACCCTCTAGCGAACCTGTAGCGGACCCCGAGCGAACCCGAAGCTACCCAAAGCAAATCCGAAGCAGACCCAGAGAGCGAAAACCGAATTCAGTAGCGGTCCCAGAAAGTAAACGCGCTTTCGGTATTTCTTTACAGAGCTGTCAATCAGGATTAGTGATTAACCAATCGACCAATCAAAATGGCATATTGAACTGCCGATTGTGATAAGAGATCGAAAGTGTGATATTATTTGATATAATTCCAAACAATTTTTACTGTAAAAAAATGTAGAAAAAAGATATAGCTGGTCTTTGACAAATTGAATAATTTCATTATCTCAAGATACACTGCAAGAGCTTACATGTACCTGCCCATTACTCCAGCAAAACAACACGTTGCTATGCATCCTACTTTTTCGACAAGAAACAATATGTACTTTTGAAAAAAGATTATATGTCTTTTTAATCATGATTGAGTGGGATTAAGGTGCATTTTTTATAGGTTGGCAAACAATTTTATACGAAATGTTAATACCAACTTGTACTACAAAACGACTTTTATACAATTTGAATTACAAAAAAAAAATAAATAAATAAAAAAAAAAAAAAAAACCATCCAGATATGTTTGTTTTGTTACTGTGAATTAATTCATCTTTTAGTTGGTGCAGTGCAGTGTATATGGTTGAGCATAGCCTAGCAATATCTAATTAGAATTTTCTCTTTTTTTTAGAAAATGTGGCGTTTAATAAACCAACGGGGCAATCCTCTGTATCTTCATAACACTCTTCAAGCCACTACATTCGACTCCAGTAAGGCTGTTGATGGTCTGAAGACTAATCTGTCAGCATTCGGGGGACAGTGCGTCATATCAGCAAATTATGAGAAGAACGCCACCTGGTGGGTGAACTTGAAGTCCATTCACAGCATTCATACTATACGGATATATTATCGGACAGAAAATAAACAATGGGGTAATGAAATTATTATTAAAACAACCTTTGTAATTACAGTTCGTTCTGTTGTATCAAATGCACACATATAAACATATGGCATTCATTTCGTTCAATTGGTTATTATCTTTACACTTATAATTTTATTCAAAATATTATTTCATTCTTTTGGTATCCATAAATTATTCAATCGATCCAAAAGCTGGACACGTGTCGAATGTATTTTAAAATTAAAATTCATACATGTAACACATTTAAGAGACTTCTAACATTCTCCGTATGGATGGAGAAATTATGTGCAGTATATCTTCCAAATATTTCCAACGTGTTTTACTTCTCATTAATATTTAGACGATCGTATTCACTAAGACAAACTCGAAAGGTTTCAGTTTTTTGCAAATTTTTATATTTAACAACAAACAAATTCTATTGGTTTGTATTTTTCTTATCATACATCAAAGTTATATGATTGTTTTGAATTTGTTTGATTTAATATGCAATTGATCGATTGCGTGTTGCACACCGCCCCTCTCGAGAATTTTTCACGCAAATGTAGAACCCACTATTTGTCGACAGAGGGCTTTAAACTTACTCACTTTAAACTTACTCACCTAATGTGACATTGGACCTTAGTTTATAAACATTCATCCAAAGGACCGATCTCCTCGTCCAACACTGATTTCGAACCAGCGTTTATGTAAGGATGAACTCCTAAATTCGAGACTGTCGAACAATTCCACTTAGCAGTGCGCCACGCGTGTGACTTTATAAATTTACAACTCCGATCTAGATTATCGTGTTATATTGATTAGTAGGTCACACTAATGCAAGGACTTACCGTTTTTGAATTAAAAAGGGGGTTTCAACTCTTAGTGATATTAATAAGTCACCGTTATTTGAATTTAAATCAATTGCACCTATTAATCAACAGAATAACCCTGACAACTTGTAATACACACACTGATTAATTTTATAACCAAAATTATAAGACACTTATTCCTTGTTCTTTCCTTAAAAAGAACTTAAAATATTTTTTTTAAGTAGCGGTTGCAACTTTAAGAAAAAATAAAAAAATGGCGGACACATTTTCCGACAAAACAAGTGTGAAAAAAATGCATTTTTTCTACTTTCTTAATATACACCTTAATAAAATCTCCCTCTATTACAGCCTAAATATGACGGTTTTGTAAACGAGTAGTATAAACACCATTTCTCCAAATTCCTATCTGCAGTCCTATTTTTTAAATTTGATTAGATTTACTTAAAATGTTGTTAAAGTTCTGTTGAATTTAAAAGTTATGTAAAAGCTTATGAACTTGCACTTGTGGTATTGCTTATTTGAGAGAGTTATATATCATCTTTTCTAGACCCCATCTGTTTTTATACAAATTAAAAATACATGTATAATTACTTCTTCATACTATAATTTTCCATCTTTTTCAGGTGATTCTAATGGGTTCACCGCTAGATTTCTAGGATTTTACGTTTATATATCAAACACAAAAAACAAAGATGATGGGCATCTCTGTTTCCACGACACGAATAACAACAAATCCACAATACCTGATGTAGTCAACATAACGTGCCCTGTACATGGGCAGTATGTCATCTATTATAACATTAGACCACAAGTTTCAAAATACACCAGTGACTTTTCACCACATGCTTTCAATGAATTGTGTGAAGTGGAAGTATACGGTAGGTTTTCAAAGAAATGTTGGATTAAGGAAAACTGGCAATTGTTGCAAAAAAAAGTACATTTCTGTCCAAGAGAAAGATTAATTAAGTCCTTTACCTAGTTACAATATGAGTGCATTGTGTATTGAAAAATAAATTACAAATTAAAACGACAAGGCCCTGAACATGTACCTCAATTGAAAGTCAACTACAAAATATGAAGATATAGGAAAGTATCCTGATAATTGATACTTTTTTTTCAAATCAATTTGATGTAATTTTTGAACTTCAGAATTCGAATGCCTTTCCATGTTACATATTTCATTCATATGCATCGTGTCTATGCTCCTTTCTAATTGATAATCACGTTTAAATCATGATTTCCTGATAAAGATAGGATTTTTCTGGAAGTTTTGATTTCTTATTTCCATGTTATTCCTCAACACCCTTTTTACAGAGAAAACAAAATAAAACTTTTTATGTAAATATATTGATAAAATTTATATTATCATCCCATATGTAGTGAAGTTCCTCTGTACAATTTTTTTACCCCTGACTAAGGTCGAATAAGGAAGGTTTTCAAACTTTTGAATAATACATCATTGTCAACTGCACACAATCAGAATCATAAAGTTAAAATTAGTATTTCCAGATGGGTTTCTCTGTATAATGGCATAATACTGCTGTTTTTCTTTTAGGTTGCAAGAAACCAGGAGTGTATGGATCAGACTGTCACTACTAAGTCAAAAACGTACTGACATTCCCATTTTTTACTGACAAACTTAGAAAATTACTGACAATGTGCTGTCGTTACTGTAAAACTTAGACAATTACTGACCTTTTTACTGCCGGTACTGATAAACTTAGAAAAGTGCTGACAATCTTAGTCGGTGCTGAAAAACTTAGACAATTACTGACCCGTTTACTGTCCCTGCTGAAAAACTTAGACAAGTGCTGACATTTACTGATAATTACTGTCCCTATTGTTCTCGCTCTCGGGGAGGCTGCAGTGGTGTTAAAATGACTGTGTGTTATATTTTGCATTTAAAAACAGTCTTATTTTAATTTTTGATGAAAAAAAATCCCAGGCAGTTATTATTTCTTTTTAAATCTAAATATTATTGATATCTGTAAAATAATTCAGAATATGATTTGAAATTAACTATGTTTAAATCAAGTTTAAAAATGTGTTGAATATATCTATCCCTGTTCAATTAAACAATTAAAATTAGTTAAGCATCCAGGGATTTATCAGCCTATTTTGGGAAACGCCATTTTTTGGAAATTGGGAAAAAGTTATCGGCTTTTTGATGAAATTGGGAAAAATACATATGTTGCTTAAACCATGTATTCACTATTCAGGTTCAATATATTTACTGCTTTTATTTGGGCTACCAATTTACAGACAATTAAATATGATCCAACTTCATTAATCACCATACAAGATCAAGTATGAAAAATAGACTAATAAAGTTGCTATGTAAATTTAAATTCAATGAGTATTCATTTTATACAACTTAAGGTAGTATATTTGTGCGCCATGAAATTCCAATTTAGGTCATGGGAGATCAGGGACCTTAAGTCCCTGGGGAAATATAATAATTAACCTCCTACAAAATAATTTAAACTAAATGCACATTTTCTAAAATATGCATTGAAGATATATCTTTCTATCTGAAATAATGCCAGAAGTTCTTACCATTCACTCGTAGATCAATTGAGCAAGTCAAAATGAGTATATAAACCTACAGAAATACACAATATCACTACTTCAGAAAAAAACTGAGGAAATTCGGAATAAAAGTTGGCGATGTTTTTAAACATGTGTTACAACTGTAGCTTTGCTAAATGAGTTAAACTGAGGAAAATTACAGACAATCTGACTAATTTACTTTGTGTTTTTCCAAGGATAATTAAAAAAAAATGTTCTGCGATTGGGAAAAAATACTGCCAAATTGGGAAAAAGTGAACTCATTTTCATTTGGGAATGGGGCCGAATTTCGGCCCCTGAGAAAGCACTGATAAATCCCTGGCATCAAGTTAGTTTTCATCTATTTTTTTCTTTTCAGACAGATATCTGACTTTAATGCAAAGTCCCCCCCCCCTTGTTTTCACGATCAGAAAGTTGTATTAATTTTCTTTTCACAAACAGGACAGATGTCCCTTGTTAAAAAAGGAAATCTTCTAAATTTTGAATAATTACTGATAGGTATTATAAATTCAGCTTCCTAATGTTCTCGGGCATCTGTACAAGTCATATAATTATTACCGGTCGCCAGACGGCGGTCGGTCATTTGATATGAAAGTTTGAAGTCGGCATGCGTTTCTGCGGAATTAAAGCAATACAAATAAAAAAAAAATATTTAACATTCATATAATAGTATATTTAAAAGAGTGTCTAAATGTTTCACTAAAACACACAATAATCATAAAATTAAATCTTTTAGAAACATAGGGTAAATATTTCATCCAATCCTGATTGACAAACTTTGACATGACTGAGGTTCGGAGAATATTAGGACACGTGTTGGGCATAGGCTAAAGAAAAGTCCGCGTTAAATATATAAACAATTCTAATTTCTCTATTTAAACAGGATTTGTTACACGTATTTATTTTAAAATGACGTGTACACATGTATATATAATTTTAAACATTTTCTTAGGAGAATTTTCGAAAATATGATTAAATGTTCATTTATTAAAAGACAGAATTTTACAAAGTGCCAAGAATTTTCCCGCTACACCTCGAAAAGAAATGCAGTTGCGGATTTAGAGAGAGTTTCTTACATTTTTCCTCCAAGAGAGAGCAAGGAACCCCACATATTTGATGTGTTTTTATTAGAGTAAAACTATCTCTAGTTGTAGATAACTTTAAACTTAAGATTTTCACTTTTAATGTAAATACTGCTTAAACATCAAACTTCCGTCAGAGTTCGTTTGTACCAAACTGAGTGTTGAGACGCAGAGGACCAGGGGTAGTTTGCCTATACATGCAATACTAAACATGTACAGTTGTATTATATATGAAGAAAATCATGCAATATCGAACGCAAGTGTTTAATGTCACGAGGATATATTAACAGATAAATTATATTTAAGATATTTTAAAAACAGATCACACATTTCAGTTTCTATAATTGCTTCATGAAACTTCAAAGGAACAATTGATTTGTTTGCGGCCGATTTTTGACGCTTGCTTCGTTATGTTTCTTGTATACCCTTGTTTAGGATTAATTTTCCGGTTTCATTTGCTCATACGGGAGTTCCCCTATTCAACAGTACAGTGTTCCACATATAAACTTGTACTATGCCTTGTTAATTTTGTCACTTAAAACATTATATCTAAATGAATGTTTGGTTGGTCGCTTACGCAGGGTTCATAAATACCAAATGTCTGTAAGTCCGAGACTAATAAATATTTATCAGACTAGTAATAAAAATTCATGTACTAGCAATTATATTAATCTTAGTACGAAAAATATGTATATTTACTAGGTCAGCGGTAAGACTAATATTAGCAGTAGCACCATTTTTCTCCAATATTTTTCTTCTCTCTCCGCCCCCCTCCCTCAAAGATACAGACTCTGTATCTTTGAGGGAGGGGGGCGGAGAGAGAATGAGACAGTATTGACACTTTAAATTACTTGACAAGTGCTCCGTTTATTCACATTGCCGGGGTGGTGGTGGGGGGGGGGGGGGGTTAGATCACGATTTAGTTTTTAAACTTAATCTTTAAGTATTTTTTAATCATGATTCAATTAAACAAAAACATTACATGTTTCATACCTTCCATTTCCCCCTGTACAATGTAGCTATTGGTGAATTGGAATTAATTCAATTTTATGTGCCGAAATTAAATTTCATCTCATTAAAATAGGTAGGCGTAGGTGGTGTTATGATATTAACATAATAATAAGGCAGAAGGCGGACTTGTCTATTAAAATATTTCACGAAGTAGTGAAAATTGGAAGTCATCAGTCTGTCGAACCAGTGCTCACAAATATTTATTTCGAACCCTTTAGCATGCATGTATAACACCCCCCCCCCCTACACACACGTCACATGAAAAAAAAAATATCTAGTATACTTGAAAAGGATTTATAAAAAATGTGCTTTCTAAGTTTTTTGAATGATGCAAATTTCTTTGTCCATTTAATCAGTTTACACCCGTAATCATTATTTATTTGATTCAGGTTTCATTAACATCTTTCTTTTTCATAAGATTAAGATTATTCGCTAACTGTAGGTGCCCACTATTTTCCGTGTCGAGTTACCGTTCATTTTTCTCTCCCTCTCTCCCCCTCTCTCTCTTTCCAAAAAATCAATATCGACTCAGGCAAAGTTTAAAATATAGTTAAAACTCTGGCTGATTATTTTTTCACTCTCATGATATTGCTGCATATAAATTGTTTTTGATTTTTAATTATTCTTAATTACTGATAAAAGTTAAGAAAATATACTATGAACTATTTTTTATTTGATTTGATAATCAAACAAATTCCTCACTTCACTGTCCCACACCCACACTAACGCGACTTAAACCAAAAATATTAGGAACCAGTAATTTTTACAAAACTTTGGATGTAGTGTACCCCTTCTCATATATTTATTTTTGCTTAAATCTTTAAAAAGTGTGTGCCTTTCCCCGGTTGGTTTTTACATCATTCTTCTTTTTCATTAATCGTTGATTTTATCTTACGTCGGTATTTAAAAAAAAAAAATATTTAATCTAAGAAGAGGTTGAAGGATTGTAGATTCCATATTTATATTACGTATCACTATGTCTTGATGTTGAATTTCTCAAATTCAAACTGGGTTGAAGAAGAGTCTACCTGTCGCCGTAATGTTGCGTAACTAACTTCCAGTGAAATCCGGCGAGTGCTCTTCTGTATAATGCAGCAGTGACACCTATTGTCTTCTTTACCCGCTACCGAACACACTCGGAACGCTCAGGCGATTTCTTCTACACACAGGTACTTCACAGAGTTTCCGATTGTATGTTGAAAGATTATGTAACTCGACTGGATACCAGCTAAAGGACTTGAATAATTTTGGACGAATATAAAGCACAGTGTTACTGTAAAATCATGAAACTGGTTTCGATACCGTGCAAAGCAATGAAATGTCGATTTATTAAATTAATTAAATTTATTTTTTTTTTTTTTACCTAAACAGATAAAAAAGAGTACAAACTTAAACACGACAGGTAATGTGTGTTTTACTTTAGTAAAATAAATAAATACATGTTCATCGTTCTACATTTAGTTTGCACGCCCCCCCCCCCCCCATTTAAATTTGAAAAGAAACTAGATCCATGTGAACGTCTACCGACACTCTATTTGAAAAGAACATCGATATGTTCTATCAAAGTTTTGTTTCATGAGAATGTATATTAGACAAATGATGATAATATAAAATGTCATAGTTTTACATGAATTTGAATTAAAATAACACTTTCAGGTGGGGATCCAGAAAATCCAGATTCGAAAATCAGCTAAAAGATGTACATTGTTTCAGAAGAATAATGCGGACAGTAACTTAATCAATGAATGTCAAAGGATCAATGATCAATACAAGCCCTTAGCCCCAATCTTCCTGCCCAATAAATAAAATATAAAGTCACTTTTTTTAAATTTAATCTCCCGTCTGTCTTTTAATTTTTGTTTCTTCTTGCAAATGCTTGGATTCAGGTATGTTTTACTGCACAAAAACAAACTTGGGCGGCCTCCACATAATTAAAAGTTTTACATAATATGAAAACTATAACAAAGTTAACGCCTTTCCTCAAAAGGGGGCACCCACGGCCTCACCGCTTTTTATTTATTTTTTTTTTTAAACAAATTTCATATCTCACTACTAAACGAAGATTTTTTATTTATGTTTTTTTTAATTGCTTATCTTTTTGAAGGTTTTGAAATTTTATCCCATCCCTTGAAAATATTTTTTTAAAAATAAATTTTCTACAAATCGATCAAAGAAGCTTTTTTTTCAAAGATATCATCTGGATAATAGTTAAAAATTATATGAAAAACAAGTAAATGGAATAATAATCTATGTTAAAATAAAAAAAAGTTAATTTCACACCTCTGCAGCCTCCTCGAGAGCGAGAACAATAGGGACAGTAATTATCAGTAAATGTCAGCACTTGTCTAAGTTTTTCAGCAGGGACAGTAAACGGGTCAGTAATTGTCTAAGTTTTTCAGCACCGACTAAGATTGTCAGCACTTTTCTAAGTTTATCAGTACCGGCAGTAAAAAGGTCAGTAATTGTCTAAGTTTTACAGTAACGACAGCACATTGTCAGTAATTTTCTAAGTTTGTCAGTAAAAAATGGGAATGTCAGTACGTTTTTGACTTAGTAGTGTGTTCCCTCCCCTGTCCTGACAATTGTCGTTATTGTCACATAGAGACAGGTGCTTGTCAGGAATGTAAACCTGGATACCAGGGACATAGGTGTGATCTGCGTAAGTTTACGAAAAAAATGATTTTTTTTTTTTCAAATGTAATTTTTAACCTTAGAGTTTCGATGTTAATGTTCGGACTTGCTGAAAATTGTTTTACATGTATTATTGATTCATTAGGTCTAAACGATTGATAGAAGGTCAAGCAAAGTCCTCATGAGAAATGAGTAAAAACTTTCCTGTAGAATAACATAATATTTGCTAGAGATAATGGGTTTACTTATGTTGTTAATATTTAGATAAAGAACATTCTGAAATTCAATTTTAAAAAGAATTCTTTTAGGACATATTATCAAACAACAATGGATGCCTGGGTCGGTATATATTTTTTGGCTCGATTTCATTGCAAATGATCAAATGATAAATTTCAAGAATAAAAAGAAATCGAAAACCTTCTCTGATGTTTAAGGGGGATGTACGGCCACCTTTAGTGCAGTGAGAACAAAATGTAAACATTTCTTCAAATGGCTAAAATACATGATATTTTGATCAAATTTTAAGTCTTTATGATAAAGATACAATAAATATGCATAACTGAATGCATGTTGTGCATATATAATCTATACTTTTGCAGAAAAATGCTTTTGATATGCTCCTTAGAACTGCGCATCTACAGAATTCAGCAGAGCCTTAAAAAATCCAAAAAAATACGCAAACTGTGCATTAATGTTCTCTCTACAACCATTTGTTGAGAAATTGCCTAAATTTTGCACTTTTAAATGATAATTTCAAGTTCAAAACAAGGTATCGTTGTCTTCAAAAAGAGTGTAAAGAACCATGAAAGTAGTTCATTGATAGCAGCACGTGGTCTATTTTTAGCACAGAATTTTGTTTTCCAGACCTCTTCTTAATATGGAGGGACATAACAATCTTTAAACGTAGAAGAGAATTAGAGTTGCAAAATGTTTCAAATAATATGAACACCTTTAAAAGAGGAAATGTGTTATAGTATGGCTTGAAGTAATTTATTTAGTATTATTATCGAACAGTTGTTAAATAGTGTACGTATTGATATAAACTCTTTGATTCCAGGTAAGGAAAAATGAGCACCATCAAAGTTAAAAATTAAGAGTTTGTAAGTTTGCCGAAGATAACTTAATATAATATCTATCAAAAGTTTAATTATCACTAATGAAACACAAAGAAATTAAACACATAAAATCGATATGAATGACCTTGTGTTAGTACCTACTAGTACGAGGGGTGATCAAAAAGTTCTCGAACTATCTCTTTATCTACAAAACCACAATTTAGATTAGAAACAAATTTGGGGCAAACACAAGTTCTATAAATAGCATATGCTGAATAAAGTTTTGCCCACAATGTGAAAATGACGTCATTATGCAGGTACTTGTGACGAAAAATGGTTGTCTCAGTGGAACTCGTTCAACAAACGACTAAAATATTTATGGTATATCTTAAAAATGCCTTTGAAGTAGCGTATAAGAATTTGTTCATAGTTTATTAAGACAAATGACTTCCTAATAATTCAATCAATGATTGGATTGATCGTTTTAGTGAAGGAAGGCAGATGGTTGAATATGATACTTGTTATGTTGCCCGGTGAAAGCAAGTTTGAAAAGGGGTGTGTTTTTAATTAAGCAATATGCTACCAAAGATCTCCAATTTACACTTTGAAAAATACTTGAATATTTCAACAATAATATAACTATCAAATACCTAAGATATCGTTTACTTTTTGATCACCCCCCCCCCCCCATTACTCTGTCAAATAAACATTTATAATTTTTATTACAGCGGAGCAACATTTGAAAGGGAATAAAATCATTCAGAGTGGGTTAGGAGATTTAATGAATAAAAAACTTTTTTTTTCTATTTGCCCATTTTGTCAAAATTACAATTTTACAGAGTAAAGAAAAAAATCAACATAATTAAATATTTTATACCATCTTTAAAATGACGTTTGGTGGTCCTCCCAACTCTGGGAAAAATTATTGGGTCCGTTTTTATAGGTGAGAAATTTTTTCTTTAAAAATTTAGACATATTTATTGACGGAAGAAAAAAAAAATCGTGTAATTGGATGTAAAATAAAATTGAGTCGGGCCATTTCTAGGCAGTAGATCGGGAGAGAGGGCAACCAAATAGTTTTATAACAAATGGTCTTATAAGGCTAGTACATGTTCCATCACATACTTAGTAATGCAAAATTTTTGAATCTTTGGCACTATTTTGAAAAAAGAACACAAGGATTTTCGGGGGGGGGGGGGGGGGTAGCCTCTCATTTTTTGCGATGATAGACATATCATATGCAATGGACCTTTCTTTACAAACATTGTGCTTGCTTCTAAATTTCAAAGAAACAACTCAATATATTTTATCAAGCTTCGTATGTTCAATGAGCGAGAGCTTGCAACGTTATCAACATAATGAGACATGATGCGTTTTTATGTCCAAACATTACTCCATACAATGTGTGGGTCATTGCAAACAATCAAGCTATTTATGTGAGGTGCCTGAAGGAAATCCTATAACTGCCTATTTTTTCTATCTAACTGCTAAACAAAATAGACATATGTACCAACTTTTCGAATGTAGACATGTAATTACACTTTGTTTTTCATGCACCGCATATTGTTTAACATTTTCAAATTAAATGCTAAGCATCCTCCTTGCAGTGCCCCATTTCAAAATAACTTCTATCGCCACAGAAAAAAGACCCGACGTAAACACATATGTTTAGGACATTTTTTATCTTTTTTCTTGAGTTTTAAAGAAACCAACAAATTATCAAGACTTGTTCCATGAAAAATTAAATATAATCATGGTAATAAACGCATCTATCCAAAGCAGATATATGCACATGCCAACCACGTGCTCAGTGTAATAATATTATCGAGGAAACTCGAGCTGTAAACAGAACAGTTTTTCCCGATTTGCTGGAGTGGGGTTAAAATCGCGTTTTTTCATTAATCAGACGAAGCGATGCAACAAATAAAAGTAGTAAGTAATATTACCTAATGATTATAACTTAGTAATTTCTTTTCTTGATGTTATTAGGGTCGCATTTATTCTAAAATCAATGTTATTCGAACTCTGTGTGACAGAGGAATGGCGGACGAAATAAACACATGGCCTCAAGAAGACACCCATATGAAAAATCAAATTTTCAAGAATTATGGATAATGACAAGAAAAAAGCGAAACAAATGGTTGTAGCCTTATTATCAATGAATCAAACTAACACCATTTTCAATGCATTTTTCATCTCGTGAATGCTGTAGCTGCGCAGTTCTAACATGATTAATTTCCTCCTAATTAAAACAAAATAAACATAATTATTTTCTAATTTTGGTCTCTAACAGTATGTAATTAGTGCATTAGCACTTTGAGTAACTTTGGGCTAGTTTAGTAGAGTATTAAGCGCATTCTTGGTATTTCTTAGTTCACACTAGACTAGATCCAATATGGCTTGTACATCCCCCTTAAAAATCTGCCCGTCTGAAACCATCTTTATTAATCTATACAAATATTTTTCACTTCAACTAATTTTTTGTGAAATTTTGAATAAGAAATTAAAAACTACAGGGTGAAACTTATTCATTTCATTCATTTTAAGCTGACATGAATTCTTAAAAACGCAACATTTTCATCTATGTACGACTTGTTTCATACCAACTATAGCCGTATTCCGCCATATTTTTTTTCAGATACATTGTCTCATTGTAACGATATATACCCCAAAGCGCTCGTTACAGTTGAATGATTTTTTTGGTTTGGGTATCGACTTGTGCACATCTCCGATGGTAAAGCATATGAGAACACATGAGGAGATGAAGACATTTCAAAACCACAATAAAAAACATATTAATCATATTTCTGAATAATTATTGATTTGAATCAAGAGAAAAAAAAATGCAAGTTTGGTGAGAAATTTAGATGCACGTCACGCGTTCGTATTTTTACAGTGCGCCAATTTATGCAGAATAAACTTGAAATAAAAAGCAGTAAAATCTGCAAACACATTTTGAAATTATATCATTTGAATGGAACAAAACAACAGTCTTTGATTTGCAGCCCCTATGCAATTGGTGCATACTGAGAAAACGCCTCGAACGCTGTAAACGTACCCATACCTGGTAATAAGGTTACTGCATCGGTTCGAAGATGTGCACAAGTCAAGTGATATACACCCTGAATTCCATTTATTGAAATATGCATCACAAAAAAGAAATAAACTCCGTAAAAGCTCAAAAGTAAACACACTGTCATTACTCCGTACAGACTAGCAGGCCGATACACTTAGTCCGTGCTGATCAGATTTTGGTCAGGGAAAATATCACAAGTGGAAAGAGAAGTTATTTGGTATTTGCGCGGCTGAAAGGGGGGGGGGGGGGTATTAAAACTGCTGTTCATAAGCTATAATTGTGAATTGTCTATCTACATGTAGTTCTAATATACAAAGTCATGTATTTAGTCTGCAGTTGGTTTGCGTCGCAAAATTCATTTGTCAATTATAACTGATTATTTAGTACTAATCTCAAATCTAAACCAAGTAATTTGATGTACGGTAATTATTTACTTCAAATCTTAAAAGCAATTAACCAGAATACATTTTTTATGTGTACATGTCATGTACATAGATCTATACTTTTTTTAACACACAAACACACGAAGAAATGCCATCCCCTGTTCAGATTGACATCTAGGTATTTGATTTTTAGGCGGGGGGGGGGGGGGGGGTTGCAAAAATAATTGACATGACCGTCATCTAAATATTGTTGGAAGACAGACATCTCTGCCGAATTCAGTTTTGAAATTTTTTTTAAATGTGTCACTCCGACCACAAAGTATGTGCATTTTGAGGAATGTATAAATGTTTTATAGTTAGAGTCTATCGAGATTTCAGTATCCCTGCCTGATAGTCTCGCCATTTTTTTCATATAAAAATAATTTCTGTAGGAGTATTTGGGAGATGATTTTAAAAGCTAGGGTAGGGATTCTTGACACTGGTTGAACACGGATAATTTTTATTTACTCTTTTGTATATTGAACTAACTCTCTCTCTCTCTCCCTCTGTAACCATCCCTTAGGGCAATAATAGGTATAAGATCCTACGCACTTTCTGCTGTACCATTTATTAAGCCTTAGGACAGATCAAGGATTTTTTTTCAGGCGGGATGTCGAAACTTCATAAATTGAATAATAATTTAAATTTGGACAAGAAGTTAACCCAAACGGCCAAATTGAAAGAGAAACTAGAGGGATTGTGAGCAATGAGCTCACTAAATGATACCCCAGCCTCCCATATGGTTATAATGGCAAAGTCCATATTTTGCTGTTGTCGCTAAACCCAAAATACGTGTCGGATCAAAAAGTAAAATAGGAGGTGCACAATGGTAATATGTAATAAACCTAAGATTCTGTGAAAGTTTTAGTAAATTTCACTAAGTTGTATAAGAGGATTTGCGGATAAGAGATGGGTATACCCCAAAGCGTAACAGACCGACGGATGGACATAACTATTACTATATACCCTCCAACTTTTCAAGCGGTGGATATATTAAACGTGAAATATACATCACAGGAATGGGTACATTGGGAACTTTCTCAAATACCCTCTCAAACGCATTGGCGTCGGAAGCAAATTGAAAGTGGGGGTTTATACATTCAAAAAATTTGAGAAGCTTAAAAAAAGGGGGAAATGTCCTTTTCCAAAAACACGAATATCATATTTCGTGTGGGGGAAAGGGGGAGGGAGGTAGGTTCGAACTTCAGTAACAAAATTTTTCTCCAAACACCAACACTTTCCTCTTTTTTAACCAATACTGCGACTTGTCTGTGGAAAGTGGGGTGTGGGGGGGGGGGGAGGGAGGGGGGGGCTAAACCTACGCAGCAATGTTCAATGTCTATACTAAGTATATATTTGTAAAAAAAAAAAAAAAACAATCCCCCGGTTCCGACACCTATGCTCAAACGTACGAGTCGAACATGAACCTGGACAACAGACAAGAGGATTTTTGAAAAGCTAATTGTAGGTAGAATGTGGAATTCTCACAGGGGGGGGGGGTGTTCTCTCTTTCTATCTGCTTTTTCTAGTAATCATTAATTATTTATGTCTAGAAATTTAATTCACATTAAATTCTGGTCAGCGCAACTTCTTATAAACCACTGAACAGAGTTTTGTCGAACTTTCGAAATATTTATAGGAGTCAATGTGTGTCTAGATTTGCACATCACCAGGAAATTCCGAATTCTTTACTTTTTCGGGAATTTCCGCACCTTTACATTTAGATTTTGGCCATATCTTGAATATAAAAATGAGCAGTTTGTCAGCGCAATTTCTCATAAACCGCTGCTCACAATTTCGTCAAACTTTGCAGATATTTAGGACACAATGTGCATAGATGTGCATATAACAAGAAAATTACGATTCCTTTATTTTTTTTCTGGGAATATCAGCACTTCGAGTTTTGGGGGAGCGTGGGGTATGTTTTCATTCATTGTGCATAAAATTATAAATAACTTTAAATCAAATTATATTAGGTCTAATAAAGCCAATACAGAGTATTTATTTGATAATAATTAATCATAAAGAAATCAATCTGTTTCAGACGTTTTCTTAAATTATTTTTATGAGAGTGTTAATATGCATGTTTTATTACACCACCCCCCCTTCCTATCACAGGAAAATATCTTCAAAAGGTGAATGATTCGTAATAATGCATGCATTATTATAAATTTAATGAAGTTAAACCATGTAATCATAAATTCTATTTGCAACATTTACAGACAAGAGTAATGATTAGTTTTGAAAAATCACTTGCATTTTTTTTCAATCAATCCCACTGAGCTTTCAACCTTTGATATTTTCCCTGAGCAAATAAAATGATCGGCATGGGCCACGTGTGTCCACGCATCTTTTACTGTTGAGTTAGCAATGGATTTCATGACTTCTGAGATGCATTTTTCAATAAAAGTAAAATAGGATAATTCTTTCGACATGTGCACATCCCTGTAACGATAGCAGTATATTCAGGTAAATGTTATATCACTGCGTTTGACGCGTTTTCTCGACCTGCATGGATTTTTGCTGTACATGAATGTATTCCGTGTTAGTGTATTTTCTATATTGCAGCAATTGCATTCAAAAATAATTTAATTCTCGGTATAGTTCTATTGTTTGGTTGAATTCTTACTTTTCAAACATGTATTTGGTCAGTTTATTCAGTTTATGGACTTCTAAAAACTATGCTATCGGAGATGTGTACATGTCGACAGCCAGGCTAGAAAATCACTCAAGTGAAACAATTCTACAAAGCTATATATAGCAGGTACAGGTGGCCAAAAATCTTCGATAAATATGGCGGAATTGAAGAAATATGGCGGACAAGGGCGTACAGGAATGTAGTAAGTCGTACAAAGATGAAAACTGATGCCTTTTTAAGAGTTCATGTCAGCTTTAAGCATTACCAAATTTGCTCTTTTCAGATTTTCTTTAAAAAAAGATTTATTGGTATCATATGTCCTTAATGTGAAAAAAAAATACACTTTAGACATTTTTGTAAGTGTATTAAAACGTAGTTTCCTAATTATCGGGTGCTTTCATTGACAAAAAAATGTATCTAATTCAAGATTGCCGTTTTAATTAGAGAGTGCGATTTTATGTAGTTTGCATTTTATTTTTTACTAATGGTTACAGCTCTCCATCATTTGAACTAAATCACGCAAATAAGAAGGTAGGGTTCAAGGTAGGATTCTTTTCTGGTTTCTGACTAGATGAAATATGCATAACACATGTCTTATATATTTAGGTGTAAGAGTTTTAAAAGACCATATTTTTTTCTTTCCTAGTCACAATTGTAGAACTTGAAATTGAAATTATGGTAATCCACAGGGACTTTTATGGCGGAATCGTAGCGTATAAAAATATCTTCTCTATATCTTAAAATTATTACTAGTATAGAAAATTAATTTAGCTATAATTCTTTTCACACAATTAAACATTTGAAGAACTTTTCAAAGTTTAATGAATAAAAAGGCTGAATATTCTTTCATGGATAAAAAAAAATAGAACTATGTTAACTTTTAAAAGCTTTTTACATGTATCTGAGCACAGATTTAAGCCCAGAATCTGTAATAAAAAAGAAAAAAAGTATTTTTTCCTCTTATCAAATTTTGTATCTTTATGTGAAAAATTCACCATATGTATAATGAGAAAAACTAAATATAGAAGCATATAAAAATAACTATTTATCCTAAACATTTAAGAAGAGTAGAAAACAAAAGGCCCATGGGCCACATTGCTCACCTGAGAAGCTTTGACCATGCTGTTCTTTCCTGGACTTCCCCCTTGTAATACATATTGTGACCCCACCCTACCCCCAGGGGTCATGATTTGAATAATTTGAAACCTACACTACCCCAGGATGCTTCCACATAAGTTTCAGCTTTTCTGACCCAGTGGTTCTTTAGAAGAAGATTTTAAAAGATTTTTCCTAAACATCTCTATGTCAAATTTTAATTTCCCATTGTGGCCTCACCCTTCCTCCGGTGGCCATGATTTGAATAATGTAAAACATACACTACCCCAGGATGCTTCCACATAAGTTTCAGCTTTTCTGGCCCAGTGGTTCTTGGGAAGAAGATTTTTAAAGATTTTTCCTATATATTTCCATGTATAAATTTGATTTCCCATTGTGGCCTCGCCCCACCCTCAGGGGTCGTGATTTGCACAATTTAGAATCTACACTACCCCTGGATGCTTCCACATAAGTTTCAACTTTTCTGGTCCAGTGGTTCTTCAGAAGAAGATTTTTTAATGACCCCACCCTATTTTTGTCTTTTCTTGATTATATCCCCTTGTGAGGAGATTTGGACCTTCATTTTAACAGTTTAAATTTTATTTTAACCAAGGATGCCTTGTACCCAGTTTGGTCAAAATTGGCACAGTGGTTCTTGAGAAAAAGTCGAAAATGTGAAAAGTTAACAGACGACGGACAGACTGAGGGACGGACGACGGACAAAATGTGATCATAAAAGCTCACTTGAGCCTTCGGCTCAGGTGAGCTAAAATCGGATTAGCCAATATCTATCTTAGTTAAATTACTTGTGTCAATTTGGTAATATCATCTAATAGGTACTTTATGGCAGTATCTTTTTACGCAAAAAGGAAAACATGCAACCTTTTAAAATACAAGTAGGGATATAATAATTGGCAACAGTATTTTGTTTTTATTTTTTATGGCCAAGAAAAAGGTAATGGACTTGACTTTCTCTTAAATTGAAAGCTGCCAAATTTAATTTCACTGCTGCCATCACTTAGTGATATTGTTATTCTTGATTCTATGAAACTTTCATAAATTTGTAAGTTCTAGAAATATGAGAATACTAACTTAAGCTTTATTATACCTTAAAAATGTTATGGTTTCAAAACATTCTAAAACTGGCCTGAATATTAGTTAAATTTATGATTGTGAAAGATCAGGAACCAGTATGGCATGAAGCAGTAACATTATGGAAATATGATGTCATTAATTTTAAGCACTTCTCTTTTTCAAACAGAAAAAGCCTCAAAATGGCACATTTCAAAGGTATTTTTCCCATAGAGAATAGTGTCCACAGCCGTCGCCGAATTTAATGTGTGGATATATTGTGTGAAATACAATGAACAGTCATATATCTAAAAATCTCTGTGGGTGATGCCTGCGAACAATCTTTTCTGAAAGTAAATTTCATTGAAAATCTGTGACTTCTGCAATCTTTTAAGAAAATACGGGAAAATGCAAATGTTTATGACGTCATAATTATCATTAGGAAATGCATATAAGGAAAATATTATATCCCTACAGTTACATATCGTAAATGGAAGCACTTCATAGATGTATGATGAAATATCTACATCAGTGAAACAAATTCATAGAGGATATATAAAGCATATACATAACCATCAAAATAAAAATAAGTTTTTTTTCACCAGCTTGTAATAAGAGTTTCTATGGAGAAGTGTGCAGGGAACAATGTGGAAACTGTACTAACGGTACAACTTGTCAACATGTCGATGGAACCTGTACAAACGGATGTGACGTTGGTGTATATGGAGATAAATGCCAAACACGTAAGAGCTATCAAATTTAAATGTAGAAATAATGTGACATTAAAAAAAAACAAATTAACAAACAGACGGAGACAATAAATATGGAAAGTGATAATTTTCAGCACAGGTGTTTTACTATCAAAAAGAGAATTTACTTTCTAGAAACATTCGTTATTGTTTTCGTTTTAATGAACATGTGATCCACCTCTTAGCAAGTGTAATGACATCAAAAGGAATCAAATTGTAATATTATTTTAAAAATTTAGGTTATTTGACAAGTCCTAGGATTTATTTCAAATGATATTAAACCTTTCACGGAAGTTGATTTGTTTGATGCCATTAAAGAGGATGAAAAAATAGCAAATCGCAAATGTTAAGCATACATAAAAATCGCATTTTTGTCAAGTAAAATAAAAAAAGAAAAGTATTGTCAAAGGCTTCTTTTAAAAGATATTTCAAATAAAAACTATGAAGAAGTAGAATACGACCAAATATCAGAAAAATAAAAATATAAAATCTGCAGTTATGTTATTTCATTGTACAACTATGTCATTTAAGCTTTCATTAGTAAATATTGGTAAAAGTAGACTAATCATTCTAACAAAATTGGTGCAAACAAATTAAAACACCAATCTGTACATATTTTCTTCTCAGGATGTCAAAATCATTATTTTTTGTTTAATTCGCTGAAAACGGCTCTTCGTTACATCATTTTTATGGTCCATATGCTTCAAAATGGATCTTGGCATCATTTAAGAAGTAAATACGTTTTAACAAATGAAGTGATTTTACAATATGTGTATATATTTCTGATCTTACCAATGATACAAACTCAATATTTCCACTAACGGTTGATATTTTTCCAACTCGTCTAAGAATTTTACAGATATCACATGTTTATATGTACATGTATTTTCATCACTTTTTTTATAAGCTTGCCCTGTTGGTTGGCACGGGAAGAACTGTTCAGATAGGTGCAGTAACTGTAATGAATGTGACCGATTCACAGGACGTTGTACGTCTCCTTGTCACGTAGGCTGGAAAGGAAAAGTTTGCCGAAAGTGTAAGTGATTTTTGTAAATGAAATTTTTGCTTAATGTTACATCTTTATTCATCTGACAAGTATCAGCCAAGACCATGTAATTTGATTTTTTTTAAATCCACTTGGTGTTTCATTATAAATATAAGATATTTAACATATGATTTTTTTAATTTCAAATTGTGTTGTAGTTGTACGTGCATATCATCGGCATAGAATTGCAACAAACCGAAAGCAATGAAAACGTGCTTTAAACCTTATATTCTAAATGAACAAAATACTTTTCTTTACATTTAGCCTGTGATAGCGGAATGTTTGGTCAGAATTGCTCTTTTGAATGTGGCTCCTGTCTTAAGCTTAAAGACAGTCAATGTCATCCCATCAATGGAAGTTGTTTAAAAGGATGTGATGCTGGTTATAAAGGAGGACTTTGTAAAGAAGGTGAACTAAACTTATACGTCAATAGCTATTGCATTGAACATACGGGTTGTTATGATGCCATAGTTTCATTATTTTTCTAACTTGAATAATTGCGTTTGGTAAAAAATACGCGCAGATCAAAATGTATTCTAATATTTTTACAGTATGTTCTAACGGAACTTTTGGAAATAACTGTAAACAGAGCTGTAGCGTCAATTGCAAAGTGCACAAAACGTGTAACAGAAGGACCGGTGAATGTGAAGAGGGTTGTCAACCAGGCTGGGAAGGACTTCAATGCATTAATAGTATACATATGAAAATTGGTTTGAAGTCTAATGTATTTTTAAAACAAAATATTTTAATTTACAATATAACTTTTTTGTCTACTTAGAATGCACAGACAATATGTATGGATTGAACTGTAGTCAGTCTTGTGGTAATTGTCGAGGGGAAACAAAATGTAATCACATCAATGGAAGTTGTCCAAGCGGATGTGACAAGGGATACAAAGGAGTATACTGTCTTAATGGTAATCTCCTTAGTAAAGTTTCCAAAGATTTTTTTTTTTGCGTCTTCAAATTCATTATACTTTCTTTTTTTTTCTTAAAACTAAAACTATATTGCTGAAAAAAGAACACGTGTAAAAAATGAAATCAGTGGACACGCATTATACTTTCTTTTTTTTCTTAAAACTAAAACTACTGTAGAAGTACTTTTTTCCGCGTGGTATAAATTTACGATATGTACGCGGTCACAAATTTTCCGCGGAAAATTCTTAATATAAATGTATGGCATATAGTGACAGTCTAGGAAATCCGCGTAATTTTCTGCACGCGGATTAAATAGAAATGAAGATTGCGCGGAATTATGACCCCGTGGAAAAAAGTACGTCTACAGTATATTACTGAATAAAGAACCCGTGTAAAAAATGAAATCAGTGGACTGGGGTAAAAGACACTTAAACTAAAACAATTCGAAAATTATTAAGTAAAAATTTTAAAAGCAGATATATTTTAAATTTCCTACAGTAACTTTCAAACATTTCATGTATTCATTCGTAGTTTCAAGGAAAAATTAAGAATTTTGAAATAAATTATGAACCTTAAAATAACCTACGTATCGATTAGTTTTTAAATATGTGTTAAGAGTTTAACTGTAATAGTCCGGTACGATTCTTCAGAAAATAAGCCCCCAGTAAGTCTTCAAAAGATATTAATTATTTGGCTATTTAAAGGAATGCACCAAATTTTAAGCAATTGGTGAAAAGACTTAATATGTAATTCTTTTAAAATTTGATACCTATTTTCAGGTTGTAGCTTTAACACTTACGGATTTGACTGCATGGACAATTGCAGCACGGATTGTATAAAGAATGCATGTGACTCTGTCACTGGAAATTGTCCTCTGGTAAAGGTGATATGTTTTTCATTCAGTGTCCTTGTGTATTTTTTTTTCAAAGAATGTTTGCCAGTAGAATTTTAACAATACTTGATTTATAGCTAATATCGTTGAACGTTTGAATATTTAAGAAAATAAAAAAGAAAATAGAGGTGTTTTTATTTCGAGCAAAGAGAGGGTTTTAGATATGGATTTTTAAAAGTTGTGATAAGATTTTCATTAAATATAATGATATTAATACATAAATTGTTCGGAGAACAACTTTGATTTAGTTGAATAAAACACAGAATGCACACAATAATTGTTAAAGATTGAAGACTTTTTTGCACTTTGAAGTAATAAAATATTTTTTCGTAAGAATAAATAATTTGAAAATATATAAAGATATTTAAAACATTTTGCAGAAGTCAACACAAACGTTTATTAGTAGCACGGCTGGTTCCGTCATTGGAGGAATCTCTGGACTTTTCATTGCCTGTATTTTTATAGTGCTTTTGATTCTTTTCTTAAGAAGGTATTTATTTATTTCATTTGCTTTATTTGGACAGACCCTACAAAATGTGCTACATGTAAAACAACCTGAGAAGCCATAAAAACATAATGCAATGTTATTGGCAATAATTTGCACTTTTTTTCGAATACTTATGGTACTCTTAAAGAAAAGATCTAATGTTGGTTTACTAAAACATTTTTCATTCTTCAGGCGCAGTCAACGAGAAGTTGGACGACCTAAACATTGCAAGTTACCTGTTTCTTTCCCCATTTTGCTGTCTTCTTTTTGTACGTAAATCACATTAGTGAATGGCACAATTCTTTTTTTTTTTTTATCATTCAGCCAAGACTGAAACCGAAGGGGCAGAATCTACTTCTTCCGATCCTCAGTCCGTAACCAATAAGCAAAAAAGTAAACACAGGGATAGTGGAATTTACAAACATTCTAAACGCAAGAGAAAGGCCGATGAGGCAGATGTGGATGAAGATGAATTGATACACTCGGAGAATCCTTATGGAGACTTTTACGCAAATGAGACGACAATTAGAGACATACCTCTGAATCAACTGGAGTCGGTAATAGCTGAGAAAAGAAGGGATAAAGATGATGGATTTCAGAGAGAATATGCTGTGAGTATACCATTTTTTAAATAAAAATAATTCATGATTAATATGGAAAGGATAAAAAGGTTTTAAAAAGAAAACCTTTACTTGAAATTTACATAGTTCATAGTCAATGTTTATTATCAGTGGCAATGCCTTTATGAATGAAAACATGTTTATGGAGGTATTATTTCTTTTCCATGCAGACATTGCCATATGGGGAACTACATAAGTGTGATGATGGAAAAAGGGAGGAAAATATGGCTAAGAATAGATACAAAACTACATTCCCCTGTAAGTGATTAGAAGTTCGTTTAGCAATCAAATCACATGAAGAAATAATCTCATTTTCCGTTACATTTACGTTCGTATGTTTGTCTTTAGTAAGAAGTTGATGAACATTTTTTTGTAAATTGTACAGTGTACTATTTAGTACATGTTTGAATGTCATATTGATATGGTTACTTTCTTCAAATAAATTACTTAAGCTTTAAACTATGAGTTGTAACTGTGTGGGGACATCTTCTTTCATTCAGTCTTCAAAAACATTTATATGTGAATGCTAGAGTGTTTGAAATAAGGAGATTTTTTTTGTGTATATTAAGGATTTTGGATTACTGGTTTTACTCTCATTTTGTAGATGATCATTCTAGAGTAAAATTGACAACGAATTTTGGATCTGATTACATCAATGCAAACTATATTGAGGTAAATACAGCCATGGTGTATTAAATATTTAAATAGTAACGTGACAACTTAGATTAATCCTCTCCATTGTTATCCATTTCATAACCATTAGTTTCTATTTTGTTTAAAAACCATTCTTCTTAAGCAAACCTGATAGCCATGAATCATCAAAATATTAGGTATGCATATTGCGTAACGTGAACAGTTTTTCTTCGTATTAAATAGGGTGCAGAGTGGGAGAGAGAGTACATAGCAGCACAAGGTATACACCACCTGCTTTAAAACCTGTAACATATGAATTAGTTACATATAAGGCTCTTCTTTTTCAAAACATACCAAACATGTATGCAGAGAATAAGTACATGTACATTTGCAAGTGCAGCATAAATGAACTTTTTAGGACAATTTAGAAACATCAACCTTAAATTAAAAGTCTATTTGATTGGAATAATTGCATTTATTATAATTCCATATGTTTCTTTTGTAGGTCCAAAGCAAAATATACTTGGCGATTTTTGGGCAATGATTTGGCAGGAAAATGTGTTCTCTATTGTAATGGTGACAAACTTAAAAGAAGGAACGAAAGTGTGTATTTTGTGGCGAAATTTGCGTCTTTCATAAGTATATAATTCCATAAAATGTTTAGTTTCTTCACGAAATACTATATCATATTATACTTTTACTGAGATCATATTTGGGTCTGCCCAATCAAGGTTCTAATATTAACGCGTAATATTGTAATTATATTTTTAGGTAAAATGCAATCAGTATTGGCCAGAGGCAAATAAAAACGCAAATTATGGTGCGGTTTCTGTAAAATTGATAGAAGAAAAACAGTACGCATTTTACATCGTGCGACGGATGACTGCTACGCACAATGACGTACGTTTTATTTTAAGAAATTCAAGAGTACAGGGGTGCATAAAACATAAAACTGCTTCACTTTAAAAAAAAATAATACTATTTTCAAGGTTGAACTGACTGTTGCTATTTTTTTTCTCAAAGTATTTTTTTTTAGATTTTTTTTCTTTCGATTTCATTTTGATAATATACAATTATTGCTGTTTCTTGGCGTCAATGCGATGATATAGACACCTGAGGAGTATAATATTCACTGAGCCCGAAGGGCGAAATGAACATTGTACTTCCAAGGTGGTTAAATCATCGATACTTCAGAAATCAGTAATAACTGTTTTATTATTATTTAAATTATAGTAAACTCCTACAAGATTGTTGTTTTCAATTAATTGATCGTTTTAATGAGAAATATCAACAGGAACACATTGTTACAGGAAATATGGAACAGAAATAATTCCCTATATTGACCTGAAATTATTTCTTGTTTTGACCTGGAAGCTCACGTGATTTATTATATAAACCAGCAATAATTTCTTGTATTGACCCGGAAGGTCACGTAAAGGTCTACATAAGGTAGTATTTTTCTAACATTGTTGGATCTCACCCAATCAGAGAGAGGGATATTATTCAATCATATAATGAAAGATTTTATCCCATTTTTAACTATAGTCGAAGGAATCCCGAACGGTGACACAGTACCATTACACGGCGTGGCCAGACCACGGGACCCCGGATCCTCTCTGTCTTATTGTTTTTCTTGATCACGTGACCAGAACAGGAACCAATCAGAAAAACTCCCCAACAATTGTTCACTGCAGGTACATTTCGGCAATCAAATTTTACATTAAATAGTAGAAAGATGTTTCTGACATAAAAACACGGGTGAATTCAGATTTTTTTTTTTTTTGGTCAAAATTAAATGAGCGAGTAATTCTTCATTTTTTCTAATATCATTCTAGCGCTGGAATTGGAAGAACTGGGACATATATAGCATTAGATGCTTTGAAGCGAATAGGAGAGAAAAGAAAGAAAGTGAACGTAGCAGAGTATGTCAAGAAGATGAGAGAAAACAGGATGAATATGGTCCAAACCTATGTACGTTTTATTTTGAAACAAACAGTGCATATGGATTTCCTGATATTAAACCTAATGGGGTTTCTTTGAATACTTTACGTGCGCAAAAAATGTTATATATTCCAAATGCAAAATTTGCAAGACAAAAGGGAAATTTTCAAATCACCTGGTGCATCATTACTTGGGGAAATAAATATTTGTCCCCTTTCATTCTTTTTTTGTATTTCTTTTGTAATTATTATTACTTTTGATTTATGTATTATATTGTTCGTGAAGTATTCAAAATATAAATTTTCCTAACCGGAAGAATTTCAAAAAAATGTTCTTAGATAAATATAAGTTGTTTGCTTAAATTTATTCCAATGTTTTAAGTAATTTATTAGCAAAGACAGCAAAAAATATTGGGTTTTTTAATGCAAATTTATCATATTTTTTTTTTATACTTTAGGAACAGTACATGACAGTTTTTCTGGCATTGAATGAAATATTTAAAGCGCCAGTAAACAGTAGTACTATTGAAGACTTTACCAAAAAGGCCGGAACCATGACGATTGATGAACCCGCCAATCATAGTACATTACGAAAAGAGTTTCAGGTAATCAATAGAAAAATAAGCAGTGCAAAAAAATAATTTGGCTTTTAAAAGTATAAATGTAATGGAATTGAAATGAGAGTTGTGGAGAAAAATATATATTTAAAATACAATTTTAAGAAAAAAAAAATCAAATAGTTCTCACGAAATAAGAGTTATTGCTTTTTACCTTAAACGTTTTGATCAATTCAAGTTGACTGTACATTTGTACAGCCAACGAGTACCAATATTCACCAATTTAAGTTAAATAACTTCTTTATTATATAGCTAAAACATTCCCTATAATCTATTTTAATTATTCCAACGAAAAAACTCAAATTAATGATATTTTAGTATCGGTATTCAAATCAACGCTTGTCCTGTAAAACCCCAGTCACATTTCCATGGATTGATATAATTTTTTTGAACGGATGTAACATGAATAATTAATCCGTAATATATATATATATATATATATATATATATATATATATATATATATATATATATATATATATATATATATATATATATATAAATCTTAAGTATTCTTTGCTGCTTAGATATGCACCATTTGTCGTTTTTATGTAATTCGATTCAAAATTTTGCATACATTTTCAACATTGAGTGGCAAATTTGTAAGCTTCTGCCACTTTGCTTTGCAAACATTACTCACGTCACCTATTTGAATATAGATCTATAAAAAATATTGCTGAATTCTATATAAAAAAAAGAAGATTTTTTGTGTTGTTTCTCCAAGTCATCGCTGTCTCTAGGAATTAATGTGACTGCTCAGTGTCGCCCGATACTGTATCGGCCGATCATGTTCTTTCAGCCGACAAGACCAGAAAAATTTAGTCGCCCGATCATCGGCTTAAATGTGACCTAGGCATATGTGTTCATTATTATTGCATCATTACCGAACGTTATGATTTCCTTATTAAAGTTTTTATGGGTGTTATACATACTATTATTTTTTTTTATAAACATTTCATTTCTGTGTAAAAAATAAACACATCTTACCTAAATGCCACTTCCTTTCTAAAATTTAGCTCTGAGAATTAGACCAGACGATTCCTTTTGTTTACAAGGGGGCTTCGATATTGAAGACTCATTTCGGGCATACTCGTTTACGCAATACAAACTCAGCTTTCAATAAAACGCCAAGATATTGAGCTCTAATACTCTCTAGATTTTTCTTTTGGTATTTTTTTTTTATTTTGTTTCATTCATACTTTTTAAAGCTTGTTTTTATGCGTTTCCTTTTAATTCTTTTTAATGTTTTAGCTATTTATATAATAATTATGTTTATTATTACCGATTTTTTTCTATGCTTAAAACAAAGCAGGAAAAGAATAAGTTTTAATTCTTTTAACTTCTAGTGAAAATTGTCCCAGTTTACCTCCTATTCTGCTTTTCTATTATGCATGTACACTGTATATAGAGTAGAGACTTGAGATGTTGAATATTATAAAAAGAAATTATTGAAAGCTTCTCCCGTGCAACATCAAGGTTAATTAGTTCCATAAATAAACACTGCTCTTTTTATATCTTTTAATTCATCTCTATCTGGGAATAATATGATAACGAGGTGTACAAATAATCATTTATATACCAGTCTTGTATCATTTTTGTTCTGACACCTAGCTGTTAATGAAGATACGGCCTAGTTATACGGATGATGATTTTAAGATCGCTAAAGAGCATTGTAGGGATGCATGTACCACCGAAGTATTGCCCTGTAAGTATATGATTGGCATAAGTTTTGAGACATATTTGTCAAGAAATAAAATTCTGAATTTTTCTTTAAATATTGCAAATTGTTTACATGTAAATTTTTGTATACGGTTTGTTAATTATTCAATAAAAGTTATATAGATTCAATAAATTGTTTAAAAATGGGAACTTAAGAATATATTTCTTGGTTATTGTCAGTTAATTAATTTTTTTCTGGTTTTTATTTAATTAGTGGATAAATATATGATTTATCTTTCAACGCCTGTCACGAATCGAGAAAGTTTCATCAATGCGATATACGTACCGGTAAGAAATGTCGAACCGATTACAGCAAAGTAAATACTACGTTTTTTTGTTACAAAGTCAACAAAGTGAAATTCGTGAGGTGACCATTTGTAACCTGTGACAACAGATATTCAATATTTAATGAAGTAACAGTGTCTTATCATATCTCTGTTTTCATTAATCACAAATCATTATAAAAGTTTTAAAATAGTTCACCTTATCTAATAATATTTTTTAGTCATTCACCAACAATTGGGAGTTTATTGTAACGAAATATCCATCGGAAGGGGACGCTGTTGATTTCCTGCGCCTGCTCTGTGAACAAGAGTCCAGTACTGTTATTTTTATGGATCCCCTGCGTGAGATTGAATCGGTATGCATCTTCAAGCTTTCTTGGAAATGTACGGTAGTTTTGTCTATTTCACAGACATCTTAGGTACACTAATTACCCAACAATAGGTTGGCTAGCCATATGTTATGACATTATATTTTTGTTGCTGATGTTGTTATTATTTAATTACAATAATGTGCCTTAAAGAATTTTTCATTTTTACCACTGAATTGTTTTTTTTATCAAGTCTATTTCTTTTATAATTTGAACTTTTTCCTTCATAATTTATGTTTTAAAAATCAATACAATTACAATTTAAAGAAAAAAAAAACTGTCTGCATTGCTTTGTTTCTAAATTAACTGGAGATGCATTAAAAAGATATTCGCATATAGAGACTTAGTGGTTAAACAGAGCATTTGTTGCCTTTTTATCAATGACATCCATATTTTTTGTTTGTCTCTAGAGTAAGGCATGGCTACCAAGACAAACTTCCTCTTCCAATTCAGTCCCTCCTTTCAACATTCAATTTCAATCAAAAACTGAGACTGACGTCAGCAGCTCCATTGTTCACATCCGGCAGAAAAATGTACGTATACAGGTTATGCCATCTCTCTCTCTCTCTTTCTTTCTCTCGCTCTCTCCCGAAAAAAGCAACAATCATATTTAACACGTTATCTTTGTCTAACAGAGTAAGAAGCCCCAGACAGTGACGATAATTGAGCCAAGGTCTAGCATCAAGACTTCTGGAACACCTTTGGATACTTCCCAGCTTCGAAGTCTGGTTTCTGTGGCACTAAGCGTGGAAACAGAAAACCCTGTCATCGTTGTCAGCAGGTTTTGTATTAATTCTATAAACGATATATGGAGATAATAAACATTATTCAAGCTCAAAAATCCACGACAAAATAAAAAGTAGTACCAGAGCAAACACAGATCTCCAAAGCATTAAAGGTGGGATCAGGTGCCATGGATGACTGATAACATCTTGCTGATCAGCATATAAATATACTTAAATGAAAATACAATAACATGAGAAATGGCGATCAATCTTCATTTAAAGGGTTTTTCCACCTTCACAATTCTGATAGTTAAAAGTTCAAAAACTGCAATTATTCTCATTTGATATAGTTTAAATTTACTAGTTATTGCAAAGAAATATATGGGTCGCCATATTTTCTAGGATAGGAGACATAAATAAACAGAAATATATGTCAACATGAAAAAAATGTACATTTTTGGTAAATATTATGATAAATATTATGTAAAAACCGGTTCAAATGCATTATTCTGATACTAAAAGTTCCGATATGCTTGATACTTATAAGATAATTTTGAATTGTGAATACCAGGAAAACTATTTTACAAAAAAAGTGCTATAAAGAAAATGCCTGAATGAAGGTACCTGAGTTATTGCCTTTGTCAATATTTTATAAAGATTGAATCATTGATTTGAAAAAGAAAATACACATTTTTTAAAATTATTTTACTAAACAATATTTATCAATACACCTATTGAAAAGCATTCTTATGAAAAAAAATGTGTTCTACCTGACATAAATTTAAATTGATAACACTTTTTACAAATACCTATGACATCAAAGAAGGACGGAAATACATATATGTATGGAATGCTTGAAGATTTCTTCCCAAGTTTGTTAAAGCATAATCTATATTATTTACCTAGTTTCTTTTTAACTCCAGGTCTGTCATTATGTAATAAACATGGATGGATAAGAAATTTAATATATCAATGGTTTACTTTTTAAATTGAGTATCATTTACCTTGTAGCGATGGAGCTGCCCTCAGTGGTACATTTTGTGCAGTACATAACGCCATTCAACAAATTAACATGGACGCAATTGTGGATGTTTTTACAACTGTCAGACAGCTTCAAGTTCGAAAACCTGAATTCTGTTCCAGTCTTGTAAGTCCTAACAAATGTATAATGCATCTCGTTATATTAAGGCTAATAGTGCAATAAGGTTATTAGTCAAATGTTTACAAAGGTCACTTTGTTATCTTTATCAATTTTCCTTTATATAGGATCGTTGGATCAATACTTTTTACATTGCTACTTGCAGCTACTTTTATTTACGTTTTGTTTTTAGAAATAATTTTGGCGATAATTTGAGAAATTATTTTATTCAATAAACAATGCAATATTTCTTTCTATTTAAATGAAGAAAGATATAGATACACCTCATTCCCATATCAATAATATAGGTCTATTTAATATATCATTGATACATGTGTTTTCTTACAGGAAGAATATGGACTGGTCATCAAGTCTGTGAATGATCACATTCAGCGAGGCACTGAAAACATATACTCTAATCAATAGAAAATCATCAATAAGGGATTTGGAAATAATAATGATTCATTACAAACGTCAATCACCATTCTTATACTACATTGGCGAAAAACATTGTACCTTTTGTTTTATACATTATTTAATTTGTATGCTTAAAGGATGATAAGTTTTAATGTTGCTGTTATAGGGCTTAGTTTTGAGAAAAAAAAAATCAATAATACATGTACTTGTTATATTGTAACGCTTGGAACCCTTAATGTAGGATGAACATGTTTTTTATTTATAAATTTGATAATAGCCATTGCTATTATTTTTGTCATGTCAATCTATATATTTAAAATAAAACGAAAAAAGATGTTTTTACATCAAAGCTCGATTCGATGTGCCCATTTAAGATGTTCTTTCAATTCATTATTTTATCTGATGTATATTGGGTTCAAGGTTATTGTTGCACTTGCTACAGAACATAAAATGTACAACAGTCAATATTTCACTCCTTATTTGGAAACTTTATTTGATAGCAGCTAGGTTAAGGCCACCCATAGGAAATATGGACTCATCGATACGATATATTCTGGTGAGCTTGAGATAAAAGATACCACAGAGTCCGACACTTCTGTTTCATACTTGGATATTTTACTTGAAAAAGACACTAATGGTAATCTAACAACCAAGCTATATGATAAACGTGATGACTTTTACGTTTCTATCGTCACCTTCCCTTACTTATGCAGCAATATACCTTCATCACCTGCATACGGAGTATACATGTATACATCTCAGTTGATTCGTTACATCATAAACAATGAATAATCATTACATGTGTTGTCATCTCACAGCAGTGAAGCGCTTTGAATATTTTGTCTAGCTACAGAACAAGCTTTTTTGTATTTCTTTTAAAAAGTGGGGCAGTCTTAAAGATTATGAATTTAAAAGAAAACCGACAACATTTCGCACAAATGTACAATACAAATGTTATTCATTTATTGTTCTACATGCAGATGTATATATATATATATATAAATTGACACTAAACTGAAAAACAGTCCTTGTATTTACATTTCACATGTTTTGAAGCAACTAAAATATACTCAATATTTGAATTTCTCTCTGTCCTATATCGCTGCATTTTTATTACTAATGTCGCTGCAGCCTCATTGTGACGTCACGTTAACGCACGTTTCTCCGTATATATTTCTACGCGTGAGTATACACAAAAATGACTTTCAACTCGATTTCACAGTTGGCTTAGTAGGAAAACACAGCGAATGTAAATATTTAGTAATAAATACAGGATTTTTGCATATGCGATATGGCTGACGTCACAATAGCTGTATCAGCCCAGCTGATATGGATTTGCTGGGCTGATACAGGTTATGAGCCCTGCAGGGCTGATACAAATCAATATCACACCCTTAGTAAATTAAACCTCAAAAAACAGTACTTGTGATCATGCACATAATATGGAGGTTACATAATTATCTTAATTTTAACTTTTTGAATGCAATGATAAACTAGGGCTAATTGTAACGGGAACCGTTACAGATGTTCCCCAAACGCTCCCCAACTCCTTTTTGGTGCCTTATTCCCTGTAAGCTTCATTAAATAAGACGAACTCTATGCCTTTTAGACTATAACAATGTTTTCCCAGAAGTATATTCAGTATATTCAAATTTATGCATTGCACGCATGCGCATTTGAATGCATGTGCGTAATGACCATATCATCTTGTCTACACTATTTATATACTAGAAATTACAGCGTTTTATCCAAAAGTATTAAAAAATACGTTTTAATCTAGTGTATTTGAAATTTTACTCATTTCACGTGCACGCACGTGCATGCATGTGCATGTCGACTGTATCGTCTTGTAGGAGTCTGTTATGTTTGTCTATGTTCTAAATCCCATCCTGTTTGGTTGAAAAACGAGGAAGTTATAGCCATTTTAAGTTTAAGCCAATCAGATTGCAGCGCACGTGTATGCGCATGTTTTCATGACAACTGTTATATATCATATTGTAGGACATCCTAATGCATGATTATGTTTAAAATTTTAAAGCATTTCGTCAAAAATTAAAAAAAGATATTGCGATTTTTGTTTCAGCGAATCAGAGCAAAGCACACGTGCATGCATATGCATGACGACCATACCTCCTTGTGGGAGTCCATTATGTTTGTCTATGTTCTAAATCCCATACTGTTTCGTTGAAAAACAAGGGAGTTATAGCCATTTAAAGTTTAAGCCAATCAGATTGCAGCGCACGTGCATGCGCGTGTTTACATGACAATTGTTATATATCATATTGTAGTACATCCTTAAGTATGCCTATATTTTAAATTTCATAGCATTTCGTCAAAAAACAGAAAAGATATTGAGATTTTTGTTGCAGCCAATCAAAGCGAAGCGCACGTGCATGCGCGTGAGTTTGTGCTAATTTGACAGTGTCACATTATCTACACTATTAATATATCCTTATTAAATGTGTTTTAAAATATTTCATCAAAAAATGTTAAAGTTATGGCTATATAAAGTATATCCGTCATTTCACTCATTTCACGCGCCCGCACGTGCATGCGTATGCGCGCAAAATAACCTTCGTGTTGCACACCTACACTACACACCTATTAACCCTAAAAAGGTTTTAGCTCAGTTGGGTGAACAGTTTCTGAGAACACTCGCGGACAAAAAAGTACCGGAGAACAAAGAAGAAAAAAAAGAATAATAATAATAATAATAATAATAATAATAATAAGAAACCGAGTAAAAACAATATGTTCCCAAACTCCGTTTGGGGAACATAATAAATGTTTAACTAATAAATAAAAGATTATTTTAAAACTACGGATTGAGGACATTTAAAATAGAAGTACATGCAGAAACAAACCGAAGCTGTATGAGACAATAGACAGTGTACATTTTAAGAAGTCTTTGTATGTTTATTTACTTATTTCCTTCTAAAATAAATGTGTTCAGTATTTTATTACTAAGTATGTAATAAATATAATATAACATACCCTTTTCCACATCACATCCTTTATCAGCCCCCTAACAATATCAGCCCTCAGGCCTTCGGCCTTCTGGCTGATATTGGTGTCTCGGGCTAATACAGGATGTGATATGGAAAAGGGTATGTATTATTCTCTAAATAATGTAAACTTATCTTCTTTGGCCCAGCCATACCACTGAGAACCATGACTTGAACAGTTCGGAATCTACACCGCTCAAGAATGCATGCATACAAGCTGTGTAAAAGTTTACACATGTTTTGATTTGGAAGGGTAAATATTAATAAAATAACGAAATGCATGTATCCACATTCCACAAAAAATTCTGCTTAACCTTAATATGCAAATGAGTATACCAAGATGAGCACAACTATTTGCATTTTTGTGCCAAATAATTACCAGTCAGCGTGTTGGTGTTTCATTATAAACTAATTTATTTTCTTAAAAGTGATATATTAAAATCCATTTTCACTAAATAAATATAATATGTAGGAATAATTTTTTATACCATTTCATTTGATTGATATTCTTCTCCTCTGCTTCCAATATAGAAGTCGTGCCGAAAAAAAATCGGAATTTTGATTGTAATATTCTGCATATTTTGATGTGATATAACTCGTTTAATTTCTTATTTCTACAAAAAAATAATATGTAAAATTATCTGTTTTCAGTTTGTAGTTTTGGTTATTTTGGAACCGACTGCAAAGAGGAATGTAGTGCATTTTGTAAGAAAACACGTGACTGTCATTATGAGACGGGTTCCTGTACCGTGGGTTGTAAGACAGGCTGGCAAGGACACGACTGTTTCCAAAGTAATTATACATTATACATTTATTATCACTCTTTGGTAAAATTGGAATAAACCTTCTGTTTTTGATATTTATTAGGTCTTTCCACCTTTCTGTGGAAAGACCTATTGATATTCTTCTGTTTATTAGGTCTTTCGACCTTTCTGTGGAAAGACCTATTGATATTCTTCTGTTTATTATTATTTTTATTATTTTTCCGCCGGACGAATTTTTGTTTCAAGGTCTTTTGAAAAGATTAATAGTTTATAAGAATGTACTTTGTAAGAGATATTTGCAAAAAACCCTGCTTATATGAACTATGAACTCTTTCGAAGTTATTGCCCCTTTCGCAAGAAATGCTTGTTATCGCTACTCCTTCGAAACCGTAAACCGTAGAAATATGAAACCTTCACTAAAGTCTTCGACTAATTGAGAGGACTCTGGAATCTATTCATTGCGAAAGTATTCAGTGACCCCTTCAATGAGTTATTGCCCCTGAAACTTTTTTTAATTTTAGAAATAATTAAAAATTTTCAAAACGAGAAGTTGTAGAGACATGGGACCAACTGCATAAGATTCATTGACCTTTGATCATGAAATTAATGCAAAGTTCAAAGGTCAAGGTCATTTCAAATTTGAGAAATTAAGCTCTTTTTATATCTTTTTTGTCTTTTAATATATACAAACTGTCTAAGCATCATTAATATGTACTCTTAAAACTATTTTAAAGATTTAATTCATATTTCGTAAGATTGACCCTATTAAAAGTTATCGCCCTTTGTGTGAACAACCTTGTTATCTCTACTCCTTCAAAGCCGTAAACTGTAGAAATATGAAACCTTCACTAAAGTCTTCGACTAATTGAGAGGACTCTGGAATCTATTCATTGCGAAAGTACTCAGTGACCCCTTCAATGAGTTATTGCCCCTGAAACTTTTTTAATTTTAGAAATAATTAAAAATTTCCAAAACGAGAAGTGATAGAGACATGGGACCAACTGCATAAAATTCATTGACTTTTGATCATGAAATTAATGCAAAGGTCAAAGGTCAAGGTCATTCCACATTTGAGAAATTAAGCTCTTTTTATATCTTTTTTGTCCTTTAACATATACAAATTGTCTTAGCATCATTAATATGTACTCTTAAAACTATTTTAAAGATTTAATTTGTATTCCTTAAGATTGACCCTATTAAAAGTTATCGCCCTTTGTGTGAAAAACCTTGTTATTGCTACTACTTCGAAACCGTAAATTGCAGAGACATGAAACCT